ACGTGAATAAAATCGTTGAATACATGTACAACGGCAGTCCTCCCCGCAACTGCCGGAAGCAACTGACAACAAGGTCGACAAATGACAGAGTACAAGCTGCCAGCACGTCAAATTGGGATTGGCTTATTTTCCCATCACCCGCAATGACCTTCCGCCAGTCAGGCCAGGATCGGGCCATGTCGCATACGATGGCGATCGACAATGGGGACAGACCTGCGACGCAAAACAGTGAGCCTGTCAGCAGGCCATTGGACGTACACTTGTGACTGTGGCTTGTGGCTTGTTCAAAGCGTTATGGAGTCACCTTTTGTCGACTTGCTTTTGCTTCCTGACCATAGATATGATCTAGCAGGTTTCGTCAGGAGTAGATGTTTGTCGCCATGCAGTCTGACATACAATAAACAGTCTCAAGGTCACGATAAACTGGCGTAACTTAAAACAGCAATGCTTGCGAGTAGTATAGCCGGGGAGACCTGACGAGAACTAGCCATGCAGAGCAGAAGGGGCTAAGCCGGCCGTTGGAGAGATGAGAGGGCACTGTCGAGACTGGGACGCAGTCGTCGACGCGGAACGTTGCATTCTGGAGTGCAGTAGTCTTGAAACAGGGAAGAGACCAAGTAGAAAAAGACAAGAAGCAAGGGAGCATATGCACTGCAGACGGAATGTGCCGGGCACGACAGGACTGGGCAGTGGCAATCGCCTGGAAACCGCAACGGCCGCGTCGTGAGCGGATACGATGTTGAATCCGGCCACGTCGAACTGTTCATAACACAGGGTTACCCAATCGGGCTATCCAGCACTCGACCTTGTGGCCTATATGGCCTATATGGCCTATATGGCCTATATTTTAATGGCGACCTGGCGAACAAGAACCGCAAAAACAAAATCACAACGGCTTGCCGTGCTTCCCCACGCATTCTGTCCCGCCCTGTCCCCCAAACATGCAAAAACTAAACAGTGATCCAACAGCGATCTGCGTGATGTGCCCTCCTGGACGCCCGCGGCAGCCCACATGGCCGTTTGATGCTTGCTGCCTGGGAACAGTGGGCGGCTCTGGGCGCGGAAGGAAGAAGGAATGCAGACGGGACAAGTCGTGTGATGTGGGCAGACGCCCGGATAGAGAGCCGAATCGAGAGCCGAATCGAGAGCCGAATCGAGAGCCCACGTGTTGCGGTCGAGTCTCGCCCGTCCATTTTTCTCGTCGTTCGTCTCCCCTTTTCCTTCTCGGCCCGGCAGTTGCTCTGGTGCCTTTCCGTGTCTCCAAGAAGCATGTCGTATGAATGCAATTTACCACACAGCGCCCCAACACGCTGAACGCACGCAACTCACAGACACCACAGACGCGGACTGGCCGTGTGCACAGAACGTGCACAGAATGCACAGCAAGTCTCAGATGGCCAGAGGTGGTCAGAGAGGGACAGTAGTTCTGCAAGGTACGCAACAAAGCTGCAGCGCACGTTCTTTTATTTTGTTCAAAAGCCTGCCGCCCTCGACAAAAGACAAACGACAAACCCTTCTTGAAAAGCTTCTCGAAAAGCTTCTCGAACCTCGATTCAATGGTTCCGTCGACCATTTGTTCCTAGCACGTCCCGATTGACGAGCCCGAGCGGTGGCGACGCGACGTTTGGTTGCGCGCAAAGCGTGTGGCCTGGTCGTTGGAGAAATGGTTTCTGCCTGGGACGTCCGTGCCCCAGGTTGGCGCCCAGGTTGAGCGCATCGCCCACTACTTTGTACGCCGTACGGAGTCCTGACGCAGATGCTGTTTCTGTCGCCCAACAGCGACGGCTCGGTTCAGAAAATACATGGCCAATGTCGTCGGCCGGCGTCTCCGCTGTGAGCGTACATACGAATGACGCCATACGATGGTCTTTGTTCCGTCTCGTTTATCAGGTCCTACTGACAAGCCTCACGCCATAACGCGGCCCGTCTTATTGATAAGAGCTGTGTTATTGACAGTGCTCGCCAGCGGACAGAAGAAAAGGACATTATCACCTGGACTAATAGGCTCACCGCCGAAACATGATCAGCTGGACACCGGTTCGACCTGGACGACGCGGACGAAACAGACGAGACAGACGACACGGCAGAGCCCAGCCCAGCCCGGACCAGACTAGCCCTGACCTTTTGCGCGGCTCAGTATCGCCCCATCGTGGTTATGGGTCATGGGTCATGGGTCATGGGTCATCATGGGCCATCATGGGCACATCCTCCTCTAATTGCAACTTTGATCCTCTATCTTAATAACCGTGTTATCCCCCCCCTCCAGCTTGCCATCGTTCCATCTTTCCACCCCGTGATGCATCCCACGCGGAACGGCGGCCTGGCAAGGCCAGAGCACACGGCTGTTTGGGCGAATTGGGGGCAGAGGGGGGGGGGCTCGAACCCCCACGATGTGCACACCGCCGGCCGAGAAAGGACAGAAGATGGGCAGAGGATGGACACATATGCCGAGAAGACCATGACGTGTGTTCCCCGTCTCTGCGAGGGAGTCACTACAAGCTTTGTACAAACTCGTTCAGCGTCCATCATCACTTTTTGTCGCATCATGGAGAGATGGACGGGTTGGCTCGCCTCTCATTCTCAGAGCCTGCTTTCAGCCCACCATGAAAGCAAAACGGAAGCAGCATAGCGGAATAAAGTGTACACAGATTGCAGCAAGTAAGCAATTAAAGGAGTGTCTGACGCTCAGGCGAGACTGCACTCTCCGTCAAGACCGAAAAGTCATCGGACGACCATCGACAGTATTTGTAACGGTCCCTCCTTAGCAGAGCAACTATTTGGCTGGTGGTGCAGTACTGTCGTAGTGGTGCAATTTATGTTGCAATCTAAGCTGCAGTTGCAAGGGACTCCTGGCCACCTCCATCTGATTAATTATTATGGTGTATTGTCTAATCTCCAGTGTCCAGTGTCCATACCTTGCGAATCCTGAATTTTGACACCTTGATGAATGCTACTCGGCCACGTTTTTGCAACGCTTCAGTGCTCCGTCAAAGTGTCTACCCCTGTATCAGGATGAAATTGCAACATACAGCGAGATCGTCTCCAGTCTCGGTCTCCAGTCTCCAGTCTGCGTCAATTGCCGGATGCTGCGGATGTGTCGTCATTTGCACAGGTCTCTGTCTTAAAAGGGGATAAACGTTTTGAAGATGGCCTCCTTGGTTGCAGGATTCTTGCTCATGCATTTTGTGGGCATTGAGAATGACGAAAAGTAACCAAGTCTACGTGCTATCGACGTACGTCGCCTCACAAAAGGGACTACTTGAATTGGCATCGTCCCCTCGAATCTCGGTTAGATATCTTCACGGCGCGGTCGGCCTGTGGATGCTGTCCAAGACAACGCCGGACACATCCACCGTGGCATATGCAGGGGAAAGCGTTGCAGTGCATGCAGTCTTTCCCCGTTCCCAGGAAATGGGGTCCACTGCAACCATACACTTGTGGATGTACGTCGTGGCCGTATTCGTACTTTGTCTATCGCACTATGCAAACGAGGCCGATGCCCGTAAGCGAGGCGCAACTCGCGAGGCCATGACATGACGATCCCTCGACTCTGGACCCAGCCAGGGACGACACGACGAGGTCGAGGGGTGTCGACTGGAAATAAACCGTGAATAAACGGAAGCTCGGGCCCGGTTAGTGTGTGACATATTGTGAATTGTGAATTGTGAACATACAAAACACCCACTCGCAAAACGACAAGAAACTTGAAATAAAACCCAATGCAAACGAGTGCTTCGCAACCAAGAGTCCACAAACGTGGTTCGTGTTGCCCTGGCTGGAGGGCCTGGTCTTGGCTCTCTTGGTCCTTGTGGTCCTGAGCAGTTTTGGCCGGCTGTGCCAACCGAGTTTCCGTCGACTCTGGTTCGTCTTGCTTTCCACCCAGACATCTGTAGGAAAACATGGCTCCTCACAATGGCACAATCCTGCTGTATTCTTCCACCGTATTATTCCACTTCCACGTCCATTGATGCATTTGATTGTCTTGTTTGATGCGTACAATATGCATATCCAATACTCCCATCGAGCGAAGCACTGTGTCGCATCATATATCATATCGCAGTCTACTCCCACCCCTCCCTCCATCGCATCGTGCGTCATAGACCTTCTCCCTCTCTCATGGGCATCTGGGTGTCATCTGTCTTTGATTGCTCCGAGTGCGTCGTTGCCGCCGAGACAAGCCTTTGGCCCCTTACCATCCTCGGCTATGACTTGCATAAAGGGTCCCGTGGTCAGGTCTCGCCGGTTGAAAATGGGAGACGCGAGACGAGAAATGAAAAGGGCCCGGTTTTGATTTGGGTCGTGGCTGGACAACCACGGAATAGATTGGAGCACGCCGTGCGAAATACGCATCATGGCATTCATCTATTCGTAGTGACCCTGTGTTGCGCCGTTTTTGTTCATGCAATCTGCGCAGCCTCAGCAGCTGCTTCTGGCGTACGGCAAGCAGGCAAGCAGGCAAGGCGTGCGGCCATGCAGGATCCCGCTGTCAAGCCTCCCACTCCCTTTGTTGCCTCCATCCACTCCGCACCTCCACCGTTCCCCCATGCGTACCCCCACGTGTCTGCAAGCTGGAGGGTGCGATGTGCGGCGGATGCTTTTCGTATACTGCATTAGGCATGCCGAGGCTGCTGTTCGTTTTGATACTGTCTCTTTCATGTGTTTGGTCTTCTGGTCTTGACAGACCCTATATCGTCGCACGCTGTATGTTGTGCTCCGCGGACGGGTGCCACAAAACCTGCTCGTCCATACGATCCGTCCATCTCATGGCCACGACCGCCAGGCGGCATTCTCCACGGCTCGCCCGTTGAGGGTGGTGGGCAAATGAAGGCTAGCGATATTCAGTCGGTCTGTGGGCGTCGCGTTGCGTCTCGCTGTATATTGCCACTTCTATCGCTGTCTCGCATTTGTCAGAGACAGTCAGCAAAAATACAAAAATGGCCGTGCCGATGCTCCCACGATGCAGCTGCATGACCCGGCATGCCGTCCCTCGCTTGCAGCCCCTAATGCTCCAGCACAATGTCCTTGCCCCGCTCCCAGTTGCGCAGCGCATCGTCAATGTTCACCCAGTACCGCAGCCGCACGGCCTCGCGCTGCGCCGCCGCCGCGTCGTCGGCCGCAAACGCGGCGGCCAGCACGGCCTCGCTCGCCCGCATGCGCGCGTCGTTGGCCGCGCGCACGGGCTCCAGGTCCGCCTCGGCCTGGGCCTGCTCAATCTCTTCGCGCACCTCGAGGACGGCCATGAGCAGGTCCATGTCTTTGCCGCCGCCGCTGCCACTGCCACTGCCACTGCCATTGCCACGGTCGCCAGTCAGCGTCGACTCGTCGTTGGCGAGGTCGACGTCAAAGCGCTGCCGCAGCAGGTACTGGGCCCGCAAGAGGGGCGACGCCAGGGTGCGGTAGGCCTCGTTGATGAGCGACGACAGGGCCTCGGCGCGGGCGCGGGCACTAGAGTGGCCAGTCCCTGATTGTGTCCCTGTTTGTGTCCTCGTTTCGCTCGTATCGCTGGCGTCGGCTGCGTCGGCAGCGCCACTCACGCTGGTGTCTGCTGCGCCCCCCGCCGCATGGTGAAAATCCGGATGGGCGGCCGCCTGCAGCCTCAGAAACTCGGTGCGCAGAGCACGCACATCGACGGCAAAGGGCCCAGCGGGGGGCGCGCCGCGCGGGAACGTCTTGGGGAACAGGGCGTAGAACGAGGGCGGCGTCGACGGGGATGCGGCCGACGGAGATGAGGACGACGCCGCATCGGGATCTGTTGCCGGTGGGCCGCGCGCGGCGGCAGACAGCCGGGGGGACAGGGACAGCCATCGCGACTGCTGCAGAGACGTGCGCGCCTGCGCCGACGCAAACGACCGTCGTGCCGTGGTCATGGCGCGAGACGTGGACGTAAACGTGGGCGGCCTTTCTGCTGCCGCTGCTGCTGCTGCTTTCGGCGCCGTACTGCGGCGTGCAGCGCGCGCGCACTGCGCACACAGCGGTGCGCGACCGAGAGCAGGCAATGCTGCGAATCGTGGCATTGTGTTCTTGTTGTGGGCGAAATGGAGACAGTGGGTGTCGTCGTGATGTTCCTGGATGTCGACGTTGTGTTGCTGGCCAGCTTTGGCTCGCGTGTAAAAAAAACGTAAATTTCGGATCGCTGGCAGGCCCGTGGGGAGAATATGACGTCGAGGCTTAGGGGCGTTGGTAGGCCTTGCACGCTGGCATCGCCGAACCCCGTGGCAGGGGCGACGTAATTACGCTACTGGGCTGTTACAGTGGCCATTCGGCGCCGGCAACAGCCGGATAGCGCCTTGACGTCCACTGCGAATTAACGCCGAAAGCCCGTGGAGATTGGCGGAGATGTCAACAGTCGCGACAAAGAGTATGTCGGACAGAGGTAGACGGCTTTATGTACAGTGCTGGCGTCTGAGGGATTGCTTCATCCTGCAATTCAATTTGGCGTCGAGGGGTATGTCATAGATACAGACAGGGTGAGTGAGAGTAATACAAAATCAACCAGAAACGGAAACCCAAAGAAATCGCTTTGCATAAATCGTCAAGATGCCCGTCACCTCAAAGTTTTTGTAGCCCGCCGTCCTTTTCTTTCATTAGTAATTATCGCAGCAACAAGATGGTCTCCGGTCCTTCCATCAACCTAAAACAACGCCACCGCGCGCGACCGCGGGCGCTCCGTGTGCCACCAGCGCGCGCGGTCCTTCTTCTGCGGCAGCTCCCAGTTGGCGTTCCACTGGCCCGTGCAGCCTTCTCTCGAAGAGGCGGAGGCGGCGATGGAGGCGTTCGCCTCGGACGTGTCCTCCTTTTTCTTGTCCGTCTTGTTCTTTGTTGCGACGGCGTCGTCAGCCCCGGTGGCAGCGCCTCCGCCGCCGCCGCCGCACAAGACATCGTGCATGTCCACCAGCCCGCCCTTCTCGTCCGACGCGCCCGCATCCGGCAGCAGGTGGTACGTGATGGGGCTGCCGACGGTCCCGACAAACCCGGCCAGCCCGTACTGGTCGACCAGGCGGCCGTGCTCGTCGGTGACGTGCACGAGCATGCGCGGCGCGCGGCGGGACGCGTCGATGCGCGCCTGGGCGGCCACGCGCGCCGCGCCCAGGTGGGTGCAGGTCCATTCGGCGGCGGGCGGCGCGGACGCCGTGGAGGACGCACTCGAGGCGGACGACACCGCGCTCGACGTGGACGACGACGACGGCGACGACGACGGCGACGATTTTCCAAACGTAAAGGACGCGGTGCTGTTGGTGCGCGAGTGCGTGCCAAACGACGCCGAAAAGAGGGACGACTCGGAGTCGCGCTGGCGGTGGCCGCCCGCAGCCGCGGCCGAGGGAGGCGTCGACGTTGTCGAAGTCGTCCCTGCTGGTGACGTGAATGCACTGGGGTACGTTGTGCCCGCGCCCCGGTAGCGGTCTTTTGCGAGGACCACGCGCTCCTGCGGCCGGCACAGCGCCTGGAAGAGGCCGTCTGGGTCGTTGGGCGTGCGCAGCTGGCGCAGCCGCGGGAAGCCCTGGGCGGCGATGCTGCGGGCGAGGACGACGTCACCGGCCAGGGGCGCACCAAAGGGGCTTTCGGAGGGCGCTGCCGCTGCTGTTGTTGCTGCTGCCGCTGGCACAGGCACAGGCGTGGGCGTCGGCACGTCCCAGTGCAGCTTCTCGAGGGACGGCGACGCCAGGTAGGGAAACAGCCAGATGACGTCGCCCGACGGCAGCGCGGGCGCCTGCGACTGCACGAGCGACAGCGACGTCAGCTTGTCGAGCTTGCTGAGCAGGCGCGCGAGCGCGGGCAGGTTGGGCATGTCGCCGGCGTCGCCGGCGGTGCGGCCGACGTGGACGAGCGACACGTCCGTCAGCGACCGGCTGGTGCCGCGCGTGGCCAGGGTCGACAGGCCCTGCGCGGTGACGCCGGGCAGGTGCACGAGCGCGAGCTTCCGGAGCGGCGGCAGGGCCAGCAGGCTGGCGTCGTCGAACGCGGCGGCGGGCAGATGCGACAGGTACAGGTTCTGCAGGGCCGGCAGGTACATGAGGGCGTCGACCAGCAGCGTCGAGGGCGTCAGCGTGGCGCCGGGGAGGCAGTGCACGGCGAGCGTCGACAGGTACTGCCAGTGAATGTGGTGGTTGAGGAAGCGGGCGCTCTGGCGCGGCGCGAGGGCGACGGCTGACGAGGACGAGGACGAGGACGAGGACGAGGATGAGGACGAGGACGACGGCGGCGACAATGGCGTCCCAACAGCGTCAGCCGAACCCGTGCGCGGCCGCATCCGCTCGGCGAACCCGTCGTCCTGGGCCAGGCGCGGCGACACGGGCGGCGACGGCAGCGACGGCAGCAGCGGCGGCGACGCCGGACGGCGCATGTGCGAAAAGGACTTGCCGCGGGTGCGCGGCTTCGGTTGCTGCTGCAGCAACGTGTGCTCGCGCTGCGCCCGCGCGTGCTGCTCGCGCTGCTCCTGCGACAGCAGCGGGGCCACCACCCAGGTCATCTCCTTGAGGCGCGCGCGCGAGGCCAGGGCCGCGGCGTACCGGGCGTGCGCGGCGTTGTGGTCGTAGGCCGGGTAGTAGCCCAGCACGCGCTCGAGGTTGGGGCACGCCTGCACCACGGACGCGACGAGGGCCTCGTACGCGTCGGGCGCCACGGGCGCCGTCAGCAGCGCCGACGCAAACGTCGGCGGCACGCGCAGCGTCCGCACAATCGCCGCAATCGGCGGGCTCGCCTGCAGCGTGCGCAGCAGCAGCGACAGGCGCGAGTCGGCGAGCAGGCGGCGGGCCTGCTGCTGCGCGGCCTCGTCTCGCTCCTTTTGCGACTTGAGCTTCTTCGCCTTGGGCGCGTGCCGCGCGTGCACGGCCTCGGCGCCCGCGAGCTCGATGCCCTCGTACAGCGCCACCCGCGCGTACTTGAGCATCTTGCGCGCCGTCACCGCCATCGCGCAGGCGTCGCGCATCCAGCACGTCGCGCAGCTCTGGCCGTCCTCCATGTGCGACCGCTTGAGCTCGTCCAGGATGAGCTCCAAGACCTCGCCCGGCAGCGCGGCAAACATCTCGCCCGGCGCGCGCGGGCGGGCCGGGGCCGCCTTGGTCGGCTTGAGGAGGGCCGGACGCTGCCACTGGAAGGGAGCGCTGTTGGGGCCGCGGAGGTGGCTGTGGTGCGGATGAGGGTGGGCAGGGGCGTGGGCGGGTGCCGGCCGGCGCGGTTGGTACAGGGAGTACTGTGGCTGCTGTTGTGGCTGATGGCCGTAGTTTTGTTGCTGCTGCTGCTGCTGCTGCTGCTGCTGCTGCATCACGGCCTCCTGGGCTTGCTGGCGGGCCATGCTCCGGTCGGTGCGGCGCACAAAGTCCTGGGTCGACTGCATGGGTGGTGTTGCTGCCTGGATCGTCGCCTGCTGTGGTTGTGCGAGTGCTGTCTGCGCTGTCTGTGCTTGAGTTGTCTGTGCTTGAGTCGTCTGGATCGCCGGCTTCTTCTCGATGCGCAGCGGTGCAGGCACATAAGACTCGACAAGAGTATGGCGGGTCGGTCCTGCGTACATATTTGAGGACGCTCCTGTTGACACACCTGTTGACACTCCTGTTGACACTCCTGTTGACAGTCTTGGTGCGCCCGTCAACCGCCCGGGCAAGGCAGCAGTCGAGTCTGCCATGAGGTTCGTGGGCAGCCTCGCCGGCAGACTAGTTGACGGCGGGCCAGCAGTGCGCATGTAGTGCGGTGGAGCTGATGCAGGTACAGAGCGGGCAGAGCGGGTGTTGTGGGTGTTGTGGGTGTTCACTTGGTTCTGTGAGTTGTTGATGTTGTTGGGTTTGAAAACACCGGCAAACTGCGCATACCAAAGATCGGTATCGTCTTGCAAGAAGCTGAAAGGAGGACAGTCAGTACATTGTTGATTCTTTTTTTCTTTTCTTATTTTTCGATCTTTTCCGTCGGTACTGATCGTCTCGTCTTCAATCGTCCTCGTGTCGTATTCCCCCTATTCCAAAGTGATGTGCAGAAAACGTGCCAGTGCGCAAATTAGACTCTCGCCAGCACTTGCGTGGGCTGTGGGGTCGAGTCCGTTTTGGTGTTGGCGTGCGTATTGCCGTATTATGGGAAGAAAAGAGGGTTCAGAAAAAAGGAATGAGATGAAGGAATAGGGACAACAAGAACGAAGGAAAAAAAAGAAACAGAAAGAAAACAACCAGAGTCTTCACTGAGAGCAAGACAATGAAGAGGAAAGCTGCAGAGACACAAGCGAGAGAAGAAGGGACGAGGATGACGAGAAGAAAACGACGAGAAAGAGAAGATTGTTGGAGAAAGTGGGCTGCGTAGGTCGTAATACGGCGAGGTCGCAAGTGGACGGCCGTTGACTGGTGCACGCCTGGCGTCAACAACGGCCAAGTCGTGGAAGAACGCCTAAGAAAGAAGCCGCCGTCAAAGAGCGCAATCTTAAATTGGAGAATAGTGGCCGGCAGCCATTGGCGCAGACGTATGCAAAGAGAAACGGCGGCCGAAACAGAGGACCAAAACAGAGGCCCAAAAACACCACACAGCCAAACGACACAGACGACAAAGTACTCAGCCCCGACAAGGAGCGAGCGGTTGCGGGTGGTGCTGTGTCAGTTGCATGCAGTGCAGTTGCATCGATGGATGTGTCGGTATTTGTGGCGTCGGAGTGGATGAGACGTGCTGAGAGTTGTTGCTTTTGTTTTTGTTGTTTTTGTCGGATGGCGTCTCTTTTGTCCTTCTGTCCTTTGGTATTCTTTTTCGTGATGCTGATTGTGCTTTTTTTCTTTCTTTTTTTCTTTCTTTCTCTTCCTGTCTTTCATCATCGCCACACCTCTCAGCTTTCGTTCCTGTTTAGTCGTCTCCCACTCCCGCTCCAACCCTTGTGCTGACCGACCCGCACTGCCGCTTGACGTCGTCCTCTTTGGGATTGACGCCGGCAGCCAAGCTGAGAAGCTGAGAAGCTGAGAAGCTGAGAAGCTGAGAAGCCGAGTTGCTGTTGCTTTGCTGCTGCTGGAGCTGCCGAAACTGCCAGAGCTGCTCCTTTGGGTGCAGAGGCGCAAAGAGAAAACGGCCCACTCCCCCAAAAAGCTCCGAGCCAATTTTAATTTTAAAATTTAAGCTTGGGTGAATGGCGGAATGGCGGAATGGTGTCAAGGCGTGGAGGCGTCAAGGTGTGGAGGCAGACATCGAGGGCCAGGCTCGGCAAAGAGGGCTGAGTGACGCCGGAGTCTCGAGGGCAGACGCTGAAAGAGCCTCGCTGGGCAGACCCCTGTCAACCAACCCCTCACGGCCGCCACCTTACAACCCCTGTCCCATCCTGGATGCAGATGTAGTTGTATTTGCAGGGCATTGTTGTAAGAGTGGCGTACGTCGCATTGTGCAGGCGTTGTGTTGTGGATGACTATGACTGGATCCTGGTCCCAGAATCGGATGTGTTCAGACAACGATGGAGGGAAGCTGGACTTCCAGGCAGAGGTAGAGACAACAAATCAAACGACGAAGCAGAAGGGGACACCAGAAGTAAAAGAAAACAAAAAAGAACACAAAAAGTAACTCACGCAACCAATGCTGGCGGAAAGGCATCGTCCTGGCGGCTCTTGCTGGCTGTTGTTGTCGACGCTGTCGCCGCTGACAACGCCGGCTTGGCCGTCTTCCGGACCGTCCTCGCAGCCTGTGCCCGTTGTGTCTTGACCGGCACGGCCGTGGCCGTGGCTTGAACAGCGGGCATGAAGACGTCGTCGTCGTCGAAGCCGTCCATGTCGACATCGTGATCCGAATGGTTGCTCTCGTCGCTGCTGCTGCTGCTGGCCTCGTCCTCGGATGTCACCACGCGAATCGTCATGGGCTTGAATCGGGATGCGGGTGCTGTCGATGCCCAAGTTCCGGACGGCCGCACAGTCGGGTTCTGTCGGCGGACTCTCCGGCCGGCGGCAGTGGATGTTGCGGGCATTGCTGGCATTGCTGGCATTGTTGGCATGGTCGATGTCATGATGACGAGAAGAGAATGAGAAACTGCTCCCAGAAATAACGAATCTCAAAAAGAAAAAGAGAAAACAGCAGAACAAGAACAGGACAAGAACAGAACAAGAACAGAACAAACCAGAACAAGAACAAAACAGAAACAGAAACAAAGGTACCGAGGGAGGAGACACCAGAATAAAGTACCAAGGGACCAAGAGGAAAAGAAACGACGAGACGTATAATCCACATCCACATCGAAAACAGGCTCTCGTCGAGGCGCGTGTCCTTGTCCATCGCGACAATCCCTTTTCCTGCCCTCTGTGCATCTGTCCATCACCTCCATGACCGGCTCTCAATGACACTTGTATGTCTCTCGTGATCGCCTCCCGCCGTGTCTCCCAGCTCGTCTCCCACAGTTCCTCCACATTTTCTCGCCCTTTCACTTTCTTTCCTTATTTCTTCCTTCCCTTCTTTCCCTCCTACCGAACCACCCTTCGTAGCCGCATTCCTCGCTACTGCCAACTGTCTCGCTTCCCACAGATGTGGCCGTCGTTTGCTCCATTGTGTCTCATCCACTGAAATGTGTGCTCAGGTGCGTGCCCTGCGACATATGGCTGGAACCGGTCGAGCCAGTCAAACAGGACACCAAGACTGCCCAACCGGGCCGCAGTGATGTCACCAGTTGGCGGTCACGACAAACTCATGGTGAAACATTCCGTTGGCATGCCAGTCCGTGGTGCCGTTCGCGTCGAGTGTGAGAGTGTGCACCAAAGCGCTGGCATGCGTCCTGTCGATCGTCCCCAGATCGCTGCCGATCACTTTGCCTTTCAATCTAGCAGGTCTGCAGGCCTAGCAGGCCTCTCACCACTCTGCCTCTCTGCCTGTCTGCCTCTCCACCACTGCCACTTGCTGCCACCAGCCTGCCACCCCTGCGTTCTGGTAAATCGACGGAATCACAGACAAGACACATTGTCGACGATCCTTCCCAGCTGCACGACCTACCCTTTCCCTCTCCCCTCGAATAAAGGCAAATGAGAAATTTCCAGAACCCTTCCTCGAACGAGCTCCAGAACGCAGCACTCTACGCGAAAACGCCACTTTAAGTCTCGTAGGGAAGCCAATGAAACGAGCCCAATACGTACTTCTGTACCCGGTAGAGCATCACCACAGATCACTCCGAAAGAGCAGCACGGCGCAAAACCACAGCGTCGCGCACAGCAGAAATTCATGCCCGTATGAATTGGCCATCTGCAAAGTCGTCGCTAGGTGTGCCTGGCGACGCAACACAGTCGCCTTCTCGCGAGACTGGCCAACCCAGAACAACGTAGAAACAAAACAACACCAACGCGGGCACCGCACAGCATCGCCGCTCTGGCGACAGGCCCCGGACGGCCCCGTACGACGGGGTCGATATTGATCTCTGGTACGACCGACCTGCTGTGAGCCTATGGCGGGTGCTACCACAACCTCGAGAGACGCAAGACGCAAGACGCGAGACGCGAGACGCGAGATACGACGAGGGCGAAAAGACGAAAGACGCACACGACTCGGCGTTTATGGCCAGAGCACATACCAAATACGGCAATGGGCCGTCGGCCTCGTTTCGGTCCTTGTCGTTTCCGTGTAGGACGGGCGGGGCGATGTGCAACGGAGGTCTGCTGTGGGCGGGTGACGAGTCGTCGTCGACGGACAGGCGAGACAGTTTTGCAACTGCAGTTGGTCGTTTGTCTTGGGCCATTTGCGTCAGTCAATTGCTGTTCGTCCTTTTCTCCGACCTTTTTTCTGTCCCTTTTTCTGTCCTTGCCTATTTGCATCGTCAACTTTCCTTGGCTCCCATTTTCCCGAAGACATCCCATGCAAGGGGCCATGAAAGGGATCGGCGCGTTACGTGCACCAACGCTGCACACCCAAATTCTTCAGCCCGTTGACAGGGACGAGCTTGGGAGGCGGTGTCCGAAGATGCTAATTAGCCTATCCCTGATGGTCCGATGGCCTGATGGTCTGATGGTCTGCTCATTGCCAGGCACCAAATCTCTCAGCCCAGGGAGGCCAAGGGCGGAAAATATTGCATCTCATCGCCAGGGAGGTCGTTTTGTCATCGTCTTCTTGGTGTGGGAGAACAAGTCTGAACGTCAGCCGTGCGTAGCACAAATATATTGGCGCCGGTCGGGCGGACAAGATAAAAACAAAAAGGCTGTCGTAAATGGCAATACACTGCGTCCAAAAGCAATCCGTGGCGCCGTCCCATGTCAACGCCAGCAAGGCAGAACGGACGGAAGAAATCAAAACCTAACTCGCAACTCCAGCCAAAATCCCGATACGTCCACAACTCCTCTGTCTCTTTTCGCAGCCATCATTTCCACCATCGGCGGCTCAGCCCTGGCAGACGTCGTGTAACACGCCTTACGCAGCAAAAGACGGTCTCGAGACACTGTCAGCTGGGCACCTTGTCTTTTGGATTGACACGGAATAAATTGCTCCGATCAGGGTCCAGGTTTGGGTCCGGGGTGCTTGTCTTCCGCTGACCATTCTTTTTCTTTTGCAATTCTATCGCATCCCATCGCGTCTCATCGTATCCCATTGTGACGGATCAACCGCCTCGCTGATCGTCCCCAGAAAAACCTCCCTAGGCACACGCTCGCTGCATGCTTCACGGCCTGATTCACGGTCGCGGTTTGTAGAACTACAACAGCGACACGACGATTATGCCAATTGTTATCCACGTTACCCACGCCGTCGTGCAACCGCATCCCTCCTTCAAGCAAACCTGACTGGCGCATTGGGCAGCAGTTTGCGCTTCTTTGGCTTATGTGTTTCGTAGGCGATGTCGCCGTCTGTGGGGTGAGGCGTCGTGCTCGACGGCCCGCCGGTGTGCGCCCCGTTGGTGTTGGCGGTGCTTTCATGCTGCTCGTTGGTCGACAGCGCGCTGTCGCTGCTGAAGTTGACCTTGGGTCGGTTCGGGACCTCTTTGGCCGCCCGCTCCATCACCACGAGTCCCTCGTCGGGATGCACCACGCGCCCGGACCCGCGGCCGAACAAGAACTGCGGCGTCTGCAGAGGGGCCATCTGGGCCGGACCGGACGCGTAGGCGATGTCGCTGTTTGTCGTGTTCGTCGTGTTCGTCGTTTTCGTCGTGCCGGTGCTGGCTCCACTGCCGTCCCCGGCCATCGGCACGACCCGTGCATTCCGCACCCACTCGTAAATGGGCCCGTCGTCCAGCAGCGTCTTGATGCGCCGGTGCTCCGCCGGCGTCAGCGCGTGCCGCCGGTCGACAATCACCTCCTCCAAGCTGTCGCGAAGGACCAATGTCTCGACATGCAGCACGCGCTTCTCTCCGTTGGCGTGGGCGCCCGCGCCACCGCCCCGGGCGGCGCCCTGGCTGATCCGCCGGACACGCCCGACGGCCTGCGCCTCGACCTGCGGGTTGAGGACGGGCGACGTAAAGTAGACGCGCGACGCCGAGCGCATGTCGAGGCCGAACGCGGCCTGCGAGAGGTCCATCAAGAGAACGCGGAACGGCGAGGACGTCGGCGCCGGTGCCGCCGTGCCGGTCGCCGTCGCCGCCGCCGCATCGCCATTGAATGTCGCCACGTACTGCGCCCTCCGCTCGGCCGTAATCCCCCGCGCATAGATCAGGTGCTGGATCTGCAAAATCTCCAGATGCTCGGCCAAGTAAAAGGCCACGTTCTCGTTGTCGTAGAAGACAATAATCTGCTCCTCGGCTTGATGGCGCACAATGGCGTCCAGCAGATACGACAGCTTGGCCGACGCCGTCGACACGAGACGCGTGTTGGCCAGGGGCGCCGCGAGAAACACGTCCGCCGAGGATGCATGGCCGTCCACAGCGATGGGGTCCAGGGCCGTGCCTGATGTGGACCGTCTCTTGAGCGAGCCCGCATGGTTGTCCTCGCCGAGCTTGGTGTTGCCGGCGAGGGTGGGATCGCCCTTGACCGGTGCGGCGCTGCTGCTCCCCGTATTTGCAGAAGCAACGGTGGTGCCGCCAGCCGTACTTCCGTTGCTGGCAGCACCACCGCCAGCCCTTGCCGTTGACTGCTTCTGTGCCGACTCCTGCTGCTTGCGCAACACGTCGCGGCCCTTTTGCTCAAAGCGGCCGTCGTCGAACATGGCGCGCAGTGACGTCGGCGCGTCCATGCACGGGCGGACGTACTGCTGCAGGGCGCGGACCATGGGTGCCGCCGTACATGTGAGGAGGCCCCCTCCACCCCCTCCACGCCCTCCACCCCCTCCATCACCACCACTCGGTTCCTCGCCATCAATGGACCACGCCGCGGCAAAGGACCCCCCGCCCGGCATGTCGGCCACGTAAATGGGCACTTCGTGGCAGGCGTCGGCCAGGCGCTTGAAGCGGTTGCCGACGGCGACGTGGCCAAAGGCAATGGCCTGCCGCAACAGCCGCTCGTCGGCGTCGCCGATGGGCACCTTGCGGTCCTCCAGAAACGTCTCGGCCGTCTCGAGGGCGGTGGCGATCTCGGCGACCGAATAGAAATTGGCGCCAAAGAAGGTGGCCTGGCGGATGTTGCTGAGCAGCCGCAGGAGGGCGCCGCGCTGGCGCGGATGGAAAAAGTAGTCCTGGTCGGTGCGCTGCGACTGGACGGCGTTGAAGACAATCATCATCGAGAAGAGGTTGAGACACAGCCGGTCCTGGTACGAGCCGTCCAGCACGACGACGCGCTCGTCCACGGCCGGCAAGAGCGCCCCCACCTCGGACGTGCGGTGGCGGATGATGAGCGAGTCGAGGGTGGCGCGCAGGCCGTCGCGGCGGCCGCCGCTGCTGCGGTTGCTGTGGTGCGGCTGCATGACATACACGGCCCAGTCGGCGGGGGCGTCGCCGACGGCCATGCCCGCCGCGGTATGCCCGCCGACCTCGCGGATGGTGTTGGCCCACGGGCGCACCCGCAGGTACAGACTGGCCATGGCGCCGATGCGCTCGAGGTCTTTGCGCTCTTGCAGCGCGGCGGGCGTGGCGGGCGTGGCGGGCGTCCCGGGCGGCGAGGGGGGCACGGATTCGACGCCATCCGACTGCTGCTGCTCCACGCCAAACAGGCCGGTCGACGGCGTGCCCGTGACGATCCACCGCGCCGACACCTGCAGGCAGTCCAGGACCAGCAGCAGGTTGCTCTTGCGGCCCATCTTGGCGTTGCCCAGACGGTGGCCCTCGTCGACAATGACTCGCTTAAAGTGGACGGCGGCCAGCGGGGAGCGCAGCTCATAGCCGGCACGCGTGACCTCGCGGTCGTGCACGAGCTTCTCGAAGCGGGGGATCGAGAACAGCAGGATGTCCGCCTCCAGAATCTGCTCGGTCGTCGGGACCGGTGCACGCTGACCGGCCACGACGAGCACGTTGAGGCCCTGCGTGTGTTTGGCAATCTCTTCCTCCCATTGGCGCACCAGGTTGGCAGGGACCAGCACCAGGCTGCAGCTGCTCAGCGTGATGGGCGTCGACGACGACGAAGAAAACGACGACGTCGACGCCCGCGGACTGTCCCGCGCCGTCGCCTTGAACCGTGGCAGTACGTACATCGCCGGGTTGCGCTGGATGGCTGCGATGCAGTGGCGGAACTCGTCTGCGTTGGCCTCCGTGTCGGCCAAGTACAGCTTCCACGGCACCGACTGGCGTGACACGATCGTGGCGGCCATGTCGCCCAGCGACCGTGGCCCTTTCCGTCTGTTGTCGTCCTCGCTCGCTTCGCTCACGCGATGGTCGTACACGTCTGGCAGCTCTGCTGGGAACGCCCGCGTCGCCAGAATCAGTGCCAGACAGATGAGCGTCTTGCCCGTGCCCATCTCCTCGGCCAGGATGCCGCCCGACACGCCGTCGTAGAGCCGCGCCGTTCGCAATACCTCGCCAGTGACGTCGTCGTAGTACCAAGTGCTGTTTTTTTGGTCCTCGCTGCGCTCGGGCTCGGGTTGCTCAGACTGCTCTCGCAGCCGCAGCAGCCGCGGATCCACTACGCGCCCTGGCTGCAGCTCCCTCTGCAACATCACCGCCGCCGACCGCATCTGGTGCCCGTACAACGTCGTCGTCTCCTTCAGCCCGGGCACTCGGCTCGTCATCAGTGCATCCATCACACGCTGGTACGACTCGTCGTGGACCAGGTCGACCCGTGGCTGCGGCGACGGGATCGTGTTGAACATTTGCAGGAGGGTCGTGGCCCCGCCGCCGTTGTCATCGTCGTCGTCGTCGTCGTCCTGCCGTACCCTGACCCGCGCATCGTGCACAAGGAGGGGTGACGCCGTCGCGACGCCCCGCCAGCCCGCGTCCGCGTAGTCCAGCCCGTTCAGCAGGCGTTGCAGGTCCCGCCGCACCTTGATGTCCGACCGTGGCACCAGCCGGCGGTACGCGTCATCGGGCAGAACGTAGAGGCGACAGATGCCGAGAGACGTTGCAGCTGCACCATCCGCCGTCGTTGCGCCCCGAAAGGCAAGCCGGATCCACCGGTGCAGGAGTGGGCGAACGCTGGGCGCCAGCGCCGGCAGCTTCAAGAGGGCCAGCGACGTGTCATGGGGAAGTGTGCTCGCACCTTCAGCACTGCCGCCCTTGGCATCCCCCGGCTGGACCATCAGCCACTGGTCCGGTGCCTCAACATCTGTGCCGTCCAGGGGCACCGTAAAGCTGCCCGCGGCAATGTACGCCGACAGTGGGATGTCCATGGCGGGAGGGAAGGGATTGAATAATAGTAAACAAGGCAGGCAGAAGCCGTAGGACGCCGAGACCGTCTCACATGCCGCTAGTCCGGGGTGAGTCAGGCGAGTCTGGAGAATATCGGTGCGTCGGTGTGAGATGCCAGTATTTCCCTATTTACCCCGTCGGCGACGTGGATGTTTGATAATGGGAAACGACGAATAAACGGGGAAAGAGGCTGGCCATTAGTGGCTTCCCATTCGCGAGGCTGGCCTAGTTGGGACACCGTGCGGTGCCTAGAATAAGTGGAGCATCCTCGCTGAATAAGAATATTAGCGGATGCAACGGTACGGCTTGTCCGCTGGAAATACAGGGGCATCTACTGTAAACACTGTTGGCAGGGCCATATCTACGAACAAAATGCCTTGATTGTATTTCTTTTGTCATCATGTACGTTGGTATCTATGCTCTACTATCCACTGGAATGCCTCCTCGGATCCCAACGGTCCAGTACACCAATCCTCCATTCTTTAAAGTCTCGGTCTCGTGCTGGTAGAAGCTGTGTGCTTGACTCCAGCAACTCCGTCACCGCCCCAATCGTCTCTCGCGGCAAGTTGATCTCCTGCACGTCCGAATTCAGGCTTTCCAGAATGGCATCCGCCTCGGCGCGCGGGATGTGCTTGTAGAGCAGCTTGACGGCGCGGGATGGCGTGGCGGTGGACGGGTTTCGTGACCTCCCCGATGAATACACAATGCTGCCGTTGAGCACCCAGACTTGGAGAACATTTTCGGTGTCTTCTGTTCCCAGAACACGTCCCTCGAGCTCGTAGATGGGCACGATCAGCGACTTGGACGAGCCCGTCCGCTGGATCGTTGCCACGAGCGTTGCTGCTACACAGTCGGCAATCGTGGGCTGCCCTTGCTGGCCAGCCGTAGCGACCTGCACCTGCCACTTGAAGAGGTGTATTGCCTGCTGCCGTAGAGTAAAGTAGCCGACCTGGGCGCGACACGCAGCACAAAGGACGCTGAGACCGCGTGGAGCGGCGACCGTGTTGGCTGTCGTGGCTGCTGCGTTTGTGGCGGCGGTCTGGACGGTGGACAGTGCATCGTCGAGACGAGACGAGGCCTTGTCGACAGTGGACTCGGAGAACTGCGGGATGTTAGCGGTACGTATTCATTCATTTGGACGGGTATGCGTCGTGACATGTCCCTCGTCACCTCTCTGTGCATCGCCCTGTATGTTTGGCGGGCACAGAAAGGGCATGGTGAGGAAAACGAACGAGCGCCTCCATGCCGTCATTCTCTGGCCGATGCTTCTGATGAGAAACACTGAACCATGAAAGGGCGGCAGGTGACGCCGTCCGCAAAGAGTTTGCTCTAGGGCATTTGTATCGGTGGACATGCTATCGAACGAGCAGAGCTCAGCTTGGCCGCCTTCTTGATGCCCAAGTATGGGGGACACGGCAACTCAACACGAAAAGTGCAAAGTTGAAGAAAGAAAGACTCACCAAAACGCCTTGACAGTCGACCTCGGAAACGAGCAGCGTCGTCAGGTCCACAAACCCGACGCCCGCGTCCACCGAGATGGTGCTGTTGGCTCCGTACCCACGGCTGGCAAGACCAGTGCCGGTGTCCTCGCCATTCTTTGCAGCCGCACCCGGCCCGCCTGCTGTTTCCGTTTCCTTCACATCCGGCTTGTGACAGTGCCAAAACTCCATCATCTCCGCCCAGTTGTCGCTCGGCAGGTCTTTCCACGCCTCGATGCGGTGGGCGGCGACCAGTTCGGCAGAACATCCACGGCAGCGGACAGACGACCCAACCGACAAGTCGGGTGCTGACCACGGTGCCAGCTCCGTGTCGTCGGTCTGCCCGTTTTGTGTCGTCGGCCCCTGCAGAGGCAGCCGCCACGCGACGTACCCCGACGCCAGCGCCGGGCCTGGTACGGGAAGCGGTGCACCGGCCGCCGTCACGGCCACTCGGCCGGGCAGGGTCAGCACGGCAGTTTGCTGGTCTCCATCGTCTTTGCCACGCCGTCGCACTCGCAACGTCACGCCATCCGGCAGCACCTCGGCCGTTGTCTGCCGCGCCTCGATTGGTCCCGCAAACGACGCCGAAACAGACACTTGGCGGATGTTGACGAGCAGTTCGGCGTACAGCTGGATGGGCGGTGTGGCCGCTATGGGGGTTGTGGGCATGACGGTGGGTGGACGTGCTGCCGTGCCGTTGTGGATGGAGAACCCGATGAAGACGAAGGTCGATGGCTACGCCAATTCTTAGAGGTCTTAGAGGACCCAACAGTGTAACTTCACACTGTACCTTGTTTGCGCACTGTATCGGATCACAACTACACAACCAACAGCCATCTACGGCATACAATGTACGTATACCGATCTTCCTCTTTCACGTGTGCCACACTGTTACGCCGTCATGTCTTATTCTCACGTGTACGCTCGTAAATTCACAACGGTCTACATAAGGACTTGGAAAATTAAAAACGTTTGCCCGACCGTTCCGATCCCGAAGATGCAAGGACTGACGACACGACAGAACATAAAGGGAAAAGCAAGACCACTGCGCGTCCCCGTCTCTACTCCTCTTCCGCCTCCTCGGCGGCGTCCTCCTCGTCCTCCTCGTCCTCGTCAAAGCTGCCGGCCGGCACCTGGTACAGGCGCAGGATGGACTTGTTGGGGTCCTTGACCAGGACGTAGCGGCCGTCGCCCTGCTTGTGGCACATGTCGGCAATGGTGCGCACGATGCCCCAGCCGTTGGACAGGCTCAGGTTCATCTGGGCGGCAAAGTCGCGCGGCTTCCAGCCGACGACGCCCAGGATCACGTGCTTATCGTTGGTCTTGGGGTTGGCGCGCGACACGAAGCCGACCTTCATGACGTCGGCCTTGGCCAGGATGCTCTGCACGGTCCAGCGGGCGAGCTTGCACGAGTTGTTCTTCATCTCGGTGGCGACGACGGCGCCGCGCTGCGTGGCCAGCTTGGTGCGCCAGTCGAGCGCGCCGCCCGAGCCCTGCGCCTTGCTGTCAAACTCGTTGAGCGCCTTGACGCTCAGGAACTGGTCCTCGCCGTTGGTTGCGTTCTTCTGCACGGCGTCGAGCTCCGTGCGCACCACCAGGTACACGGGGTCCTCGTCGTTGGTCGACAGGTCGAAGCGGCGGTACTTGTAGGCCTTGGACGCCGGCGGCTCCGTCTCCTCCGAGGCGTTGTAGAAGGGGTTGGCGTGCGCCATCTGCACCTTGCCGCCGGCCGCGCTGCTCTCGAGCACCACCTGGTTGGCAAAGTTGTGGTTGATGTACGTGGCCTCCTCGGCCAGCGCGCCCGGCTGGTTGACCGTGTCCTTGCTGCCGTCGGCCGCCTCGAGCGGCGCGTCGGCCGCGTTCTCGTTGACCGTCACCATGTCCAGCGCCGCGTTGTCGCGCTTGTCCAAGAAGATCTTGCCGCCCTGCCGCACAATCACCAGGTCCCACGGGTACACCGAGCGCGGCGCGCACATGAGCATCGACAGGATGCTGTCCGTCGCAAAGATGGTCGCCTCGCCCTTGTCGGCCATCTCCTGGATCACCGGGTCCGACGACGTCGTCACGTTGTACGCCGCGCGGTCCAGCGCCGTCAGCTTGCGCTCGCTCGACTTGGCGACCGGCGGCTTGTCAAAGGCGCGGTCGTAGTAGTACAGGAACCCAAACGAGTCCAGGTCCTCGCCGTCGTCCGCGTCCAGGTTCAGCTTGCTGAGCCGGTTGTAGTCAATCTCCTCCATCAGGTGCCAGTCGGCCTTGATGTTGACCGACGCGTCGCGGTTGCGCTGCGGCTTGTCGTAGTCCTTCCAGCCGAACCGCCGCCCGCGGTTCGACGCACCGCCCCGTGCACCTGCTGCACCGCCCGCCGCGCCGCCGCCCGCCGCGCCACCCACCCGACCGCCGCGGGCCGTCAGCGCCGTGCGCGCGCCGCGAGCGTCCTGGCCACGGCCGCCACGTCCAGCACCGCCGCGGCCGCCGCGCGTGAACACGGCGCCACCGCGCCCAAATCTCGTCTTGCCGGTGTCGCGGACGTTGCTGACAACGGAGAAGGTGCCCTCGTCTTCGGCGGGCGGTGCGGAGAACAGCGAGACGGTACCGGCACCGTAGACTTGTTGATCTAAGGGGTGGAGGAGAAAACGTCAGCTGTGCCCAAATGTTAGGCCATGCCCTGCTGGGATTCGTGCGGACTCACCTCTGTTGTAGCGGTTGTACTGCTGGCGGCCGCCGCGGCCGGTGTCCTTGCCGTCGACGGTCCAGTCGGCCATGCGGCCCAGCTTGTCGCCCTTGGAGAAAGGCGCATAGGGGACGCCGTTGAGCGTCGACTCGGTCGAGACCGGCGGGCCCCAGCCGTCGCCGTCCGGCAGAGCGGCGATGATTTGCGAGAGAGACTCCATTGCGGCGTCGATACGAGGAAGTGTGTCGACGAATGTGGAATCGTGAATCAGAATCGTGGGGTTCGTCGTCTGTGATAATCGAAGTAAATACACCCTGGGCGAAAAAATTGGGAAAAGGAACCACGAAAAAAGTTTGGGTCGTTTGTGGGAGGGCGGGGTATGAAAAGTGGGTCATTTACAGCTGGTGCCAGCTGGCGGAATAGTAGTTGACTACTTGTCCATGCTACCGCTTTGGCTGACAGTAGCGCGAAGCCAATTCCTCACCAAAACACGACCAAATATGGTGACGATCTCCTATTGATTGACGTCCGAAACCATTGCCAGGGTTGACAAAAGCAGAAGAAAGGGAAAAAGGAAGGAAAGTGAATTTGTTTCTCCGACTGCGGACATTACTTGCCATGCTGTTGTACAGCCGGCAGCGTCACAGTTGACGGCGCTCTACAGAGGAGCATCGGCGATTTGATGCCATCCAGCATCCACACAACCATGTCACGACATGGCCCGTCTCGGCCGCTCGGGCGGACGATGACTGCGAGCTCGTCCAAGTTGTCCAGTCGAATACGTCCATCTCTCGGGATATGGCCCAACTATTGAGCCCGCTGCAGGGGCCACATGTGGACGTTGTTGACTGTCGAGGCTTAACACCGTCCAAAGCGGACTCCGAATTCCGATCTATTCCGGTCGGTTCTGGTGCACGACCACGACAAAATGGCTACAAGGTGGTAGATAAGAAGACTCGCTTGTCTTGGAAGAGGCAACCCAGACGAGTGTCAGGATTTCCAGGGTCTTGAATTTGTTGCTCGTTTGTTGTGAGACTGTGTCTCTACATCTCACCTCCTCATCGAGCCGACTCGTTGTCTCTCCCACAGCTAGACCAAAGAATGCCTCCCGTCAACCAGGCTGCGTGGCTCAAGGCCCGCAACGCACGCCCGCTCGTCGTTGGACCTGCACCCTACACGGCCCCGGGCCCCGGCCAGATCGTCGTCAAGAACCATGCCGTCGCCATCAACCCCGTCGACTGGTGCCTGCAGGTGCTCGGCCAGTTTGTCCTGACGTTCATCAAGTACCCCATGGTCCCCGGCGGCGATCTGGCGGGCGAAGTCGTCGAGGTCGGCAAGGGCGTTGAGGGCTTCCACGTGGGCGACCGCGTCATGGCCCTCGTCTGCAGCGCGGCGCCTGATTTGGCCGCATCGCACGCCGCCGCGCAGGCGGAGGGCGCGTTCCAGCTGTACACCGTCGTGCGCCCGCTGCTGGCAGCACGCATCCCCGCGTGGATGGCGTACACGGACGCGTGCGTTCTGCCCCTGACCCTCGCCACGGCGGCGTACGGTCTCTTCCACCCCGCCTTCTTGGGCCTCGACCTGCCGACCGTCCCTGCCCGGCCTCTGAGCTCCACCAAAAAGGTCTTGGTGGCCGGCGGCGCCTCCAGCGTGGGCTGCAACGGCATCCAGCTGGCCACCCAGGCCGGCTACCAGGTCGTCACGACGGCGTCGCCCAAGAATTTCGCCTATGTCAAGGCCCTCGGCGCCGCCGCCGTCTTCGACTACCGCAGCAAGACGCTGCAGCACGACTTGGTCCAGGCGCTGGCGGGCGGGGAGGTCGTCGGTGCGCTGGCTGTCGGCGACGGCTCCGTCGAACTCTGCATGAACGTCCTGGGTCGCCTTCCGGGCAGCCGCCGCTTCGTGGCCATGGCCGGCGCCGTCATGGTGCCGCCCAAGGTGGCCTCCTTCACAGGGCGTGCCTCGTTTATTGCGTCGACTCTGTGGCAGGGCGTGCGCACGTCGATGGCGGGACGGTCGACGGGCGTGGAAGCGAAGTTTGTCGACACCAAGGACCTGTTGCAGGACGACTGCGTTGTGGGCCGCGACGTCTTTGGACAGTTTCTGCCGGCGGCTCTGGCGGCACAGCAGTACGTCACAGCGCCGCGGACGCGCGTGGCGGGTCACGGTTTGGAGGCGCTGCAGGTGGCCATGGACCTGCAGCGCAACGGTGTGTCGGCCGAGAAGGTGGTGGTGACTCTGTAGGTGCGGTGAGGAGTGGCTGTTAGTAAGAGATGTTCTGAGTTGTTGTGTAGATGCTTTGCTTGCTGTGGTAGGAACTTGTCAAGTAGTGGGTGATTAATTTCACTTCTTTACGTATTGGTTGTAAATACGTAATTTTTATTAAAGTAAAACGGATAATTAAAATAAGCAAATACATAATAATAAATATTTGCAGTCGCATTCTTTTATTTTATTTTTATATTTTTTTAACAAAATGTTTTGCAAAACCGTCCAAGTTAAAAATCAAATAATTTTGATATTATTCAACTTAAAATAACAGTAAATGTATCTTCTAGTGGATGCTTTAGCAACGCCTCAGTCTATGTACGCAATGACTCCCTCGATCGCGAGACTTTACACTGCCGAGGTGTTCCGCATCCTACGCACGGTCAGGTACATCAGCAGCGTAAACACGGCCGTCAGCGACATGGCCGTGCCGGTAAACAGCTGCGCGCCCAAATAGCTGCCGCTGGCGTCGAGGATGGCGCCGGCAATGGGCGGGCCGATGAGCGACGAAATGCCCTTGAGGACGGCGACACAGCCGAGGCGCGTGCCGAGGGTGGAGAGGTCGTGGGTGATGCTGCTGAGGACGACGGGCGCGAGGGTGACGACGGACGACGAAAAGAAGCCGTAGAGGACGGCGAAGGCGAGGTTGCCGGCCTGGTTCTGCACCGAGATCCAGTAGAAGTCGACGGCGGCCGTGACGGCGCAAATGGCCAGAAAGGTGGCGACGACGCCGTAGCGGTCGGCCACGACGGACGGGAGCAGGCGGCCCGGGACGGCCGCCACGTTCAAAATGACGAGCAGGTACTGGGCGAGGGACGGCGGCGTGCCGTGCGCCTCGGCGTAGCTCACGAGGTAGTAGAGCGGCTGGAAAAAGGCCAGGTTGGAGAAGAAGATGGCGACGCACTGGATGAGGTAGCGGCGGTCGAGCAGCGCGGCGTCGTGGGCGAGCAGGCGGAGGCCGGCCAGGCTCCAGCGGGAGGCGCTCGTGCCGCCGACGACGGGCACCCGTCGGAGCCGCGGCTTGGCCACGGCCGTCGCGGCGCTGCACAGCGCGAGGGCCACGCCGCCGATGGCGCGCATCGTCCACGCGTAGCCGATGCGCGGCTGCAGGCGCGCAAACATCAGCGGGTACAGCGAGGCGCCCATGCTGCTGCCGATGCTGGCGACGCCCATGGCCAGTGCGCGGTGCCGTGAAAAGTAGCTCGGGACCAGCGTGATGGCCGGAATGTACAGGCATCCCGCCCCGATGCCCATGCAGAAGCCCTGCGCCAGCAAGACCTGGTAGTACGTTGTGGCCAGGCTGGCCATCATGCAGCCGAACACGAGCAGGAACGTGCCCGTCACGAGCATGGACCGCGCGTATCCCAGGTCAAAGAGCGGCCCAAAGAAAAAGCCGCCGGCCATCAGCAGAAACACCTGGACCGACCCGACCCACGAGATGGCCGACGCATTCTGGTCCGCCAGCAGACCCTGCTCGTAGTATGTCTGGAAGGCGCCGAAGCCGTTGAGCAGCCCCAGGCTGTTCCAGTACAACAGGAACGCGGCGGCAACCTGCAGCCATGCATGGAAGCCGCCGCCGGGGGCCGCGTCATGGGGCAGGCCGGGCGTTAGCGGCGCAGATTCGGTCAGTGGTGCATCGTGAGGTGTGTCGTCGAGCGGTTGTTGTTGTTGTTGTGGTTGTTGTTGCGGTTGTGGTTGTGATTGAGGTGTAGTGTTTGTTTCGACTTCCTTTTCATTTACAGGAGTGTCCATGCCGATGATGTCTATCGGCTCTGTATGCCACTGATTGTGGACGTTGTTCTTGTCAACCGTTCCTGGCATTCATCGTTGGTATGCTTTTGCCTTTCGCCGGTGTTGACAGCATTCATTTGATTTTGTCGAACATGCCTCGTCTTCAGATGTCATGGCCTCCTCGCCGTCGGTGCCGTGCCGTCCTTTCCTCGGTTATGGTAACTGTCCTTTCATCGGTCATGTCCTTCTCCGCAATATGCAGTCAGATTCGTGTGGAGTCTTTGTCCGTCTAACTGGACGACATCAGTCTCGCTACTCTCTCGCTCGTCGATGCATGCAGGTGCTGGTTAAGGCTCGCTGCGTAGACTGTGTGTTTATTCTGAGTCTTTGTAGTTTATTTCTCGCTAGTTTTTCTGCACCTCTCATGCTCATAATTTCGTCAAGTTCCTTCACCGTTGTTTTCCTCTGTTCCCATTGCGCCATCGCCGGGTCTTGTCTGCTAGGTTGCGTTTGTCGGTGCTGCAGGTTGCGGGTTACAGCCATCCGGGAATAACTAAAACCCCAACCCAGCCCAAACCGACACAACCCCGACGCTCACAAAGGCCATAATAGTATCGCCTGGACACATGCCGAAGAGCACAGAGTGGGGATCGCAACTGTGCGAAGAAGGAAATAGCGCGGAAATCGGCACGAGCGAGACACTTGGAGAGGCCGCGGCGTTACCATCTTGGGACTTGAAGGAATCCTAGCGTCGCTGTCCGGCGTGCCAGCCTCAGTCTTCTCTCTTCGGCGAAATGAACGACAGAGAGGCCGTGATTGACTATCTCGCAAGCCACCTATCTTCGCTCACACACCCGGTCGTGTGTAATCCAGGGCCGTCACGCGCTTCCACACTTCGCGGACCACACGCTCCTGGGCTTCCCGGCCTGACTCCGGCGGTACGTCCTTGTCAACTGACGGCGATGGCCCTGCCGGCCGGATGGCCAAATACAGGCGGCCGCCCAGGTGGGCATCCTCCACGGCCACGTCCGCGTAGTCCCCCGTGGCACTCGCCGGCGGGTTCGCCGTCGTCACCAACCCGCCGGCCTCTTCCAGGATGGCGAACCCGGCCGCCACGTCCCACTCCCAGCACCCGCCCTCCCACCAAATGTCAAAGGACCCGGCCGCCGTGTACGCCAGATCCATGGCCGCGCTGCCCAGGCTGCGCACGCCGTGCACCATGCCGCCCAGCCCGCCCCGTCCGCTGCGCTCGGTGGCCATGGTCACGAAGCTCTCGACCTTGCGGCCCAGGTTGCCGCCGGACGCCGTGTCGCGCCGGTCTTTGCCCCACTCGCAGCTGAAAATGCAGCCCGCGGGCGCGTTGGCCGGCAGCGGCGGGACGGCCGGGTTGTGCAGCAGCGGCAGCCGCGTCGTCTCGTTGAGCCAGGCACCCTTGCCGCGGCACGCACTGAACAGCTGGTTGAGCATGGGCGCGTAGACGACGCCCATCACGGGGCGGCCGCCGACGACGAAGCCAATGGACACGCAGTACATGGCAAACAGGTGCGTGTAGTTGACGGTGCCGTCGAGCGGGTCGACGATCCACGTCGGCGCGACGCTGTCGACCAGGTAGTCGCGCGAGGCGCCCTTGGAGTACGACTCTTCGCCGAGAAACTGGTGCGTCGGATACCGCGCGGCGATGGCCGCCCGGACAAACGCCTCGACGTCCTCGTCGGCCTGCGTCACCAGGTCGACCGAGCTGTCCTTTTCCTGCGTGTCGAGACGCACGCCGCCGCCAGCCATGCGCGCCTTGGCGCCGTCGGCCAGCCGCTGCCCGGCATCTTTGGTCAGCTGCACGGCAAACTCGTAGATGCTGCCGAGCTCAGCGTCGGACATGCTGGCGGAGGAGGAGGCCATTGTGGTGAAGAGGAAGATGCGTGTATCGGTAATCGGTAAATGCAAATGGGACAATAAACGGCAAGGTGAAATGTCAAGAGAAGAGGTTGACAGCAAACGTCAGAAAGAGCTCAAAATTTGGTACTGTTGTTCCTACTTTGTTTGGCAGTGGTGACGGAAGCTACACTGCAGCACTTTCAGTTGTGAACACCGATCTGCCCTCCGTACCTTCCGTGCCTTCCTCGACCGCCAGTAGCCGAAGCCAGCCTTGCATGGATCCAATTCCGCGCGCGGATCTTCACTGACGTGTCCGACGTATCTGACGTATCTGAAGAGTGGCTGGCCTTGCGACTCCAAACTGAGATGCGTCGACCTGACAAGAAATGGCGAGTCGATACGAATCCCGTTACGCGGGACGCTAAAGCCTGGTGGAGGCGTGAGCAACCCCAATTCTATCATTTCATAGCGCATCCTTTAGCGCCTTCAGTGGCTGCAGCGCCCAGCTACCGGAAGAGCACTCTTCCACTGTCCTGGCCAGCGTCAACTCTGCTACCACACAAACATCTTCCCTCTGACTCCCCACACCTCCACAAACTCACAAATGCAGCCACCGGCAACGGAGACTAAGAGCGTCATGGGCTTGAGTACGGGTGTCGGGAGATGAGGGGCCATGAGCATTGAGGTCGCTGCTATATTGTCACCGTAAGATAACAAGTCACTTACGTCGGCCAGTGGATAAGGTCCGAGTGACATGAGTTATCAATACTTTGTCACCACTACCACGACCACTTACACACTCGTTCGTTGCACCACCACCACCACCACCACCACCATGGCCCGCCGCATCCTCCTCATCAACGGTGCCAACCTCAACATGCTCGGCACCCGCGAGCCCGAGATCTACGGCACCACGACCCTGGACGACGTCGTCGTCGCCGCCCAGGCCCAGGCCCAGGATCTGGGCGTCGAGCTCGAGGTCTTCCAGTCCAACCACGAGGGTGCCATTGTCGACCGCATCCAAGAGGCCGGCGGCTTCGGTCATTTGGTGACGACGCCCGTCGCGGGCCACGCGGAGCACAAACGCGTCGACGCCATCATCATCAACCCGGGCGGCTTCACGCACACGAGCGTCGTCATCCGGGACGCGCTGCTGGGCGTCAGCATCCCGTTCGTCGAGCTGCACGTGAGCCAGGTGCACGCGCGCGAGGCCTGGCGGCACCACAGCTACTTCCACGACAAGGCGACGGCCGTGATTGCCGGCTTGGGCGCGTACGGCTACACGGTGGCCATTGAGTTCTGTGCGAAGCACTTGAGAGTGAAGGGCAAGTAGGTGGTGGCGGAAAACGGAGAATGGAACGCGACTATAGAAGATGGATGGAGAACAAGATACATCAAAACAATAATGTAGATTGAAAAATTGCTTTATCAAGAGCGACAGGTGTGACTACGAGCCATCATCTGTTGCGAGTCAAATTATGTGGTATAAAGCAACGCAAGCCATGAATACAACATAAGGGCAAAATGAGTTTGAGCACGTCACCCTGCTTTACAATGACGCCGAGATCTTGGGCGTCTCGCTCGATGCCACGTCCGCCGCGCTGCTCGCCGCCAGGTCCCGCTGCAGACGCTGCCAGGACAGAACACCCCGCCGTGCCAGCGCCTCCGGCACGCCCGCCCCCGTGTCTGACATACACCGGTTGAACAGCTCCAGGCTGACCCAGTCGTGGCTGTAGCCAAGGCCATGGAAGATTGTCCGCGCAATCTGCAGTACCGGCAGGTACGCCTTCTCCTCGCCGTAAAACAGCCTGCAGTTGCGCGACCAGGTCATGCGCGAGGGCTGCTCGGCGCTGTACAGGACATGACCCGGCACAAGCGGTGCATCCAGCCGCTCGGCGTCGACGAGCTGCACGAGAAAGACACGCTCGCGGGGCACGGTCGTCCGCAGACGGGCCATGGACGCAGCGACGGCGGCCTCGGCGTCGACGGCCTTGCCGCTCGGAGCCGCAGGATCCGCGTACACGGCGCCCGCGATGTTGAAGGTATCCAAGCACAGACCCAGGTTGCGGCGGTTGGCCGCGTCCACGACCGCCCAGCTGTCCTCCCACGTGCGCGCGTACGTGCCCCAGCAGAGGCTCTCGTAGCAGACGCGAATGTGCACGGCCGCCGCCAGGTCGGCCAGCTCCGCCAGGTCGGCCGCGCGGCCCTGGACGCCACCGCCCGCCAGCAGCTGGTCCGCCGGCAAAAACGTCGACGGCACGAGGACCAGGTCCGTGCCCAGCGCCTGTGCCATGTCCAGCCACAGCCGCCACTCCTCGATCCGCCGTGCGTGCTCCGCCCGGTCCCGCAGGCCCTCGTAGTGCATAAACGGCTGCAGGCTGACGACGGCCAGGTCGCGCTGCTGGCACTGCGCCCGGATCCAGCGGGCGGCCGCCAGGTGGCTCTCGGCCGACGGGGTGGCGGCGTCACCGGCGTTGTTGGTGGCGTTCTTGTCGAGCGTGTGGGCGACGTCGACCAGGTCCTCGTAGAAGACCTCGATGCCGAGATAGCCGTACTTGTGCGCCATGTCGAGCTTGTGCTCGAAGCTGTGACCGGCAAAGCAGCGCGCCAGAGACATGGAGCTGATGGCAAGTTTGCAGTCCATAGTGTGTGGTGTGAAGGAGGTACGGAGAGGGATGGTTGGAGATGTCAACTTGTGTCTATGTGAGTCAATGATATGAGAGGATTGTGAAATAGGTGGTAAAAGAGTGATATAAAAGCAGTGAAGTAAGAAGTTTCAGGGGCAATTGGTATCAACGTATTCAGGAAAGGCCAGACGATAACATAGGCAAGCGATTCATCAAGGAAAGAGGGAGCCGACAGAGAACAGATACAGATATGCACGAGAAAAGGCAGTCACGTTCTACGGTCCCGGGAAAGACATGGCTCTGTACGTCGTACTGAAATCGTTTTCGGCAGCTACGAATGTGCAACGAAACACATCGTTTACGAAAGTGTGGCTAGGAAGGAGCGATGGAGGGATGGCTTGACACGGGTACCCACGGGCTTTGCTCGAGGCTGGTGGCTGCACCATCAAAGACGTCAACAGTGCATCAAACAAAGCTGATGGCGTGCGCTCTGCCCGGTTTGCACAGCATGGCGTTGCACTCCGTATTGCAAACCATACAGAGCGTCAGTGGTGGTTGCTGATCTGTCTGCACAATACGAATTACCGCTGGGCGTAAGCGACGAAGGCTGCAAGTAAGAACTTCCTGATTAGGCAGGGACAACAACTAACACAGACGAAAGTGGACGGACCCACTTATTGTCAGACTCGCAACGCATTTTCTTGGGCTGCTGTTCGTTGACCCGTTTTGTGTGGTGGCCGGAAGAATGTTTACCAGGGGCATCCAGGCACCTTTTCAGGTCTGTTGGCCACTGCAGTGGGCCCAGTTAGGTACGCACCATCTGCCGGGCTTTTGGGGTATTCTCTTCAGCGCAGTCCGTCCGCTAATTCAGGCGATAGTCCTTCCAACTCGTTTTAAGTCTTCTAGGCTAAGCGTTTTATGCTGTTACCAGTTTTTTTCCCGAGTCGACAAGACGGCGCAAACAACGCCGAACTTTGCAGTGAAAGCGTTCTTCCACGCACGCTTTGCCTTTCCCCATTTCGCTTTACGGGAGCAAGCCGACGGTCCGGCTACCATACACACAGTTCTCATTCCCCAAGAAGGAATGTCGAAGACAGTAGGCCTTTTTGCCGGTCTTCTCCAGAGTAATTACTCCATATCACGACTTTGTGGGCGTGGAGAGGCAGAGATTGGCCGTTGGTCCATGTCGTGATATATCTGGGTTACTCTCCATTCGAGGAAGTGAGGAAATATCGTCTCACGAGGTTTCCTTATCATTTCAATTTCAGACATATTCACAAGAACATATTTCAAACGCAGAAAGGAACGTCTACAATAAAGAACACCGAGAACACCGAGGCAAACGTAGGAGCGAACGCAGCATTACCTGCTTCGTCCACGCCTGTGTTGTCCCTTTCTCTTGCCCTACTCCTCCTTTCTTCTCTCTTCCCCCGTCAACCGCCGCACATCACAATGGCGACCCAGATCGAGTCCCAGTCACAACCACCGCCACCGGCACCAGCACGACCACCGACGCCGGCGGCAGCAGCCACAACCGCCGCTACTGCGCTGACGGACGTCCCCGCCGTCGGCCACCTCGACAAGCACGGCTACCTCTTTGGCAAGAAGCTGGCGGCGTCGCTGTCGCCCATGTTGCACGACGTCGTCTACACCAACCTAGGCATCAACTGGGGCCAGGTCCGCTTTGACTCGACCGACATTGTCACGTTCCTGCAGCTCGTGCGCGCGCCCAACTTCTACGGCGCGTCCGTCACCATGCCCAACAAGGTCACCATCCTCCCCTACCTGGACAAGCTGACGCCCGAGGCCACGGCCGTCGGCGCGTGCAACACCATCTACCTGGAGCAGGACCCGGCCACGGGCCGCCGCCTGCTGTGCGGCGCCAACACGGACACGGTGGGCGTGCGGGACGCGTTTACGCAAAACCTGAGCGAGGCCGACCTCGCCGCGCGCATCCGCGGCCGCCCCGGTTTGGTTGTGGGCGGCGGCGGCGCCGCCCGCAGTGCCGTCTACGCGCTGCGCGAGGGCCTCGGATGCACGGCCATTTACCTGGTGAACCGCGACGCCGCCGAGGTCGCCGCCGTCATTGCGGATCTGCAGGCGTCCGGCTTCGGCACCGACAACATCGTCCACGTCGCCACCGTCGAGCAGGCCGAGGCCCTGCCCGCAGCGGGCGCCGCCGTCGGCTGCGTGCCCGACGTCCCGCCGCAGCGCGAAGACGAGAAGCTGGCCCGCCGCATCACCGAAGTGTTCCTCGCCAAGGCGCCCAAGGGCGGCGCCCTCCTCGAAATGTGCTACAACCCGTCACCATACACGGAGCTGGGCGCGCTGGCCGAGCGGGCCGGGTGGCAGGTGATTCTGGGCACGGAGGCGCTCATCTACCAGGGGCTGGAGCAGGACCGGTATTGGACGGGCCGGACGCTGGACAAGCTGCCGGTCAAGGAGGTGAAGAAGGCCGTTGCCTCGCACCTGATGCAGCTGCCCAAGATGTAGATGAAGTGTGGTGTTGTCTTTCTCTTCTTTATTCATAGCGACCATAGACATCTGCGACATAGACTGCAGTCATTCGGTGCACTGGAACCCGCCGATTCAATGTACATGACGACTTTACAATGTTAACATATGTGCAATCGTGTCCCGTCCCTATTATGATGTGTAAACCTGTGACTCTAGTTGTTTCGACACCATCAACATTTGCAACGACAGTACTAGACGCAGTTATTGTCTGTATTCTATTTAAGTAATGTACTCCTAGCATCATTGTTATTTGAATTGCATTCATCTTTCATTTGGTATCGTAGTATCCAAGATATCTGCGTAGTCTTCGTCTTCTATTTACATGCATTGCTAAGATAGCCTTCGGCGTTCACATCGCCTTCGGCGTTCACATCGCCTTCGGCGTTCAGATCGCCTTCGGCAGACATCGCCTTCGGTAGTCTTGGCCTACGGCTCCTGGTTCACAATATTGTCTAGCCGCCCCTGTAGCTGCGGCAAGTTCGACCGTCCCTGGTCGTCCTTGTGCGCCTTAAACACCTCCTCCCGCATCAACCGCCGTGGCGCCCGCCGCCCCGTAAACAGCTCAAACTGCGCAAACCCCTGCTCGGGCAGCAGGTCCAGACCGTCCATGCTGACCCACCCCTGCTGGGCCAACTTGCGGCTTTGGTTCAGCAGCGGCGTCTGCAGCGTCTTGTACGCCAGCTCCACGAGCACGCCGCCCGTAGGGCTGCCGAACCAGGCGGGCGGCAGCGTGAGGTCGGGGGCGGGGACGGCGCCGATGCGGTGCGTCGGAATGCACGAGATGATCATGGTGGGCAGCCGGAAGCCGGTGGGCCACGGGTCGTCGTGCGTGCGCATGACGTGGAACTGCGTCTGCGTCTGCGTCTGCGTCTGCGCCTGCGTCTGCGTCTGGTCGGCGGCTTCGCCGCGGCTCAGCCACGCCATCTCGCCCCGGTCGAGCATGCCCGTGAAGTGGGCGACCATCTTCTCGGCATTGGCCACCGTCCGGTTCGTGACGACAATCTGCTTGACGCCCAGCTGCAGCATCGCATAGACGGCCGCGCGCGCCATGCCGCCGGCGCCAATCACGAGGCCGACGCTGCCTGGCCGGACCGCATTCGCCGGCGACAGGCCCCGCCGGATGCAGGCCCGAATGCCGATCCAGTCCGTGTTCTCGCCGTAAATGGCGAGCACGGGGCCCGACTGGTTGCGCGTCGTCAGAATCTGGCCGTAGTCGGGGACGCTGCCGTCGGCCTTGAGCTGGCGGATGGGGACGATGGTGTTGATGGCGCCGACGGCACGGGCGTGGCTGCTGAGCGTGTGGGTGAGGCGGATGGCCGACACCTTGAAGGGCAAACCGATGGAGGCGCCGCCAAAGCGCGGGTCGTGAATCAGAGTGTTGATGAGCTCCATGGAGTCCGTGGAGTTGGGACGGTAGGTGTGGGGCAGCCCACAGGCGGCCAGGGCGGCATGGTGCATGGCGGGCGATACGCTGTAGTCGACGTACGCGCCAAAGACGTAGAGGCGCATGGGTTCGTAGACAAAGGCAGACGCAAGGGCGATAGTGGCCTGGCGGGCGGTGAGAGAAGACGAGGATGAGGACGATAAGGAGGATGCAAAGTCGGACGGAGACGGAGGGCGTGTTGGCCGTGAGACGAAGTCAGACGTGGGCGTGGTGGGTGTCCGTGTGTCGGCAGCGTCTACGGCATTGGCCGAGCCGATTACGGTAGAAATCGCTGCTGCTGGTGACTCGGCAACAACGGATGTGAGGACGGTGTTGAAGCAGGCAGAGAAGCGGCCCTTGGGGCCGGTGTTGTAGGCGATGAGAGGGATGGCCGGTGTTGAGGGGGAGGACGAGGACATCTTGGCGCTGTAGATGAACTGGGAGACCTCAAAGTTGTCGCTGAGCTCGACGGCACGGCGCGTCAGGCGAGCGACATGGCAGCCAAGGTCGACGGCGCGGCGGTAGTACGCCAGCCAGGCAGGGTCGTGCCACGAGGGAGGTGGTGTCGCAGACGGCGCAGACGGGGATGGGCCCTCGACGTCGACCGTCCCGATAATACGCGAGGACCAGGTGGCAGCTCGCACGCGGGCAATTTCGGCGTCGGGCAGTCTCAAATCAACGGTGACGTAATCTGGGGCCAGGCGCAGGCCGTGCAGCACGTGCGACAGGTAGGCACTGCACTGGTTTTCGTTCTGTGCCGCCGTATCCGGGTCCGGCAGCACGACGTGGTAGATGATGGGAATCACCGTACTGCGGCGGATGTGGCTGACGATGCGGCTGATGTTGTTGGCCTGCTGGGGCGTGATGAGCCGGGGATAGGCGGTGTCGCGGGCGGCGGGGACGCAGTCGACAATCAGCTCGATGGCGTCGGCACCGGCCTCCATCTCCTCGACGTCCACATCGCCGGCGGCAAAGTCGGACAGGCGAACCGAGAGGGCATAGGTGAACTGGCGGTCCTCGGTCGCCAGAGACGCCAGGGGGTAGGCGGACTCGATGAAGGGGATGGCGCCGCGGGGCAGGATGAGGGACAGGAACTTGAGGAAGTGGCGCTCGGCGCGCTTGAGGGTGAGGTAGGGCGCGGGCCCGCGGGCGTCGCTGTCTTCGTCGGGGGTGGTCGTGCCGGTCGAGGCAGAGTTGGCCTGGGCACTGTGCGTGACACGCATGCTCGCTGCCTCGCTGAGGCCGGTCGAGGGCGTCTCCGAGATGTTGAAGAACTCGAAGCGGGCGCACCGCCGAAAGACGGGCCCGCTGGCCGTGACCAGGTCCTGGACGCGCGCGTCGTCCCACACGCGCAGATGCGTCTGGATGGCCGCCGTGTCCCGCAGGATCAGGACAATGGGGTTGGTGGCTGCACACTGCGACAGGCGGGCCTGGACGTCACGCTCCATCCACGAGCACACAATAATGGCCCCCCGGCGGTGCGTCTCGAGGATGTGCTGCAGGACAGCAGACTGTGCCTTGCGGTAGGCGAGGATGCCGTGCTCGCGCTGGAAGGCGCCGCTGGGCTGGCCGTGGGTGTCGGAGAAGACCTTGTCGGCCTCGACGATCTTGCGGCGCATCGCCGCAGACGCTATCACGGCGAGAGTGGACTTGCCGGCGCCGCGGACGCCAGTAAGGATGACGGAGGCGTCAGCGTCATAGTGTGGTCGGCCAGACGGCTGTGAGGTGGAGGAGGGCAACGATGCGTCTAGGATTGGGGTTGGATGTTAGCATGCTCCCGTGATGGTCTGTCTATTCGCCGGGTTGCCCGCTTCCCTGCTACTCACTTCGTGAATGGTTTGCGGCCTCGGCTGCATGTGTCGCCGGCAGCTGTATCCTTGGAATTGCGGTGTCCATGGCCGAGGAGGCGGACTTTGTGGAGGATATCGAGGACACTGAGGATGTCGACGATGTTGTTACTCTTGCGTTTGCTGCACTCTCACTCTCCAATGCCTGTGGTCGAGTTGCTGCCGTAGGTCCGTCCCAGTCGGCCGACGCTGCGGCGAACGAGCGCTTGACGCCGCTCAGCACCGAAGCCATGACGACGATGTTGTGCTGACAAGAGGGAATGACGAGGATGTGGACGCAAAGAACCGACGATTGCTTTCCCCACTGCCAACGTTAGAGGCCTGTGAAATGTTGACCATGGGCACGTATTGATGGATATGCGTGAGGTAAAGAAGCTTGCTGTGTTTGTCGTGTGTGTTTTCGTCTGCAAAAGGTCATGTGTGCCATATGCCAGCATGTGTGGCCGTCTCTCTGCACGGAGTATCACGAGATACTGGTAGAGGTGTCCGGTTCGGACTGGAAAAGAGTCAACCACAAAGCCCAGGTGTGCTGGCGTACACAATTGGCAGTGTGCCAACGACAGCATCGGGGAGTCCCCTCAGCTCTTCGGGTTAGCGCCTACGGAAGCTCTGACCAGGGGCCACTGTTTGCCCCGCGCCCCCAGACCCTTAGACTTCAGTTAGGCGACTTTTCTGGATAAAGACTCTTCCGAGTACTCCAACAGAGCACCCGAACGGTGTCTCATTGTCCACTAAAATGTACTAAAACCCAACTAACATCCTGTAACGCCCCCAAACCTCCCCAATTTACCTCCAACTCCCACTCAGGCCAAGCCCTGTGAGCCTGTCATCTATCGGCAGCCATCTCCACTCAGCCAGCCCGTCATTACCTGGCTTGTTTCCTGTCCCTCCTCGATCCATTGCGGCATGCATTTTCTGCGCTCACCAAGGTGTATTCAGGATTCCCCGCACCGCGAGATGGAAGAAACCCAATAAGCAGTGTTCCCCCAGATTTCTGGAAACCATCCCTGAGAAAACAACGAGCATACGGCAGGCGAGGAGACGAGCCATTTTGAGACCGTAAGGGAAGCGAGTACCACACTGGCTTGACCTGTCTAAACAGAATGACACCCAAAGTAAAGAAACTACAGGGGTACGACCCTAAAATATAGCGCCTAACCGTTGGGTCTTTGGCTTTGCTGCCATGCGGTTTTTGCAGGGACAAAGCGAATGAGGAGAAAGACGCTTGTAGATCGGAGAACTGATGGGACTCCGTAAGACGGCCGAGATTTGCATGGCCACATTGACTTTCTTTTTGCTTTCGATGCGACTGAAAAATGCACATGTCCAGAGTTGCATGAAGCTTCGGACCGTACTCTATCACTGAACACGTCGAATGGACGATTGACGACTACGGCGGACGACGACGACATCGGCCCCAGAGGTGCTTTCGTGAACTTTGGTGCTTCAGTGGCTTTAGCGGATAGGGTGAGTGTATCGACTCTTGGTAGTGATGGTCGGCACCGATCCACGGCAGTTGTGGTCCTGATCCACAACCCCAGAGTCCACGACGAGGAAGGAGGGAAGAGGGAAGAGGGAAAGGAGAAGAGGAAGGAGCGACGCAGCAGAGCACCGGCAGAACCAAAGTTGCCCGCGGCGCAGGCACGCCGGCTCGAGGCACGCGGACGGCAAGAACGACTGTCGCGGCTGCCGCATTGGCAGCTGGCACAGCACAAACAGAAAGAACGTCTGAACCACCGGTGCAAACGGCAGGAGCAACAGGAACAGGAGGACGAGGAAAGGAAGGCACAACCATGGCCGCGTCGGCAAATGCAGTATTGTCCAAAGGGGCTCCTCGTCCGCCATCATCACAACAACAACAACAACCGCCCGCACAAGACAACTCTCCCGCCGCCTCATCAACCTCCGCCACGACCACGGCAACCGGCCTGACGACATCGGTGCCCGCACCCAAGCGTCAACGCGTCTCTCGTGCTTGCGACCAGTGCCGGGCGATGCGCGAAAAGTGCGATGGTGCACAGCCGCAGTGCTCCTCGTGTGTCGCCCAGCGCCGCGCCTGCACCTACAAGACCAGCCCCAAAAAACGCGGTGTCCAGACGGGTTACATCCGCACGCTCGAATTGACTCTGTCGTCCCTGCTGGACGAGGTGCCGGGATGCGCTGACGCGTTGGACGGCCTGTTTGGCCGGCGCGGCGGCGACGCTGCACGGCGTCTGTTCAACCCCGAGGCCGGCGCGGCGGGTAACCAGCAGCAGCAGCAACAGGACCTGGAGAGGCACAACCGCCTCCACCGGCGGTGGCACAAGAGCCGCGCACGGCGCGAGATCGACCGGCTGCTGTCGACGGACGGCTTCAGCGCCACTGTGGCACGGCCCGTGTCCGACGACAGGGCCGGCTCCGACGACGACACCTCCCCAGAGGGCCCAGGGAGAGCTCCCGATACACTGTCCGGGGAGCCTGCTGCATCCGCCATAGCATGGTCCCCGTCTGAAAACACCATCCCCTCACCGCGGTCCGGCACAGGTGGCCACACCGACGACGTACACTGCAACTCTCGTGTACCACTCCCACCGAACCACTGGCAACTTCTGGACGTGTACTTTTCCTACACCCACTGCTGGTTCCCCATCCTCGAGCGCCAGGACCTGCTCAAGGCCGTCTACCAGTACGAGCGCGAGCTGGGTGAGCCAGCGTCGGCGCCGACTGCATCAGCCACTCCGTCGTCTCCGTCGGCCGCCACTGCCGAGCTCTGGAGCGTCCTGGCCCTTGCCTCTTTTCAGAATGCGGCGTCGCGAAGTCGACAACAGGCCGATCCAAACACAGCAACACCAACAGCAACGTCAACAGCCACACCTTCCACAATACACTGCGACCCGTCGCTCGCATGGCCGCCACATCGTATCTACAACGTCGCCCGCCAAATGATCCCGCTCGACGACGGACCCTTTGAGATCCCCCATGCGCGCGCTCTCTTGCTGCTGGCCCTGATCAACGTCGGCCGACGCCGGCATACAGCCGCACGCGTGCTTGTGGCCCTGTCACGACAGATTGTGCAGGACGCCGACTGCCTATCCCGAGTCGGCGAGAATAGCCCCATGGCCATCCGTCGACGCATTGTCGATGCAGTCACGAGTGGTTGCTGCGTTATTGAGGCCTTTTTGGCCATTGTGCGGTCATCTCCGAGGCCGTTGCGATCTCTACCACAAAACCACAACCATCAACACCAACACCAACAACAGGCGTATCGATCACATCAAAACCCCAGCTCCTTCTCTCCTCACTCCCCACACAATTGCCCAGCTCTGCCAGAAGACGGCCTCGATGAGTGGCAGCCATGGGTACCTTGTGCCGGATTTGGCCTTGAAGACGGCGGGGCCACATCAGAGCGCAGTCCGGCGTACTCCTTGACGACATTCAACCAGCTGCATGATCTTTTTACCTGTATGCAGCACCAGCAAACGAACCTCTCCCAGGCACCCTCGCCCTCTGACTACAACGATGTGGTTGCAGCGACGGCGGCAGGGACGAACGACAACCCCCACGGCGATGCCCTGGACCGCGTAATACGACCCGATGTGCCCTTCTCGGCCTTTGTGCGGTCGACCGACCGAGCATTTGCCGCCGTCCCGTCGGCCTATATCCTCCGCATCACCTTTATTTGGATGCACATATTATTGCCACTATTCTCCGGCCCCCCCAACGTCAATGGAAGCATCGATTCTGCCCGTGCCCATCTCTTGGCCGATGTCCTCGAGCAGTTTGTTGCCCGTTTCGGATCTGCTGGCGCACCGCCCACGCTGGTGCCGTGTGTCTTGACCGTTGTCGAGCATCCATTGTTTCAGCAGCTGCCGTCTCTCCTGCAGCAGCGATTTTGCGCCTTGAGAGATGCTTTTGTGGCGGTTTGGCAGCATACTGCGACATCGCAACAGCAGTCGCAAAAACAGCTGCCTGCAGTGGCAAATGCTACCACTCCACGGCCCAGCGCAATGCTGCGGCAGAAGCTGGCACCTTCGGGACAAGGAATCCCCGGAGCAACTATGACCACGGCAAACAATGCACCTGTTGTTTATCAATCTGCGAGCCCTGAAGCTGCAGCTGTGCGTCCGCAGCATCAGAAGCATCAGCATCAGCAGCAACAGCAACCACCAACGGCACGTCATCATAGGCTGTCCTTTTTGGAGACATCCCCGCAAGCAGTGCAGGCACCTCAACAACAGCCGCCGCAGCCACAAGATGTAAACATCAACAATGGAAACGGACCGTCGCCTGCTTTTGGCTTCCCTCCCCTGTCGACCTCGTCACCGACTGCCGTCACTGCTGCTGCTGCTGCTGCTGCTAATGCCGCTAATGTCGCCCCGACGTATCCCATGACGGGTTCGTCCTACAGTGCGGTTGGCGGACCAGACAATATGGCCGTCGATAACTTTGACGGCGCTTTTCACGGGCCGCCCGGTGCCAGTGGTGGCACGCTCGACTATGAAGCACTACTAGACGACCTGTCGGCGGTTGACTATCTGGACCGACTGGACACTGATATTGGCTCGCAGTTTATGGCCAACCTGGGCTTTGCGCCGGGCATAGACAACAATTTGGGCGCCATGATGGGCGAGTTTGGTGGCTTGTAGCCTGTTTATGTAATAATGAGATATGCCGCTTCCATGTTCATGTCGATGTTCATCTTCATCTTCGATTCGTGTTCTTTTTCTTTCCCATTTCATTTCCGTCTTTCCGTTTCCATTGTTCCGATTCCGTTGGCATCAGCGATGGCTGTCGTCAGTGTTGTTTCTTTCTTTCCCAATTCGTCAAGTCTTGTCGTTCTCCATCTGTCCCGAACCTGGATGGTCTTTTATGCGGAAAATGTCCACGGACTTGTTTGCAGCTGTCAACTTGGCAGACAAAATGGACAGTCTTCTTCCCAGTGGTCTTCCTCTTGCTGTCATGACCCTGCACCGACCAATCGTGTCTCATTGGATTGCTGGCCACGAGTCGGGCATGTTGCCCACGTTTTCCATGCCCACTCCACGTTTTCCCCATCAATACCACCCTGGCCGGCCAATCTCACTCTTGGAATTGTTGGTGTTGTCTCCCGTGACATATTCTGGCGGTCTGTCTTCTGCCTGTGGGTATTTTCTTTCCAGAGATTTTGCTACACGCTCCCCCGGCATACCCCCCACCGGGAAAACATTCATTCTGGGATCTGGAGATGCTCTGGAGATTTTGGAGACAGCTGGGGCTCTTCCTGTGGCCGGCTGTCTATTCTGGCACGGGTTAGCACCCAATTGCCAACCGCAGCCAAGTCCCACGCACACGTCCCAAATTGCCTGACACCTGCCAAGTGCCGGGCTCTTGAACCTTTTTGACAACCCACACCAACACACGCGCTACGACGTTGCCACCCAGGACCCTGTCTGATGCACCCAACTTGGGATAAACTCTTATCCTCCCAAAACGGGGTTTCTTGCACCCATAAATCCGGGGAGCTGGCTGCGATCCGGGGACATTTGCGGGGCCACGGAGTCGACAAAAGACAAGCCAGAAGGCCCAAGAACGCCTAGAGTCACCAAAAAAAAGAAAGAAGTAGGACAGACAAGCTTGACAAGGCCCTAGGAGCGCCAGGAAGCGCAGGAACCACCAGGCACTGCCGCTAGCGCCAGTCGTCTGCGGTCGGGGTTTTCCCCCGAAGCATCGTGGATTGAGGTCGGCCAGGTGGTTGACAGTTCTTCGTCCACGCATCTCTGCACAACAGTCGACACAACTCGGCACAACTGGGCACTGCCGGTCCTGTGTGTGGAAGAACGTTCACAGCATTCGGTCACGCGTCGAGGTTGTATTGGCATTGTGGACCATGCGGTTGAGTGTCGTTCATCTCTTCTCGTCTTCTGTTTCCCTGAACGACGTACCTCGTTCGTTCCCTCATCGCTTTTCTCACATTGAATTCCGATTCCAGATTCATGATTCTTGTTTTTCCTCCCTGGTCTCCTGTTTTTAGCTGTGTGTATTTCTTTTTCCATTCTCCCCATATCCATCCACACTCTGGATTCGATGTCTGCGGTCACTTCATTCGTCACCACCTAAAACCATCTTCCACATTCCGAGTTGCCGTCTTCTTCCATCCCTTCCTTTCCCTCTCCACTCCATCGCGCCCGTCCTTTCCTTCTTCTCTTCCAACGCTCAAGCTTCTCCGCATCCTCCCCATACCCCGGTCCCATGCTACCCTGACTTGGACAGAGGTCATCTCGTCTTCTTCCTAGCTTCCCCTTACCCCGTGTGACCCTTGGCTCGCACACGTCTCCCAATCCCATCCCATCCAGATATATAATATCGGGCAGTGCCTTCGTCTTGCAGCCGCCTCCTTTTCCTTCCGTTATCGAGTCCGGGGTCTTCTCTCCACATCTCTTGGCCTTTCTTCTTTTTTTATTCACTTATACGCCGGCCTCTGACTGCACCATACTCCCACAACATGTCTATCCTCTCACTCCGCGAGGATCGGCCGACGCCCAGCGCCGTCTACAACTGGCGCATCTACGCCTGTGCGGTCGTTGTGTCGTGGGCGTCGTGCATGATCGGCTACGACTCGGCCTTTATTGGCACCACCATTGCCCTGCCCTCGTTCATTGCTGAATTCAACCTCGCCTCCTACTCGGACTCCAAGCGTGCTCTGATTTCCGCCAACATCGTTTCCGTCTACCAGGCTGGCGCCTTCTTCGGCTCCCTGGCCGCCTATGCGTCCTCCTACTTCATCGGCCGCCGCAAGTCGCTGTGGCTGTTTTCTGTGCTCTTCATTGCCGGCGCCGGCGGCATGCTGGCTGCCAATGCGCAGCGCGGCCTCAACGTGATTGTCGGCACGCGCTTCCTGGCCGGCTTCGGCATTGGCGGCGCCTCCAACATGGTCCCCATCTACATCTCGGAGCTGTCCCCGCCGGCCATACGCGGCCGTCTCGTCGGCATGTACGAGCTGGGCTGGCAGGTTGGTGGCCTGGTGGGCTTCTGGATCAACTACGGCATCAGCGAGCACCTGCCCTCCAACAACACCCAGTGGCTGATCCCCTTTGGTGTGCAGCTGATCCCGGCCGGCCTGCTGCTGATTGGCAGCTTCTGGGTGCCCGAGTCCCCCCGCTGGTTGTTCTCCAAGGGCCGGCGCGAGGAGGCCATGAAGGTCCTGTGCTGGCTGCGGCAGCTGCCGGCGGACGACACGTACATGCTGCAGGAGGTGGCCTACATTGACGAGGACCTGACGCGGTTCCGCGACGAGATGGGCGCGGGCTTCTTCAAGCCGTTCCGCGCGCTCAAGAAGAGCCGCGTGCAGTGGCGCTTCTTCCTCGGCGGCATGCTGTTCTTGTGGCAGAACGCGACGGGCATCAACGCCATCAACTACTACTCGCCCACTGTCTTCAAGACGCTCGGCATCACGGGCACCAACACGGGCTTCCTGACGACGGGCATCTTTGGCGTCGTCAAGACGTCCATCACGTTCGTGTGGCTGCTGTACCTGATTGACCGCCTCGGCCGGCGCAACCTGCTGCTGTTTGGCTCGGTTGCCGGCTCGGTCTGCATGTGGATCATCGGCGCCCTCGTCAAGGACGTGATTCCCAAGGTCGACTCCTCCGCCGGCATGTCCCCGGGCGGTGTCGCGGCCATTTTCTTCTTTTACCTGTGGACGGCCGTCTACACGCCCTCGTGGAACGGCACGCCCTGGGTCATCAACTCGGAGATGTTTGACCAGAACACGCGCTCGCTCGGCCAGGCGTCGGCCGCCGCCAACAACTGGTTCTGGAACTTTTTGATCTCGCGCTTCACGCCGCAAATGTTCCTGAAAATGGGCTACGGCGTCTACTTCTTCTTTGCCGCGCTCATGCTGCTGTCGTCCGTCTTTGTTTTTTTCCTGCTGCCCGAGACCAAGGCCATTCCCCTCGAGCAGATGGACCGCCTGTTTGCCACCAAGCCCGTCCGCGGCGCGCACGCCGTCGTCATGGACGAGCTGGCGCGCATCAGCGACGTGCAGCGCCAGGAGAGCGACGAGAAGCCGGTGGTGGCAGCGGAGGAATATGCCTAAGTGTCTGGGGGTGGTGTGCACTCTTTCCTTTGCTGGCCGTTTTATATTTTGTATGTTTAATCAAAATTGATAATAAAATCAATAAAGTTTTAATCAAGTTCGGCAATTACTTGAATCAGGTTTCAAAAGAGGCCAGTGGGCGAAAACACGTAGACGGTGACCGAACAAGCTAGAACAGTCTTTCTAACGAGCTCACTTACTACAAGGCCATGTCGAGGACGCCGGACGTCTTTCTCCATTTACACGCGGACGTCGCCGCCGAGGACCAGTAGTTATATATCTATTTATTTTTGACCAAGAAAATCCACAAAAAGTTGTCAACGGGGCTCCTCCTTTAGACTACCAATAAGCGGAGGATAAAATTATACGCTGTGGCACGGCCTGTGGTCCTACATGACCAATTTTAACTTTCCGTTCTAACCACTCTATCAACGTAGGGACGCGGCTACCCTCCTATGGGAATTGCTTTTCGTAGTCGACCAGGGTGAAGCGGTACCGGACGTCGTTGTTATGCAGACGGGTCACTAGATGTTGTTAGTTTGCTGTCACGCTTCCACAAACAGTAATACAGCATAAACCCCCTCCGCCCTCTCACTTACGAGCTTTGCCAACACCCTCCTCGCCGACGGGGATAGTCTCCACCCAGCTCTTGATGCCCTTGTCGGCCGCCAGCTGCAGCATGTCCAGCGTCTCGCGCCGGCTGCCCAGGTGGCTGCTGCCAATCAGACACCCGTTGCTCAGCAGGCTCTGGGGACGCACCTGCCAGCCCTCGTCCTCGGGCAGGCCCACGGCAATGTACCGCCCGTGCACCTTGAGCAGGGACAGGTAGGGGCTGAGGTCGAAGCCGTCGTTGGACGACGCCGTCGACAGGATCATGTCAAAGGTCATCTTGTGCGCCTCGTTCCACCCGGCCGCGGCCGTCGCCAGGAAGCCGTCCGCCCCGAGCGCCTCGGCGTCGGCCTGTTTCTTGTCGCTGCGCGAGAGGACCCACGTCTCCGCGCCCAGGGCCTTGCTGAACAGCACGCCAAAGTGGCCGATGCCGCCGAGGCCCAGAATGCCAATCTTCGTGCCGGGCCCGGCGCCGTTGCGCACCAGCGGCGAGTACGCCGTCAGGCCCGCGCACAGCATCGGCGCCGCCAGCGCCGTCGGCAGCGCCGCGGGGATCGGAAACACCCAGTGCTCGTGCGCCCGGATGTGCGACGCGTAGCCGCCGTGCGCCAGCGTCCCGCTGTCCGGGTACACGCTGCCGTACGTGTCCAGCTGCTGCGGGCAGTACGTCTCGTTGTCCGTTGCGCAGGCGCCGCAGGCGGCCTTGTCCAGGCAGGCAAAGATCTGCGCACCGACGCCGACGCGGTCGCCCACCTTGGCGCTTGTCACGGCCGCGCCGACGCTCACCACGTGGCCGACAATCTCGTGGCCCGGCACCAGCGGCCAGTGCGTGTTGCCCCAGCCGCCCGTGGCCGTGTGCACGTCCGACCCGCAGACGCCGCACGCCGTGATCTTGATGTCGATGTCGTGGTCGCCAAACGGCTTGGGCTTGAACTCGATGCGCTTCGGCCGGTTCCACTGCTCGGCGGACGGAATGGCGAAGCCCTCGAACGTGTCGGGATACATGATCGGGGTTGTGTGAAGGTGTGAAAAGGATGTGACGAGGTTGTTAGAGGACAAGGAATATAGTGATGGCGATGAGTGACGGTAATGAATGGGTGAATGTAGCTGGAGTATTGCATACACGCTCCTTATTAACCTGGCAAAGTTTATATACCGTCCTGCTCGCCCGCGATATCGCTGTTTTTGGCGGAGCTAAAGTTATAGTTGTGTTTTTTTTTTTTTTCTTCTTGTCTCCAAAAAGGAAAGCTCCGCACAGGGCCTCTTCCGTCGCAGTGCTCGGTCGCCGTTTCTTATGCTATCTACTGGTGCATGCCTTCCCGCCTTCTTCTTTTTGGAATCACGAGCTCCAAAGCGTCAATATAAGAATCTCGCTTAGCCTTTGTACCAGACTGTCAACAAACGTCCACAATGGCATGGCGCTGCCGCCTATCCCCGGAGCGTTCTGAGTCGCCTCTAGTAGCTCCACCCTTGCGCCCTGCTCGCGTGGTGATCTTGTCAAATGAGCAACCCACATGATACTTCGGATAATAAACGAAACTAGATATTGTATTCTGTAGCGGGAGTTGTATCGGACGGCAGACGAATAGATTAAAAGCGGGAATCAGCCGTTCGGAAATGTGACGTCATATGTGGCGTGTAAGTGAGCTGTGCCGTTGCTTCCAGGGTAGTGCATATATGTGCATTCGCAAACAGAGAGCCAACATGGAGACAGCCAACATGTAGTAAGTAAATGTAACTGCGACGCAGAAACGGAGACGAAGAGGATTGCAGCGTAGCAGCAGTGGGACGAAGAAAGAGTATTGGCGATAGGAACGCTGATAGGGCGACGGTGGAAACCAATTAAACGCTGGACCTTGACGGAGTCGTGGAGTCTTTGCAATGATGAAACGCGAAGACGTAAAATAAACAAGACTTTGTCTGACACGGTGCGGTGGCAGAAGACAAACCTCAAAACAGTTTGTTGATGCCAGCAAAGGCAGAAGGATACCACATGGGCCGCGATAGTTGGAACAGGCTCCTTTGTATACCGTGGGACACACCACGAATAAACCGTACGTCTATAAACGACCTGAAACATCGCACCCGTACAGCTTATACGACCTTAATTAACGCTGCCACATGGTGCCTTACCGTCATTACGGCATGTCCTACCCTCGCGCTTGATCAAGGTCGTGTATAATGCCACGTGTTGAATCACGTGGCGTCCGGGCTTACATCCGATCCGATGACGGAATACATCCGAACTACTATCGGCCAAACTGATGTTGCCGACAAAATCTCTACCTGTTTTACTTTTGTGAATCAAGAACTCGACTCACACCTATAACGTACACACAATGGCCATCACGCGCGTCACATATTTTAAAGTCCCCAAGGCGGCGGACCGGCAGGCACTCGTTTCCCTGTACCGAGCCATGCCGACCAAAGCGTTGAAGGTAGGTCCCGCAAAGGCAGACTTAGTATTTCAATTGTGACAGCAGATACTATCATCCACGTGGCTTTTGACCATCGCTTCACTCTGGCTGCTCACCACTAACGGGCTGGCAGAACGGCGCACCCTACATCCGCTCCGTCAAGGCCGGCCCTGCGCTGGCCGACGCCCGCAGCCAGGGTTTTACGTTTGCGGCCATTTCGGTGTTTGACTCGCTCGAGGACATGCAGTATTACGACAAAGGCTGTGCAGCGCACGCAGAGCTGCGGACATTTGCGCAGTCGGTGCACGAGGGGGCCATGGTTGTGTATTTTGAGGACGCGCTGGCGAACGAGTAGGCGACGAGCGACGAGCGACGAGCCAATGGTTTGCGCAAACAGGTACGGTGAAAGACGGAAGTCATCCCGTAGAGAATTGCGGCCATAGATCATTGATACACCCATCTACCATGTACTGTCTACCATCTACCCTCTATTGGACGGCATCGTCTTGGCTTGCGTGATGAGGTCGACCACCGTCTGCTCAAACGTCCTGTACTTGAGACCGAGAGCCTGGGCAGCGGCCGCGCCATCGACGCCGTGTGACTCGTCCACGGGCTGCTCTTCCGGCGTGACCGACGCCTTTGCCCAGTCGAAATGGTCCACCACGATCTGTGCCGCCCGGCCGTACGAAAACCGCTCGGGCGATGCAGGAATGTACCGCTGGCCACCGGCCGCGGGTCTGAGCAACGCCTCGACGTGGGCCAGCGCCAGGTCGCGCACATCGATCCAGAACGGCACCCGCGCCACCGGCAGCGGCGTCGCCCCCGACGCAACTTGCCACAGCATGGCGTTGGACTCGTTGAGGTTGGCTGTTGTCGCGACGGGGTGCGCAATGGGACCGAACGTCATGGGCGGGCACAGCGCCACCAGGTCGAACGGCGGCGCCGTCTCCCTGACAAAGTCCCACGCCGCCTGCTCGGCAAACTTTTTGCTGCCCCGGTAGGCCACCACCGCGCCCGTGGCCTTGTCGGCGGCCTCGGCATAGGTCAAGGGGTTCCAGTCAGCGCCCGTATACGTAAAGTAGACGCCGTTGGCGCGGTCCTTGCGGTCGGCGTCCAGCACAGAGGCAAAGGACGAGGTCACGACCACTCTCTTGACCGTCGCGTCCGGGACGGCTGCTGCCGCCGCCAGAACCGCCTTGACTCCGTTGATGGCCGGGACAATTAGCTCCTTCTCGTTGTCGGTGGTGTCGTACGTAAACGGGCTGGCCACGTGGATGACGCCGTCGACACCCTTCACGGCAGCAGCGAGCTCGCCAGCGTTGGTCGAGCCAAAGTCGCCAATCGTGACAAAGTCCAGCTTGTCTTGGTACTGCGGCCGGGCCGCGCGCATGGCCTCGCCCTTGGCCGCGGAGCGCGTGGCGCCGCGGACGCGCAGACCGCGGGACAAGAGGACATCGACGACATGCGCACCGATGAAGCCAGTGGCGCCCGTCACGAGGACGTATCGTCTGGCAGGAGGTCAGTTGTGGCTGTGAAGAGGGTCTTCACGACAGTCGAGACGGGTAGAGGACGTGGGCACCTACGGTGAAGACATGGTGTGTTTGTCTGTATTTTGAGTAGGGAAGGTGAGTTGAGTGGCTGGCGAGGACGAAGTTGAGGAAGTGTTGGCGGTCATAGTCTGTGTCGATTGAAGGCCAAGTGTGGAATGTTGAGAAAGATTGACGTTGTCACGACAAGTCATCCTTCCCCGTACTTTTGGCAAGTTTGGCCTGGTTCCTTCCGATACGCGGAGCCTTGTCAAATCTCTAGAGTTACCGGTTGTTCTCCTAGAATTGGCAATGCCGCCACTGTGGGACTTTCTACGCCGTCCGATATGGAACCTGCGATACAAGTTGGCGTCAAAACGGAGAAGCTATTGGAGATAGTTTGAGCTCGTCCGTGGATGCCTTCCACTCCCCCCCCCCCCCCGGTGGGGTAGTTCCTTCCTTGGGAAGTATGTTGTTATTGACTGGAGAACAGGGGCAGACGGGCTACGGGGAAGGCACGAATTGGCCCAAGGGTAAACGGATGTGGAGAGGGATCCACTTCCCGGAGAGGGCAACAGCGGCATATGAACCACCACAAAGGAAGGCTTGGCCGGTCCCAGCGGCAAGCGCTGCCGCCCACACCCGACGCGCCAACACTAAGGAATGCGCATGCCAGGCGGACAAGGAAACGAGAAGGAAAAAAGGGCAAAAGATGGAAACAAATTGCAGGCTAACCACGGCCCTGGTACCGTTCCCCAGCCTGGCCCCGGGTGTCTCTCCAGTCTCCGTCCTGTCTCCATCTTGTCTCCAGCTTGTCTCCATGTCTGTCTCCAGTTTTCCCCAGTACTCGCCTGTCGGTTTTGTACCCTTGTGTTGCTGTTCGTTGCTTTCTTTTTCGTCTGTCTTTCTTCAGCCGTCTCCTTCTTCGTCCCACTAGGCACACAGTCGGCATCAGCATCGTCTCTCGTCCCTCGCTCCTCACTTGGATCCAGAGATGCCACCCAGCCTTGACGGACGAACGTAGATTCTTTTCTACGTTCTTTTTATCTGGAGTAGGAGAGCAGGTTCTCTGTTGTCTTCCTCGTGTCGCTCACAAGCCATCAACACACCATCTCGGTTAGCTGTTGCTGCAAGTCTGTCTGCAAGTCTGTCGCGCCGGCACCTTACCCTCCTCTCTCCTCCCAGTTACTTGCTTCCCCCCTTGTCACCTTATCTGGCACTTGTTCAATCACACCTCCATTGTCGATCGTCTATATATGAGTCTTCTTACCCCCGTCTTGACGATCGTTTGTTTCTCCATATCCAGTCCCTCTTTTTCGTTCTGGCAAGACTGTTTCCTCGCTTGACTTCTCCTCTCTCTCCTCTTTGCCCTTTTTTTTATTTACATTTTCCACAAAATCATCACCATGCCCGCCCTCAACGAACGCCTCAGCGGCGTCAAGTTGCTGGTGGCCATCACGATTGTCAACGCCATCAGTCTCGGCTGGTTTGGCTACGACCAGGGCGTCTTCTCGGGCGTGCTCGTGTCCGCCGACTTCAGGAAGCAGTTCCCGCAGACGCTCAAGTCCAACATCTCCGGCATCACCTCGTCGTGTTTTAGTCTGGGCGCCTTTGTCGGTGCCATCACCGCCTTTACGTACGGCGACAAGTTTGGCCGCCGCCGGTCCGTCGTCCTGGGCATGACCTGCAACATCATCGGGGCCATCCTGCAGATCACGTCGTTCGACCTGCCCCAGCTCATCGTCGGCCGCATCATCAACGGCTACGGCATGGGCGTCACCTCGTCCGTCTGCCCCGTCTTCCAGGCCAAGTGCTCCAAGCCGGCGGTCCGCGGCAAGCTCGTGGCCCTGGGCTCGTGGTGCAACACCGCCGCCTTCTGTCTCGTCAGCTGGATCAACTTTGGCATCTACTTCCAGGGCGGGCCCCTGCAGTGGCGCCTGCCGCTCGCCCTGCAGCTCATCTTTCCGCTCGTCGTCGTGCCCATGCTCTTTTTCGTGCCCGAGTCGCCGCGCTGGCTGGTGCTCAAGGACCGCCACGAGGAGGCCCTGGCCATCCTGGCGCGTCTCGAGGGCCCCGGGGTGTCGGTGCACGACCCGGCCGTCACCGCGGCCTTCCTCAACATCTCGCAGACCCTGGCCCTCGAGCGCTGCGACCAGATGCCGCTCAAGGACGTCCTGCTGTGCCGCGACCAGACCCAGACCCTGCGCCGCCTCGTCCTGTCGTGCGGCACGCAGCTGATGCAGCAGTTCTCGGGCGTCAACGCGCTCGGCTACTACCTGCCGACGCTGCTCGAGACGAGCCTGGGCTTCAGCGAGAAGAAGGCGCGCCTGTTCACCGCCATCAACAGCGTCATCTACCTGTTCTCGGCCTGCGTCTGTCTGCTGCTGATTGACAAGGTCGGCCGCCGCAAACTGATGCTCTACGGATCGGTGTCCATGGGCTCGACCTACCTGATTTCGGCCCTGACCCTGCTCGGCGCCAAGAACGACCCGTCCAAGAAGCGCATCCTCGGCAACGTCACCACGTCCATGTTCTTCCTCTACTACTTTACGTACGGCACGTCCTTTGCCAAGGTCCCCTGGGTCTTCAACTCGGAAATCAACTCGCTGTCGTGGCGGACCCGCGGGGCCGCCGCCGCCACGGCCACCAACTGGATCGGCTCGTTTGCCGTCACCCAGTTCACCGCCACCGGCGTCAAGAACCTGGGCTGGGCCTTTTACCTCATCTTTGCCATCATCTGCTACGCCTACTTTCCCGTTGTCTTTTGCCTGTATCCCGAGACGGCCCGCCGCACGCTCGAGGATATGGACCAGATCTTCATCACGCACCCCTCCATCTTTGTCTTCGGCAAGCCCGCCCTCACCGACCGCAAGCGCCCGCAGGTCTTTATCGATGCCGAGAACGAGCGCATTGCGGCCGCCGAGGCCTCGGAGCTGGGGCAGGAGGTGCTGGACACGAAGGCACAGGCGGGAAGCAAGCACGTCGAGGAGGCGTGAGCGAGCATCCTTTTCTCACGCTCCCTGTTCTCAAGAATGTATGTTGGAATGTATCGACTGTAGATAGTGTGTACAATACCTCTAATTGATTCTGTCGACTGTTTCTCTCAGCTTGGAACATAATGTGATTATTGCCGTGTCACCAAACCAAGTAGCCATTTTGCCGACTTGACCGACTTCTCTCTTTGGGATGACTATCTGCGATATTCATCCAGTTTCACCTCTTCGTCACATTACTGTCGAAACCAACACACACAAATAATCGTCCTACAAACAGCCTCATAGTTTTGCCAAGAAGGTCGTCCTATCCCGAAATCAAACGCTCTATGCTTCTCCTGCTTTTGCCGCTATTCGGACTCTTCTTAACCACTCCCCATCCTCGCTGTTTGCTCTCCTCTTTCTTCTTCGCCCGCTTGTCTTCGCCTTCTTCGACTCCTTCGCCGTCCTCGGCTTCTGCCTTCCCCATAATTCGGTAGTCCACGCGAGACCACGCGACTTGGCCCTCATAGCGTGTGGGCAGCGCTATTAGGCACTAGTCGTTAGCGTCCTCAGGCGACTCTCCCAAGCTTCCAGCGTCTTCAGAGTCCTGCCTTTTTGCATGCGTTTGGTCTCTGTATAAGGCGCATGTCAGCTGGCGCCTTTCCCCGATGCGCTTTTGCGGTCGCTTGAACTTTCTTTCAACAACAAACAGGGACGAAAGTAGATTGCAGCAAACGAAGCGGGCAGACAGCCGACAGCCCGCCGTTGACAGACCCTACGGATACTGACGGCAATACTGCCAGCCGGTATCTTCTCTTCGACTGTCTTCCCCCTGCCTCTTCCAGCTTTTCTCCGACAGCATGAGCTTCAACCGTAAGAGGGTTGCCTTGGCGTGCACCTATTGTCGGCACAGGTGAGTTGAGTAGAGTCGATTCGCTCCTTCCTCGCAGTCCACTTTTCTGCCACCTTCCCTCTGCCATGTACCTTCCGTTGGCTACCCCTTCCTTCACCGCCCTCACAGCCTACTGACACATCTTGGCCTCTTCCTCCCTCAGAAAACGTCGATGCAATGCCGGCAAGCCCTCGTGTCAAAACTGCATCGAAGCGCAGGTCAACTGCGAGTATGACGATGCGCCCTCGCAGCGCATTGACACGTCGGGCGGCAGCCGCGAGATCTTGAGTCGGCTGCGCGACATCGAGGTCCTTCTCGAGGCGCAATCGGACAGTCTGCTGTCGATGGTAGGAGGGCTTGGGTCGACGACAGCATCTTGGCCCGCAGCAACAACAACAACTGCTGGTGATAACAGCAACAGCAGCAACAGCGGCCTCAGCAACAGCAGCAGCAACGGCACCAGCCATGCCGCCACCGCATCCGTGCCCGACGACCGGTCGCTGGCGTCGCTGTCCACGTCGCACATGGGCGTATCCATGACACCGCTGCCACTCACCAATATTAACATCGCTGAGGACATGACCGGCGTGCCACCCCTGACCATCCCCGTCAAGCACAAGACGTCGTCGAGCTACTTGCTGAGCCTGCCGGCCATGAAGGCACTGATCGGCGAGTATCCTCCGGACCTCTTCTTCCTACTCGAATCGCGAGATCCACTACCGCCATCGCTCGCTCTGGACGCGGCATCGTCTTTTTCGACGCAGCCAAGGCCGTTGCCGCCATTGGGCCGCGATGTCACCGACTACCTCGTGTCAGTCTTTTTCAGCATGGCCCACGAGAGCCACCCGGTGCTGGACGAGGCCGAGTTCCGAGCGTTATATGCGCGGTTTCGCGCGGATGCGGGACTGAGCGCCATTGAAAACGCCTTGTGCATGGTCGTCCTGGCCATTGGCGCTGTGGCCGTGTCGGCGCCCGGTGCTGCCGATTTCCGCACCAATCCACCCGGCATGGAGTACATGCAGCACGCCCTGCCGACGCTCGTCGCGCAGTCGGCCTGGTCGTTTTCGTACAGCACGATCCTTGCGCAGTCGCTGGTGCTGGCCAGCAACTACTTTGCCTTTATCGTGCGGCCGCTGCACAGCTGGCGCCTCATCTTTTCGGCCTCGACCATCCTGCAGTTGAAGCTGTCGGGGCTCGAGGCGCGGCAGATCCAGCAGATCCAGCAGTCGCCGGCTCCGCACGAGTACGACGCGTTGTTGCGCCTGTTTTGGTCCTGTTTTCTGCTCGAGTGTGACCGGCTGGCCGAGCTCGAGCTCCCCCGCAGCAGCCTCCAGCAGTTGACTGACGAGACGGCCCTGCCCAGCTGCGACAGCTTGTCGCCCTTGCAGTCCACGTGCTATCTGGCCGAGATCTCAATACGCCGCCTGCTGAACCGGATCCACAACTGCCTGTACCCCGTCAAGCAGCACCTGTTCCGGCTGTCGTCCGCCGCCCTCATGACCACGGACAATTTCACCATCGAGGAGATTACGGCCATGCAGACGGTCTGTGACGAGCTGCGCCGGCAGCTCGACCTGTGGCACGCGTCCATCCCCGAACCCTACCGACCGCTCCTCAATACCGTGCCCGAGGGCCACACCGACCGCCAGCTGGTGCTGCGCATTCGGTATTTTGCCGCCCGGCACATTATTTATCGACCGTTTGTGCTGTACATTGTCAGCGCGCCGCCGACCGTCACAATTCCCGAGTCCATCCGGGAAAAGGCCGCATTGTGCATCGACGCCTGCCGCTCGTACATTTTAAATGTCACCCACATCATCCAGCGGCCCAGCCAGTACACGTGGACGTTTTCGCTGAGCTCGCTGGCGGCCGTGGTGGTCGTCACCCTGTCGTCACTGTGTCCCCTGCTGAAGCATTTGGTGCCCGACATTGACGAGCTGCAGACGGTGGCCATTCGCAACATTCGCAATTGGCACATGTCGAGTTTGGAGGCTGTGGTGTCTATTTTGGAGGACATGCAGAGGAAGCAGAGGATACTGTCGAGGGTATGAGCGAGAATAACGGGCGGGAGGTAAAGTAGGCCGAAAGCCAACTACAGTACGGGAGGACAACAAAACAGGTGACCAACAACTACGACGACGGAGATAATTCAAATTCAAGTCAAATTAATTCAATGCAATTTAATTTAACCAAAAGCAACCAAAAACAACCAGCCTAGCCATGAAATCTATGTCATCTCTCACACTTCCCCCCATCTCTCGACTGTCTCTACAGCCCACCACCTGTTGGCTGAGCACGAATCTCCAGCCCAACGTCGCTCTGCCAGAAAGAGCCGGTCGGGTAGGTATACTTCTCGAGGGCCTCGTCGGTGTAGCCCGTCGAGTAGCCCGGCGCCAGCGGCGTGACATAGTGTGCGTTGACAATCTGGGAGGGGTGCCGCAGGTTCTCGCGGTGGCTGTCGGCGTTCTCGAGCATGGACTTGTTGCCGCTGACGGCGACGTAGTCGATGGTCGACAGGTGCGACGTCAGCTCGGTGAGGCCCATGGCGCCGTTGTGGGGGATGCAGGGCACGCCAAACTTGCACGCCATGAGCATGACGGCCAGGCACTCGTTGACGCTGCCGAGCCGCACCGCGTCGATCTGGCACACGTCCGTGGCCTCGGCCTGCAGCAGCTGCTTGAACGTGACGCGGTTTTGGGCCGCCTCGCCGGTGGCCACGCCGACGCCGTAGGGCTTGAGCGCCCTGCGGATGGCCGCGTGGCCCAGCACGTCGTCGGGGTTGGTGGGCTCCTCGATGAACACGGGCCTGAATTCGACGAGCTGCTTCATGTAGGCGATGGCCTCGGGCACGCTCCAGACCTGGTTGGCGTCGATCATGATCTGGTAGCCCTTGTCGTAGCCCAGGACGTCGCGCACGGCCGCCAGCTTGGCGCGGTCGGCCTCGACGCTGGTGCCGACCTTGAACTTGAAGACGGTGTAGCCCTGGTCGATGGTGTCCCGCAGCACCTCCTTCATGCGGTCGCCCGTAAAGGCCATCCACCCGGGCGACGTCGTGTACGCCGGCACGGCCGTGTTGGCGCGCGCCTCGGCGAGGCGGGCCTCTTTGCCGGCCTGGGTCGTCTTGAGGAGGGCCACCGCCTCGTCGGGCGTGATGGCGTCGGTGATGTACCGGAAGTCGATGCACTGCACCAGCTCCTCGGGCGTCATGTCGCAGACGACCTGCCACACGGGCTTCTGGACAATCTTGCCCCACAGGTCCCACACGGCATTCAGCACGCCCGCCACGGCCAGGTGCGTCACGCTCTTTTCGGGGCCGATCCACCGGTACTGGCTGTCGGCCACCATGTACCGCCACGTCTTGCCCATATTGCGCGTCAGCTCGTGCATCGTCTTGCCGACGACACGCTGTGTAAAGATGCTCAGGGCCATGCAGATCAGCTCGCTGCCGCGGCCGTTGGAAAAGGCAATGCCCTCGCCGACCAGCGCGCTGCCGACATTCGTCTCGAGGCGGACGTAGGGGTGCGAGCCGTTGGTGCCGACGTGCATGGCATCGGAGCCCACGCCGTCGAGCGAGGTCGGGAAGCGGATGTCGGTGACGGTGAATCCGGTGATGGTGACGTCGGCCACCGTCAAGCTGGAAGACGCGACGGAGCCCATGTTGGGGGTAGAGTGAAGATGGAGATTTTGAGATGAGGAGGGGACGCAGAATTTTGGAGATGTTGATATGATGCTTCTAGTTGACGTCGAAGAGCAGAAATCAACCAAATGGACAAGACACAGAACAAAAATGATCAAATAATAAACAGTAGACAAAATAGATAAACGAACAGAAAAGTAATGGAGCGAATATGTTTTAATAGAGGCACAGCAAGTAGACCATACACGCCCAAACGACCTCAAAGCATCTACCTCGTCAAAACGGTCCACGTCTCGGAGCTCTGGCTTTTGTGCCTCCAACAGCCAAAAGCAATCGCTGCGACCATGGAGACAGCGGAGCAATAAAGACCGACGGCAGAGGCGAGAGCCCACTGTGAGCAAGGTCTCCGTAGGACGATCAAATGGACAGCCGGAGGACCTCATAGCAGCGCCGCCAATTCGGAGTCGTCCGTCTCCACCATCCACACCAACGAGCCGCTAACTGTAAACACCACCAGCGCGCCGCCTTCCCCCGCTCCCCGTGCCGCCTACACGCGACGGCTACGCTGCAGGACAGAAGTACTAGCAGGGGTGCGTGGCGCCGCACCCCGGCAGGCACGACCTTGCTTGCTTGTCTGGCGAGCATGATCATCTTGGGAGCCATGGCAGCATGGATGACGGATATGGAAATAAAGGGGAAGAACGGTTGACTGTGCAGTTCTCGCGTTGCGGGCGGAAAGAAATAAATGGAGGGAAAAAAAGAAAGAGAAGAAAGAAACCCCGACTACGGCGTAGGGTCGAATACTCTACTGTGAGGTGAGGCGCGAGGCTTTGCAGACAGACCTCGAAATGGCAAGCTGCGATGAGCTCTCCAAGTGGCATATAATCAGTCGTTGATGGTGCACTCTTTAAGCAAGGAAGTAGTTTATAATCAACATTGCGAGGAGCACGGCACAGTTCTACCTCAACATTACCACAGACACTTGTACTCACAAGAATCCCACAATCTCAGCGATACAACCCACCCGCAATGGTCCGCTCACTCGTCCCGGGCATCTACGCCCCGACACAGACCTTCTTTACGTCCACCACCGGTTTAGATTCGAGTGAAGCGCCCAATGCTCTCGACGCCGCCACGATTGCTAAGCACGCCGTCCGTCTCGTCCGCGCAGGCTGCACGGGCCTCGTCTGCAACGGCTCCAATGGCGAGGCCGCCCTGCTCGATGGCGACGAGCGCGCCGACGTCGTCGCGATTACACGGCGGGCTCTGGACGCCGCCGGGTTTGCGTCTGTGCCCATCATTGCCGGCACGTCGGCCAACTCCGTCCGCGGCACCCTCCGTCTCTGCAGCGATGCCGCCACGGCCGGCGCCGACGCCGTCCTGATCCTGTCGCCCGCGTTCGTCGGCGGTGGCAGCGGCGGCATGGGCCCCGCAGGCATTGAGCGGTTCTTTGCGCTCGTGGCCGACGCCAGCCCGCTGCCGGTCGTGCTGTACAACTACCCGGCGGCGGCGGGCGGGTTCGACCTGGACTCGGATGCGCTGGTGCGGCTGGCGCAACACAAAAACATTGTCGGCACCAAGTTTACGTGCGGCAGCGTGGGGAAGATGGCGCGGGTCATCAGCGACATCCCGGCCACCGTGTCCGACGTGTCGACAACGGCGTCGCCTTCGTCGTCTCCCTACTTTGCCTTTTCCGGCGTCGCCGACTGCATTCTGCCCGCCGTCGTCGTCGGCGGCACCGGCGCCATTGTCGGCGCAGCAAACATCGTCCCCCGCGCCTGTGTCGAGGTGTACAACTTGGCCGTGCAGGGCGACCTGCCCAGGGCGCGTGCCGCGCAACAAGCACTGGCCAAAGCCGACTGGAGCCTGACCAAGCGCGCCATCCCCGGCTTCAAGGCCGTCCTGGACCACTACCACGGCTACGGCGGCGCGCCACGGCTGCCGATGGTGCCCATCGCCCAGGACGCGGCCGACGACCTGTGCGCCGAGATTGCCGACTACATGAAGTACGAGCAGTCGCTGCCTGATGTCATTTAGGAGACGTGGGCGGTGGGAGGCTGTGGTGTGTTTGTCTATGGCGACTCGATATATAACAAGATACAAGTATAAAACATCAAACAAAATATACAATAGATGGCAACATATATGTGTGTGTGCATAGCCATGCTCCGTGGACTACCGCCCGGACAGCTTCTTCTCGAGCAGGCGGAAGGGCCCGTAGAGCAGGGCGGTGACGACAAAGGCAAACTCAAAGCCCAAGTCGCCCGTCGTCTCGGCAATGGGGCCGACGTACCAGACCTGCGACATGCTCGGCACGATGAGGGCAACGCTGCAGAGGCCGGCACAGATGGCCGCGATGCCCAGCGGCAGGCGGCCGGCGCTGTCCCAGTCTCGCGGGTCGTAGTTGCGGCAGTCGCCCCGGCGGAACCACAGGTGCTCGACCAAAAAGGCGGCGATAAAGGCGGCGGCCCAGTAGCCAATGAGCGTGATGAAGTTGTTGAGGTTGTTGTAAAAGTCCTTGGAGGCGCCGATGCCGACACCGATGACGACGGCGGCCAGGAAGACGGCGTACAGGTGGCGGGGGACGCGGCCCAGGGCGGGCACGAGCATGGGGAAGTTGACGGTGATGGCGTACGAGGTGGCCGAGGTGTTGCCAATCAGCGACAGGGCCAGCAGGACGGTCATGAACCGGCCGAAGCCGCCGGCCGGCTGCAGCATCGCGTCCAGGACGCCGCCGACCATGTTGGCCTCGTAGCCGTCGTTCCAGGCCGGGACGTTGGCGAGGGCGCCGGCAATGGCGGCGCCGAGGGTCATGAGCGGCACGGTGGACAGCACGAGGCCGGCGTACGAGGACAAGAAAATGGTCCGCGGCCGGACGCGGGGGTCGACGTAGGTGAAAAAGTCAGAGGCAATGGCGGCCCAGGGCAGCATGTACGACGCCACGACCATGCCAAAAGACACGACCGCGGCCGCGGGGGACGCATCGACAGCGGTCTGCTCCTTGAGGTGCTTGCCGCCGCAGCCCGTGGCCACGACGATGGCCAGCAGGGCCGGCGCCCACGAGTACTTTTCGTAGACGTGCAGCACCTTGTAGCCGCAGAAGGAGACAAACAGGGCCACGAGGGACATGACGACGATGCCCACGTACGGGCTCAGGCTGCCGCCGCTCACGGCCGTGAGGCACTGCCCGCCGATGACGACCATGATGACGCAGAAGCCCGTCAGCGTGGCCATGTTGAGCAGCACGGGGATGCTGACAATGTAGCGCCCAAACGAGTAGCGCGCCTGCATCATCTGGCGCATGCCCGTCTGCGGACCGAGCGTGCTGAAGTACGCGGGCGCCAGCGCCGTCAGCAGCGTGAAGAAGAGGGCCACGAGGGCGCTGTCCCGCAGCGAGCAGCCAAACTCGGGGCCCAGCATGCCAAACGTGATGGGCAGGATGTTGCAGTTGAGCGTGAACCACAGCGTGAAGCCCGTGTACGCCCGCCGGTCGGTGCGCTTCTCTAGCGGCGTCGGGCCCTGCGCAGACGCTTCCATCGTGTTGGCCGTAAAGTACGCGATGGCGCGCTTGTGCCAGGGCTTGTGCGCCGCGGCCGAGGAGTCGTCGGCAGCCGCCATGTTGTCGGTAGAGGACGACAAGGACGGATCGTGGGCATCGGCGGCGTCCTTCTCCGACTTGAGCGGAGGCGCGGAAGCGCCGCGTGCTTCGACGTCGGCGTCCATGGGAGGGATGGAGGCGAGTTCACAGGGAGGAGAGGGTCGTAGGCGATGGGCGATGAACGCGGAGAGCGGAGAGCGGAAAGCGTCGACTCGGGAATGTAATGTCGTCCGAATCGGAAGCTGTAGATTCGGTTGATGGGATGACTTAACTACCCAATCTGGACATTGCCCTGGCTGCGAGCACCGTCTGATATATGCCCGACAACAGCAAATGTGACGCAGTCTGTGTCGGTCGCGTGGGATAACAACACGGACGTTGGTATCTCAGGGGCGGATGGGATGTAAAAAAGATAGTTCCGACAAAGACATGGAAAAGATTGGACACCACAAAGCGATTGTCGACAATCATAACAGTGGGTCAAACTGCGCTTCCGCCGTTGGCGATTGGTGGACTCGGGTCTAGTAGTGGACCGGCTCCGATTGCGCGGTGCTATGGCACTCGCTACGGTAAGGTTTGGTGAGTTGCCGGCTGGCCATCCCTTGGGAGGAGCCAGGCTCGCCTTGATTTTTTACCGCGTAGCTGGCCATTGACCCTTGGCGTAATTACGAATTAGAAATGTCAATTCTTACCTTGTCCGTTAAGCGTCTCCGGCAACTAACAGTGGACAATGGGTAGTGCTAACAGGGACAAATCCACTACAAAGGCAGAAGCAAATAGCACACTCTTACATTCGACTTCCCACATCAACTGATTGGCCAATTGGAGTTCGTAGGAGAGACAACTGCACGGATAAAATCACGATAAAGTACGATGCACGACATACATCGCCAGAGAATGGGAATAATGGGAATAACACAGATGATGTCGAGGTACGACCACCGATTGAGGACTGCCGGCGATGCAGTCGGGCCCACTGAAAATAGGCTCGCAGGCTGTAATAGCAGGTGCCGACTCCACTGCGGCGGGAATGTAATTACGGCGAGTCGGCGACTTCTTTCGATTTGAGTTGTAGCCGAATGCAGTTTAATTTTTCCTGTGCATTTTGCTCTTCTCCGTGTTCGGCGAAGGGCCATTTGTTTGTTTTGTTTTGTTTGATCCGCTTGGAATTATTCAGAATTGTCGAGTTGAGTCTTCTTTTTATTTGATTTCCCGTCATCGTCGCCGGCTCAATTGCATCTCGGATCACCATTCGGATCCCACTGATCACCACAGGATCACCACAGGATCACACTTAGATCACATCTCAACGCCACGAAATGGCGCATAATGGCAGAACCAATCCAACAAGCACCGGTCGACGTCAATACGGACACTGAAAGGCTGGACCTCGAGAATGTGTCGCCACCAAATGCCCTCACCCCCAACGGCGTCCTGCAAGATTTGGATGCCTCACCACCACGTCCCCCGCCCTACCATGTCTACTCCCGCAACGAAAAATGGGCCATGGTCGGCCTCGTCGCCGTCACGGGCCTGTACAGCCCGCTGCCCGCCAACATCTATTTTCCCGCCCTGCCGACGCTGGCCAAGGTCTTCCACGTCTCGACCGAAGCCATGAACCAGACCGTCACCGCCTACCTGCTGATGCAAGGCGTCTCGCCTATGCTCTGGGGCACGCTGAGCGACCGCTACGGCCGGCGGCCCGTCTTCTTGGCGTGCCTCACCATCCTCATCGCCTCCTGCATTGGCCTCGCACTGTGCCCGACGTCGGCCTTTTGGCTGCTGATCGTCCTCCGTCTGCTACAAGCCGCTGGCTGTGCGAGCACCATTGCCCTCGGCGCCGGCGTCATTGGCGACATTTCCACGCCCGAAGAGCGCGGCGGCTACTTTGGGTACTTCAACCTGGGCCCGATGCTGGCGCCGTGCATTGGCCCTGCGATTGGCGGCGTCCTCAGCCAACGGCTGGGCTGGCGGTACATCTTCTGGTTCTTGGTCGTCATGGCCGCCGTCTGCCTGTTGTTGGTCATCCTCTTCCTGCCGGAGACGATGCGCAGCATTGCCGGCAACGGTAGTGTGGCCTTGACGGGCGTCTACCGGCCGCTCGTGCCTGTTGTCGGCCGCCATGGCCAGACGGTGCCCAGAAACCATCCACCAACGCCGGCCAGCGCCCGTAAAGTGTCGGCCAACCCTTTTGGTATCTTTCTGTACCCGGACATCTCCATGACGCTCTTCTTCACCGGCGTCGTCTACAGCATCAACTACACCGTGACGGCCACCATCTCGTCGTCCTTTGCCACCATCTACCCGTTCCTCGACGAGACCTCCATCGGCCTGTGCTACCTGGCCACCGGCGGCGGCATGATCGTCGGCAGCACGACGACCGGCAAGTTCCTCGACTGGGACTTTGCCCGTGTCAAGAAAACGTTCCCACCGGCATCGCTGGCCAACCCGGCCGACTTTCCCCGCGAATACGCCCGGCTGCGCACCATGCCCATCCACTTGGTCGTCTTTACGGCCGCCGTCTTTGGTTGGGGCTTCTGCCTCGAGTACCGCGCCCACATCGCCGTCGCCTTGATCCTCCAGTTTGTCCTCGGGTGGACCTCCATCTCCATCTTGAACACCACCATGACGCTCATGATTGACGTCCTGCAGTCCCGCAGCTCGTCCGCCACCGCCTGCACCAATCTGGTCCGGTGTCTCCTCGCCACCGTGCTGGTCGCCGTCATCGACAGGATGACGACCACGCTCTCGTACCGCTGGACCTATGTCTTTTGGGGTCTCGTGAGTGCGACCATGCTTGTGCTCATGTACGCCGAAATCAAGATTGGCAGCAGATGGCGTCGCGCGCGCGAGATTGCTGCACAGAAGGAGGTGGATGGGGAGTAGGCGTGCAGCACAACAATGACTGTAATAAAGTATATAGCCGGGGATATATAATAGATATATATAATAGATATAAATATAGCGGTAGCGCGTCCCAATAGCATTACATAAAATCATGCCGTTCAGCACGTCCCATTATTTGAAAAACGTCCGAACAGCCTCAATAGCATCCTCAACCAGCTTCTTCCCCTTGTCCATGACTCTGTTGTTTTTTAGTAGTGGTCAATAAATCATGTAGTCCCACAACGGGAAACAGAAAACGGGAAACAAACTCACCCGTCCAAGGCCAGGACCGAATGTGTGCAGCCTTGGAGCACCTGCAGCTCCGTCTTTACGCCTAGCTCCTGCAGCTGCTTGGCAAAAGCTATACCCTCTGGCGCCAAGAGGTCCTGCTCGGACACGGCCACCCAAGTTTGGGGCAGCTTCTCTAGGAGTTCACGCGGTGCTAGATTGGGTGACGCATGCCAATGGGACCAATCGCTCTCGTCAGGCATGTACATTCGCCGGTACCACAGCATCCGGCCGGGTGTCAGCCACGGCGCGGTCGTTGCGTTTGGCTGCCATGCTGTCTCGACCGTCGCCGTGTTGTCCACCACGGGGACAATATAGAGGCAGCCGCGGAGCGGTGACGTGCTGGTGCCGAGCGCCTCAATCTGCCGCAGAGCAGCGACACAGCTCAGTGTCGCCCCAGCCGACGTTCCTCCCACCGCCACTCGGGCCGGGTCGCCCCCGATACGCTTCCCACCCTCGTCGGACGATGCATACACCAGAGCTGCATAGGCATCGTCCGCCGCCGCAGGGAACCGGTCTTCGGGTGCCAGACGGTAGCCCACCGAGCACACAATCACGCCGGCGCCTTCACAGACGCGCGTGCAAAAGTCGTTTTCGCTCGCAACGCTGCCAATCGCCCAGCCGCCACCGTGGCACCAGACGAAGATTGGAGGAGGAGTCGACGACGATGTCGACGAAGGCGATGGCGACGATGAAGACGGCCGGAACACACGCATCGGAAACGTGGTTTTGCCGTTCAGTGTCGCCACGTCAATGTCCTCTGTCGACCCCACTGGGACCACATCCAGCGTACCCGGCGGTAAGGACGGCTTGGTCCGCGCACTGCCATCCCAGACCTTGGAGTCGTCTTGCTGCACATACTGCATGTGTGCATCGTGGAATGCCACATACTGCGGGTCGAGCAGTGGGCGGACCGCTGGGTGCAGTGGCTGGTAGATCTGGCGGGACATGCTGCATGGGAGGTATGGGTGTATGGGTGTATGGGTGATGGGTGAAATGTGGTATGCGTGAATTGAAAACGACGTGTCAATACTGTGAAAGCATGGGATGAAGTCCAAATAATGAAAATAAAAGCCACAAATGAATCAAGAGCACAATTTTGCAACAGACATAGTAAATCCAATGAAAACCAACCAATTTAGAAAAAACGAAACAAATTAAGAAAAAAAAAAAAAACAGATTACGCCTCCTGACTGCCTTGACAGTTGGTGGGTGATAACAAGAAGTGGGCGTCGAAAGACAATGTCAGGAAATGGAAATGGGACAGTTAACTTGCCGGGCGATTGCCGGGAGCATGTATCGTGGGCTGCTTGCGCTAAAGGCCCCACCTGCAGCGAGACACCTGTCACAGTGGGCCGCTACAACACCAGCCTCCAGCACTAAAACCACTGCGGCCCGCTAAACCTACAGCCCTGTGAACGACGACACCACACAGCATTAACGTCACACCTTCATCACTGTTCACGCCACACCATCGTACCTCACACCCACAATCACCGCCTCCGTCCAATGGACGACCACCAGGACGCCGCGTCGTATGCTGCCTCGGGTTACGGCCGCCGCATGGGCTGGGGCAAGCGGCCTGCCCTCTTGTTGATTGACATCTGCAAGGCCTACTGGACCCCCGGCTCGCCGCTCGACTTGTCCGCCAACCCAGACGCCGTCGGCGTCCCGGCCAGTGCCGAGCGCTTGGTCAACGCTGCTCGCGACGGCGGCTGTCCCGTCGCCTGGACCGTCGTCGAGTACACCCAGCCGGACATGGCGGACGCGGGCCTCTTTTGGCACAAGGCCAAGACGCTCGCGGTGTGGCAGGCGGGCAGCGAGCTGAACAGGCAGGGCCTCGCCGACTTTGTCAGCGACACCTTGACGCCCCGCCCCAAGGACATTGTCGTCAAGAAACGCTACGCCAGCGGCTTCTTCGGCACCACCCTCGCCACCGAGCTCGCCGTCCAGGGCATCGACACCGTCGTCGTCTGCGGCGTCAGCACCAGCGGCTGCGTCCGCGCGTCCACCCTCGACGCCATGCAGAGCGGCTTCCGGCCCATGGTCGTCGCCTCGGCCTGCGGCGACCGCTCCAAGGCCATCCAGGACGCCAACTTGTTTGATCTCGACAGCAAGTACGCTGACGTCGTCACAGAAGAGGAAGCACTCGGCAGGTTGAGGAAGGGTTGGATACAAGGTATTTCGCTATGATGACAGTCATATATCTCACGTCATTTACATTGAATTTGTTTCTTTGGTTGACCCTCTGTGTCCTACCACAACTCGTAAACTTTGCCTTTAAGATGACCATCCCCAGACAATCGAACAGACATGACGAGCTGAACTAGGGTCACCAGCCATCCCGTTGCCTGTTTTCCCAGTTTTTGAGAAAATCCCGATAGCGATAGCCATCCCGTTGCCTGTTTTCCCAGTTTTTGAGACAATCCCGATAGCGATAGCCATAGTCCATAATAAGGTTTATTGCACGTCGCTCCGCGTGTTCTGGTTCGCTGAGAAATGCATGCTCCAGATCCACAAAGACGATACGTCCGTCTCCATTACCACCACTCTCGTCTTCCTGTAATATGACGTTGTTCAGCTGAACGTCATCATATGCCACACCATGCCGTAGCATCTCCCCATGAGCCACACCTAAACGTCGCTTGAACTCCTCCATGGGGATGGGAACGGCTTGGAAGTTAGCAACCACGCCATCGACTACCGACAAGACAATGGCACGTTTACGCTCGCCGTTGTCTTCTCGGATCGACCCCTCGCCGTAAAACTCGGGTATGATTTTGCCTTGGAGGGCGTGTAGATGCTTGTACATGGCGATCTCGTTGTCAAAGAGCTCCGTCCGACACTCTGTTGGTCGGGACAACTTTTTAAGGACCACACGCGAAGGCAAAAATGCGCCGGGCCATAGACGGCGGACCACGGCTTGGAACGACATCGGCAGCCATGCCGTGCAGCGCCGGACCAGGCCGTACCAACGTCGCGGGACAATAGTGAGATCGAGAACGTGCGGGAAGACTGTGTGAAACAAGTCTGCTTTGGCATGGATCCGGCTCAGACCGAGCCTAAACTTAAAGTCGTCGTTAGCTGGGATAGGATGCCAGGGAGCTGTCGGTCAACCAACATACCTGAATCATGCGCGGGTACGTGCCAGGCTCAACGTACTCTTCAGAATCAGAGTCGCGCCGCCCCATTTTGCCTCGATAGTCTTGGTTGTTGCTTTGCGCGGTTGATTTTTGTTTCTGCCGTAGTGTCGTTTCTGCATTTTAAAAAAGGAATTCTACCCCTTAACGACGCGTGATAAATTTAAGAGACGGTAATGTGTATCACGTGACGACACTTGAAAAAAACAGTACGGTATGATTCGACGGCTCCTTCCCCGTGCGTCAACAGCAATACCGCAGAGTTGGGGGCGGCTGTTGCCTAATGCAACTGTAAACACGATGAAGCTCCTACTTTGTTGTTTTCTTCGTTTTCCTTTCTTTGTTTTGCTTTTCGTGAACGTCTTGTGTTCAAAGCAACCACGTTTCAATATGGCGACCACTGTTGGAGTCATCGTCAACGAGCACCCGGCACCTGTCGATGAGGCCACCGACATGATGTCACAGAGCAATAAGGCTTGGACACACAGTTATCTTCCCATAAAGAAGCTACGTGTGCACACTTACATGAACGCCGACATGTTCACGGTCACGGCCAACTTTGACGTCTTTGCACCGGAGAATGACGATGATGTACTTCGTATGCAGCAAGTGGCCCGCCGACCGAACGTTAGACGCTACCGACTCTACTCTGAAGAAGATGGGATCTCTTGGTTTCATAACGAGGTGTCTAATGTCTTACTGCCGGCCTTCCACCGATACCCAATCGTGACACAGACCAGCCACCATCCGCCACCACACGGGAGCGAACGGGTGGATTTCTCGTACATTGTCCAAGGCCTCGAGGTTGGTCGAGAGAGGCCCAATATAGCAATCGGGGAGTTCAAGAGAAACATCATACGCCGGGTCGCGTGGCAAGAAGGAAATTTAGACAATGTGCAGTCACAGTTCTCTCGCGAGCTCAGAGGGTCAGTGAAGTTTATATCCCCCCCTCTTATTACTATTCTATCCGATACGTTATAATAAACGCTAATACTATCTTCAACAATTTAGTTACGCACACAAATACAACTGCCCACAAATCTTCTGCTTCGACAACACAACCTTTTTGATGTTGCAGTTCCGTATCTCGAAGCCACAGGATATCTTGACCAACTGCACCGTTGACTGTTGGGTATTCCCGCGAGACAATGTCGGTGGCACGCCAATTCGTTATGCGTTCTACCGCCTGCTTGTGCAGGGATTTCGGCGGGTCCAGGGCATGCGGCGTTTCAATACGCCCATCAACAACACCCTTGCCGAGAGCTGCACTTTTTTCTCTGGAAAGCCCCATTGGCGGCAGGCAGATGGGACCTCTACGAGCAGCCCGTTTGGATGTACGCGCAAGGTCGACCCAGTCACCGGAGGCGTGTATTGGGTGGACCAGTCTGGCGAGGAGCTTGTGGATGACAACGGCGACAGGCTTTGGGATACGGGCCCGTTTTGGTTGGTGTAAGTGCTGTGGTGCACTCGTTTAGTTCAGGGATACAGTGAGCGACATACAGCGGCTAAAGGAGGTTAACAGCGACCTGCCGGTCTGACCCTGTCAAATTTTGCCTTAAATGTTTTCGTTTCTCGCTTCATTACGAAATTGATCAACTGATGTCCAGTCATGATATTTTTCTTTGTCATTTATCAATGAATACACTATCGCTATGAAATTCAACATATCTTGCCGTCTTTGAAAATGCCACGCATCATTATTTAAAAAACCCAGTCATCATTCACTCATCCCCTCAAACAACCGCCCGTTCCACTAGACTCTGCACGTCTCCTCGCGGCTCAAAAATGCAGCCAAATCGCTCTGGGTGGCTCGTCAAACCATAGGTCAGCTTCACCTCGCAGTCGGGCTTCGTCGTCTGTCCGTCGCCATCGTCGTTGAGCGCTGCCTTGAGGGTAAAGCTCTTTAATAAACAGGCTGCCGCAATCCACACGCTCGCCTGCGCCAGGTGCTGGCCCACACAGACACGCCGTCCAAAGCCGAACTGGCCGACGGGCAGCGGCTCACCACGGGCGTACCGCTCGGGCACGAATGCGTCCGGATCTGCATAGACGGCTGGGTCGTGCGTGATGGCGCGCGCATTGGCGTACACATAGGCCCCGGCGGCGATGAACATGCCCCTGTACTCATCGTCGGCGACGGTGCGATGAGGCACGCCGACGGGCGACACGGGGCACCACCGCAGCGTCTCAGAGACAATGTGCTCAATGTACTCCAGCTCGGGCCGCGTGCGGTCGGCAAACGTCGGCAGCCGGTCGCCGAGGGCGTCATCGAGCACGCGCTGTGCTTTCCGCTGGACATCTGGGTTGCGGATGAGGTTGAGAATCAAAACAATCATCGTGGCCCACGTCGTGTCCTGGCCGGCGGCGTAGACGGCCGCCGCGGCGCCCTTGATGTCGTCCTCGCTCAACTCCGGCTGGGCGCCCGTGCGCAGCTGCGACTGCCGCTGGGCCAGCAGGCCGTGAATCAGGCTGCTTGCCTGCGCGCCGTCGTCGGCCGCGGTGGCGGTCGAAGAGGCCACGACGGCGTGGTACGGCGCCTCGTGCAGCTGGCGGATGGCCCAGCGCCATGTGCGCGCAAACCGCAGCGAGCGGTCCACCATCCAGTTCGGCAGCAGCCGCAACCCGGGGAAATAATCAACGGGCGTGCCGGCCGGTGCACCGCCGTGGCCCAGGGCATAGGACGCGTCCTCGGCCATCTGGATGTACGGGTCCGCGTCGGAGTGGATGCCGATGCCGAAGCCAATGCCCAGGACAACGGCGGTCGCGAAACGGCGCAGCACCGTCTCCCACTGGTCGGGTGTCGCCAGCAGGCCGCGCAGCATCTGGTGCGTCTCGCGCGTCTGCAGGTCTTGGTCGACCGTGATGGCGCTCTTCTGGAAGCGTTTTTGGAGAATGCGACGGTGCAGGCGGAACGCAGGGCCCATGCGCAAAAAGGTTAGCGTCTTTTTGAAACCCATGGCCTCGAACAGGACAAACCGCGGGCGGTCAGCGTAGTTCGCGCCGCGCTTGTCCAGCAAGTCGATGGCGGCGCGCGCGCTGTTGAGCACGACGATGGGCTGGCCCAGGATGTGGAAGCCGAGCACGTCGCTCTGGTACTCCTTGCTCCACTGCATGTAGGTGTACTCGGGGTTGGCCGCCGGGATGACGCGGAGGTGGCCCAGGACAGGTTCAGCCGGCGGTCCGGGAGGTAGAGGAAGGCCGGCACGACGCCGCCGATAAGCAAGTTGGCGGTGCACGGCCACGCCGGCAAGGGCGAGCACGAGCAGCAACGCATACGCGCTGGGCGGCAAGATTGCGACACCCGCGACGATGGTTGAGCCTACGGCCATGGGAAAGGTCTTGGCACGTTTTGAGGAGGGGACTGGTGGGTGTCGTTGTGAATATATGTCAAATGTGCCGAGCTTGGTGCATGAGCTTGCAGTGTGAGCTTGGTGTGTCGAGCTAGGTGTGCTGCGCTTGACGCGGCGAGCTTGCTATTTGAGCTTGATATGTCGATCTTGATTCGAGCTTGATTTGGCCCTTGGCGACCGCTCGTCGTCTGTTGCTCTCGCTCAAGCGGTATTTGGCATTCCGTAAAGGATGCCGCCGTCGCGGCTCGGATATGACATGACGGTGGCTGGCCAGTCTGCTCGCAAGGGCAGCGGTGAGAAAAGTGGTGATGGCTGTGAGATTGACGTAAAAATCGCTACGATGACAAAAGGACGAGAGGGCGGCAGGGGCCCTGCTGCACTGCACTTGCCTGCAAATCCCGTTGCCGCCGGCAACAGCCAAGAAGCCCAAGAGAGCTTGGTGCGGGTTGGGGACTTGGACAGCAGAGGAGCTGCAGAGGCTGGCTACGGCGATAACGCTAGCACGAACGGGGAACGTCTTGGTTCTGTCTGGGCAGGCTCGACCGGTGTGGCCGCGCCACCAGTTCCGGCAAGGGTTCCGGCAGAGGGCCCCAAAACCACAGTACAATACAACACTACGACGTCGCAATACACCGCATGTCGCACACCAAAGTGCGCTGTCCAGAGCCAGCTTGCCCCGCCACGGCGAGCTAGCAGCGGGCGCGCAGGCAAACAATGGGTCCCTCTTAGGCCGTTCAGTGAGATCGCCGTGGGGTTGCGCCTGCCCGTGCTGGCTCTGCCTCGTTTTGTCGGTATTCCGTACGGATTCTTGCCTGCCGGAAGGGGAACAAGGACTTGGATGAGACAATGGTTCGCACCTCCTCTTCTTCAGCGGCGTCTGGCCTGGATCGAGAGGCGTCCCATTACCTTCTTTCTTTCTCCCTTTCTCCCTCTCTCCTCTCTCCTCTCTCCTCTCTCCCTCGTTCCCGTGTTCCCTTTTTCCCTCTTTGCCTTTCTCTTGTGATCGTCTTCATTTCCCTCGTGTCTCCTTCAGTCTTCTCCGCCGAACCAGCAGGGGCTCTCTTGGGCTTCGTTAGCTGCCTGGTGTCGATGGTTTACATATACACGAGGAGCGAACCGTTTATAGCATTTCAATCTTGAACCTTTTTGTTTTTATTTTGTCTCTTTTGTCCCCTCACCCCTTCTGCCTGTTGGTTTTGGTCGTTACCCACCCTGGCTGAAACAATCTCACCCGACCAACAGACGACGCCCTCCTGTCCCTCCATCACACACACACCGTACCCCCACCATGGCCTCCGCAATGGCCCGCGGCGGCTACGTGACGACACCCAGCGACGCCGACCCCTACATCTACCAGACAGGCTTTGGCAATCGGTTCGCCAGCGAGGCCGTCCCTGGCGCCTTGCCGCTGGGCCAGAACACACCGCAAAAGTGTGCCTTCGACCTCTACTCGGAACAGCTCAATGGTTCGTCGTTTGTCGTGCTGCCGCGGTCGGGCATCCAGCACGTCTGGATGTACCGCGTGCGGCCGTCCGTTGCACACGGTCCGCTGCAGGCGGCCGACCAGCTCAACCCGGCACTACAGTCCAGCTTTCTGGCGACGAACCCGGCCGTGGCGGTCGTGCCGGACCAGCTGGCTTGGGATCCGTTTGCGCTGCCGGCCGAAAACGAGAGCAAGGATTTCGTCGAGGGCATCCGCACAGTGGGCGGCCAGGGCGACCCGAGTCTGCGGCAGGGTCTGGCGGTGCACATGTACACGGCGAACCGCAGCATGGGACGGCGCGCCTTCTGCAACAACGACGGCGACCTGCTCATCATGCCGCAGCAAGGCCGTCTGCAGATCCAGACGGAGCTGGGCTGGCTCATGGTGCGGCCAGGCGAGATTGTGGTCGTGCAGGCCGGGCTGCGGTTCCGCGTGCAGCTGCCAGACGTTGACGCAGGCAAGGACAAGGCCGCGCGCGGCTACATCCAGGAGGTGTATGCAGCGCACTTTGACCTCCCCGAGCTCGGGCCCATGGGGTCCAACGGCATGGCCCTGCCCAACGACTTTGAGAGCCCCGTGGCCGCGTTTGACATTGACGAGCAGAGCTGGGAGGTGGTCTACAAGCTGCTGGGCAAGCTGTTTGTGTCCCAGCTGGACCACTCGCCCTTTGACGTCGTCGCATGGCGCGGCAACCTGGTGCCTTTCAAGTACGCCACCGATAAGTTTATCAACGTCGCCAACGTCGAGCGCGACCAGGCCGACCCGACCGTCTACAGTGTCCTGACCGTGCGGTCCACCGTCCCCGGTGTTCCGTTGACGGACCTGCTCGTGTTCACGCCGAAATGGATCCCCACCAGCAACACCTTCCGCCCGCCCTACTACCACCGCAACATGTCCTCCGAGGTCATGGGCCTGCTCTACGGGACCTACGGCGGCAGTGCCCACTCGCTAGAGGCCGGCGGCCTGAGCTACGAGGCCAGCTACATGCCGCATGGCGAGACCTACGAGACGTGGGTCAGTGCGACGACGCAGGACCTCGTGCCCATTCGCATCTGCGAGGACACCGTCGCCTTCATGTTCCACATCACAGTTCCGCTGCTCCTGGCCAAGGATGCCGTCGTCGATGCCCATCCGGCACCCGAGTCGCAGCGCGCAGCCTACAAGCCGCACTTTTTAGAGAGGCTGGGTGACGTCAATGCAGCTCTTTCCAAAGCAGGAGCGCCGAGCATAGGCCTCTGAGACAGTGTAATGCATATGAGACGAGAGGAAGAGTGAGAGAGTCAACAGGGTGAAAATGAAGCATCTACGGAGTCTGGTTGAGTCTTCGAGCCATATTTATGCATATACGTGAGAGAGGAGCGCGTCCATATTTAGAGAGATTTGACATGTATTTCTCGTGTGTTTTGCATGAATTCTTTTGAACCCATTGTTCTGTGCAGCTATATGAATTTCATTCAATATCACCACGTTCAATCTGACCTGTTGCCGACGCTCATTTTCAATTCCTTGGCGGGCCTGGCAGAGCCGCTTTCACAGCCCTGTCCATAGTGTCTACCGTGCCGTATTCAAACCTTATCATAGCTAACCGAGTGGCGTTCACTAAAAGCACTAAATCCGGTAGCGGCATCGCTAACAAGTCCCGGACGATAAGGTAAAATGAAACCTACTGCGCGGATACAGGGTGTCACCGCTGCTAATAAAGGGAGTTGCGTCCCCGCCAATCACCTGCTACACACTGGGGGGCGTATTGACAGCACTTGTTTCCAGCGGTCAGACGTAAGATTGTGCACTTGGTCCGCCGTGGCGGCTAACCTCGCCTAATTTTACAGCGACCATCGAGGGCACACCACTCACTGATGAGAACCCACCCCTCTCTGTCCACCCGGACCGCTGCCTCTTTGCTCAACGGCAACATTAATTACGGCCTGCTGGATGCACTGTACGAGGGGTGGGAACTTTTGCTCCGTTTGGAATTCTGATGCAAGTGAATGAATGCTGTGGTATGCGTCATTCATGCTTAACGGCCATTGGAATAAAATGTGGATTTTTATATCTATTCATTCTGTTTTTTGTCCTGCTCATCAGGCATTGTTTGCAGCAAGTTTCATGAAGCTATGAAGCCACGAAAATCACAAGGCTCAACACCCACGATCTCGAGTAAAGCAAACGTAGTAAGCTAATCAAACGAACAACGTGAATCTCGCGGCAAACGCTGGTTGGGTCTGGGCGTCATTCACAAATCTTGCACACACTGGCCGAACTTAATTCATTGGCGTCATGTATCAAATACAGTCACGTGTACACATCTACGTCTCGACTACAGCTAAGCAACCAACAACGCGTTTGCTGCATCGTACGGCTTCTTTCCTACACGAATTTCGAGTGCCTTCCGAAACGAGAACTCGAAAGCCACCGGACACGTTGTCTTGACAAAAAAAAAAGGGAAAAATGAAAAAAAAAGGAAACAATCTTCTCGACGCGTTTCCGGTATCGTTCGAGCAAAAATACCCATGCTCGCAGCCATTACACAAAACATTCCCTCTCTTGGCTTGACTGTCCTCTTCGTCTCACCAGCCTCCCATATTCTACTTGGCTTCTCATTTCCACACCCCATATTCTTGAACCTTCCCATCGGTTTCTTCCTCATTACCTTTTCTCTGTGTTTCCTGTCTCCCTCATCCACGCTCCTACAATGGCTGGAAAGGCCAAGAAGAAGGCGGCAAAGGCCAGCAAGATGTACGTTGTCCCCACCTCAGCGGAACAATGACCGCCCATGATGCCTCTGTGGATCTCGATTTCAACAACAGCATAAAAACAACATTTGGTTGCCCTCTTTGTCTGGCCGGTGTACTGACTCGATACCATATAGGTCCTCCCAAGATGCCCCTGCCTCTCCCGTCGACAAGAATGAGCCCCATGTTGCCATTGATCCCAATATCGACAATCCACAGAGCAAGGCTTCGCCTGAAGCCACCGACACGACCACTCGCGGTACAACACGACAGAGTCGTGTCGCCCTTCGACTCGCGGGTCCAGTCACGCCCATAAAGGGCATGATGCAAATTCCGGCTTTGACACCCACTCTACGCCAAGCCATGTCCGCTAAAGACGTGGCCGAGCATGAGGCAATACAGAAGACACCCCTCTGTTCCCAGACGCCTGACGAGAAGGCCGAAGACGATGGAAGCGTTGCGAAGATTATCCGCGCTTTTCGAAATATGAAGGAGGATGAGCGAGTTCTCGCTGGCAGGTATGCGGACATGACAAACAAGATCGTCTCTCTCAAAGAAAAATGGAAGGAGGGCGGCATTAACCTGCCTACGGCCCGGTACAAGACTGAGATGGCGCCTTACCTCGCCAAACAAAAGGCCATGGCCATTTCACTGTCGGTCCTGCGATCCAAAAGCACCGCGCTGGTGAGCGGCTGGGCCACCGACATCGTGTCGGAGAGAATTAAGCGGGACGTGGACGAAGACTGGGTGATGATTGACGCTGTCTTGCGTTGCTACCCGGAGCTTGAGGGTGCCCGCAAAACTGTCTGCGCCTTCCGCGCCGAAATGCAGAGGAACCAGTTTCGTAAGAAACTGTTTGGCTCTTATGGCGGCGACGCACTCTACGACGGCAAGCTCATATACTGCCCTATTGCGCACACCCACATGCCCGACGTCACGGTGGCTCACATTGTTAATGCTAGTGTAGGTCCGAAGACGGCCGAAGCATTATTTGGTGAGCGCCAGGATTTTCTCTGGAATCCGCAGAACGGCCTGCTCGTGTGCAAAGGCTACAAGGAGCTGCTAGATAGCGCCAAGGCCATTATCCTGCCCGCGAGCGATGACCCTAAGGAGACCGAGTTTGTCCTGCACCTTCTGACAAGGAACCTTGGGGAGCGCAACGCCATTTTGTGGACATACGAGGACCTCCACCGCCGACCGCTCAAGTTTCTGAACGGTTTCCGCCCCGCCAGGACGTACCTCTACTTCAAGGCTATTGTCTCTCTTTTGCGTCGCCAGCGCGTCGAGATCGACGAATGCTGGGCTGACCTTGACAACCTCCCGCCCTTAGCCAAGACATATTGGGGCAGTCCCGGCAAGTACTTGCGCAACTCCATCTTGTATGTCTTTGCCCGCGAGTACGGTATTCTCACGGCGGCAGACGCCAAGCTTTTCTGGGGAGTTGGCGCGGCCGATGTCATTGCCGACCTCAGCATTGATGACAAGAAAATGGCACAAGCGCTCGCGACGCAGGCCACTGCCGCCGTGTTTGCCCGGGAGGACGAGGAGAAAGATAGTGGCGACGACTATGACGACGATGACGACGATGACGATGACGACGATGATTACATCGACAGCGGCAGAGACAGTGACAGAGACGTCGGCAAGGGAAAAGGAAAGGCTAAGACCAAGGGCAAAGGCAAGAAGACGGCCGACAACAACGACCCACTCCTTGCCTAAGCAGTCTGTACTCCAAGTCAGTTGAGGTGCTAGATCCTCCCAGTTGTTTTTGAGCCCTCGTTGCGTGAATCAAAACTCGAGCGGGTTGTGTAGTCAGCCCGCGGTTGTGAAAATAGAACTTTTAGATTGCTCACATGGCCACTTAGCCGTAAAGCACGCGTCGGAATGCGCACGAAGAGTTAAATAAGTACGACCGCAGGAAAATCGCTGCAGTTACTTGAGAAAATCGAATTACTATTTGGCCTATGCAACAGGATGATAAAACATGTTCGAGGTACAAAACAAGAGAATACAACAGAAAACAGACTAGAAAAGAAGCAACAAGGTGAAACAGAGAGTTGTATCCAATACTCTCCGAGGATGATGTGCGCGTATGTACGGCAGGACAAAGTAAAGACGACAAGGTGCACTTAGAGAGCTGCCGCAATGATGATGGTAGCGCCTCCGACCAGGCCGGCCACGACCGAGGTCAGGCCAAAGATGCCACCGGCGCCCATGCCGCTGCCACGGCCAAGCGAAGCGGCAGCTGCCGACTTCGACGTGGTCGCCGCGGGGGTACCGCCGTTCTGGGTGTTGGTCGCCGACTGGGTGTTGCCGTTGCCGTTGGTGGCCGTGGGCGTGGCCGTGGGGCTGGAGCCGCCTGCTGCACTGTGTGTCGCGGCGCTGGACTCGGTATCCGTCGTTTGGGTGCCGCCGCCATTGACGGTGCTGCCATTGATCACGACAACGGCACTGCTGCCATTGCCGGAGCCGTCGCCGCCAATAGAAAGGTCCCCTGTACTAAAGTTTTCGAGGGCGGAGCTGAGCTGGTTGCCGGAAATGCGGCGGGCCAGAGCGGTAACGTGCGCCTCGGCGGCGGCAGAGGCAGCCAGAGCTGCAACAGCAAAGAGACCGCGGACCATATTGGTTGCTGGTGAGGAGAAGTGTGGGAGCCGGAAGAAGGGGTGCGTGGATGGTTGGGCAAGTCGAGTTTAGAGTTGCTATTGGAGGATCGGAAGATATGCAGCAAACACAGTTGATATGAAGGAAGAACGATGAGAAGAAGCATCCAACAAAAGGACGATGCACAAGTTTCAGGCGGTATATGTATACATTGACGATAAGGTATTCTTCACGAAAACACAGGGGTCTCCTTTCCGCTCCTCCCTCATCTTTCGTATCCGTCGCATACGTCTCATCCCCTGTGACATGCCGTATCCTTAAAGCTTACACTGCTCAGACAACAAACAACCTTGTTTTCATCGTCCGTTGACTTCAACTCGCGCTGCCGCGTTAAAATGAATAAGGAGCTGCAATACAACATAGTGCTGACGGCAGAACGGCGATCAATGCTCGCTTGCCGGTTGACGGAAACAACAAAGCCAAGTCCGGGGGGAACGCGACAGGGAATAGCCGCGCTCGGCTTTTTAATTCGTTGGTTAGCGACTGCGCCTCGAGACACGATGTATCCGGTGTATTATTTTCGTCTCTGTCGCAGGCCGTTTGGACGTTGGACGTTGGACGTTTAACCTTGGCAACCGGTGGGTCGAGCCGGGCTGGTTGTTAATGGTTTGTGATGGCAGCGGAACATTTTCCGTGGGTGATCGGCACACGTCGTCACTGTGTACCTGGCTGGAAACCCATATTTGGAATTCCAGGTACTTTAAAACGGTGGAGCGCTTGCAATGGCTAGTAATGGCCTGCACATTCAGCTCGCGACTTCGCGCCCGGCAGTACGGCAACTGGAAATTGGGCTGTGAGACGAAAATGTGACAGTGGTTACTTTTCAGGGGTTAGCGCTGCTACCAATGGTCCACCCTGGGGAGTTGCTGTACTTATCGGGGGTTATCTCTGTGTTTCATTGCCTTGACAGGCTTACTCAATATTTACGTGAATAGCAGATGTTTCTCTCCATGTGTGAAATGACTACTTCGCACTACACAATGCAGAGTACGTTCGTAGGACTTGCAGGTTTCAGATTTGAGAGTCAAGAGCATTGCCCACACAGCCGCATTATTCAGTTTCTAAGTTAACTTTCGCTCGCGGTTGGGCCTGCGCTGAAGATGCTGGCCCGTCTTTGCGCAGCGCTAGGGCTTGTTCCATGGCAACAGGGCACTCTAGCTGCAAGGCCCATTTGGCCATGTCCAGCTTCGAAGAAACCCAAAGGGAACACCCCCGACGCCATGTATTACTGCCAACTCCTGCAAGCATGCAAGACACTGCTTGCCGATGTGGACTCGTTGGGTCGGTGCCAATCGCGCGAACCTGCTACTGCGTCGAGGATGCAGCCGCCGGGAATCGCCCCAAAGGCCTTTTGATATGCCATGGCACGCTGTCCAGACTGCGCCCCAGGTCGCGTTCCATGGTATCTTAACGTCGAGCAGTAACTAGTAATTGGATTCCTTAGTGGCTTTGAGACTGCATGATCGGATTGGTACGGTCCATTATTCAAGCTCAATTCTAAGCGACTGTGGCAGCTGGCTGGGCAGATAACGTTTACGCAAACACGACAACCTCGAGCTTGGTGGCCAGGTCACCGCACGGCATTCTGACTCACGCGGGCAACGATTGCTTGCTTGTCGCCCGTTCACGGACCTCTCTCTGGCGATGGCTTGCACGTCGGCTCACAGGCGACACAGCTGGCTGATCCAAAGCAAGACACGCCCACGACGCACCACAAGACGCGTCAAAAGTTTACCGAGGTCGGCATTGTTCTCTGGCGGTACGTTGGTCAGCATCTGGTCTGGGCCGCCGTCTCTGCACGCTTTTTGCCACCTATATTCGTGTCGACTCACGGTAGATAACAATTTGCCAGAAGGAGCGAGACCACTCTCGAGTGATTGTATCGCACCCATCGAGCCCGTTTCACAGTTTCCTGCTGACCTAAGCCGTCTTGCCGCTGTTGTCCCACCCACGTCAGAATATCGTCACGTCACCATCAGGGTCATATCACGTGATGACAAATTGCACATCGTGGTTGTCGTATGCTGTGACGTCTATGACAAATATGTTATTTTACATTATTATTCAGCCATGCCGAGAGATGTGCGCGCCCAGGAGCAGACTCGGCGTCTACCGTCCATAGTCCGGGGTGAGGCGGAAGCGGACGTTGCGGAGGCAGGAGGGTCTGTATCGATTCGGAATTCCAGGTGTTTTGCTATGCGCATTATTCATCATAGATTCCGACGGCAGAGCGGTTAATACTTCTGCCGCTCGGCGTTGGATTCTGCTCGCCAATGTGGGCGCCTCTAGCGCCGTCGATCGTGGCCCAGGTGCGGACGGCAGATGCCACAGACGCTTGCATCGGTGTTTGGTCCTTATTAATATATCGATTTGCGCGCTTTGTGCGCCGTAGAGCAGCATGAAATCACCTGCTTGTAGAATTGTACGCATATATATATTGTATATATATATGGGCCGCAGCTGTTGGGTCTATACTCTTGTAGCATCGGACAAGTCAACCACGCATCATTTCGTCTTTCAGTCACGTCCAACCCACCGTTCGCCATGGCTGCCTATCTTCAGAAGAGAATCGTCCATCCGCACCACGGCATTACCGTGTCGCGCCCGGAGACGCCTGCGCTCGCCAAGCAGGAAAAGTGCACGGCCCCGATCCCCAACCCAGCCGCCAAGAATGTGCCCTTTTACACGCCAGAGCAAGACCCGCCAGCGGGCACCGGCATTCCACCGGCCGACGGCTCAGCGCTCCCGAAGCTGTTCACGCCGCTCCAAATCAGAAGCATCAAGCTGCCGAACCGTGTGTGGGTGAGCCCCATGTGCCAATACAGCGCCCATGAGGGATTCCACACCCCGTGGCACATTACACACCTTGGCGGCATGGCCCAACGTGGGGTAATTACGTCCCATTCCATTCTTCGCGCCGTCGGGGGCATTCAATGACATCATAGCCCAGCCCCTCGCTCACCACTAACACATGTCTCAGCCCGGTCTCTTAATGGTCGAAGCCACTGCGGTGCAGGCAAACGGGCGCATCACGCCTGAGGATTCCGGCATCTGGCTCGATGCGCACGTCGACACGCTGCGCAAGCACGTCCAGTTTGCCCACAGCCAAAACGCACTCATCGGCATCCAGCTCGCCCATGCCGGCCGCAAGGCATCGACCGTCGCGCCGTGGCTCAGTTCCGGGGCCACGGCGACAGTCGAAGTCGGCGGATGGCCCGACGACGTCGTGGGCCCCAGCGATGAGCCGTTCAACGAGCACTATCCGACGCCCCGCAGCATGTCCCTCGCCGAGATTGCCCAGCTGAAAAAGGACTTTGTCGCCGGAGCACACCGTGCCGTGTCGGCGGGCTTCGACGTCATCGAGCTCCATTACGCACACGGCTATCTGGTCTCGTCCTTCCTCTCGCCCGCCGTCAACAAGCGCACCGACAACTACGGCGGCAGCTTCGAGAACCGCACGCGCCTGGCGCTGGAGCTGGTCGACGAGGTGCGCGCCGTCATTCCCAAGACGATGCCGCTTTTTGTCCGCATCAGCGCCACCGACTGGCTGGACACGAACCCGGAGTACGCGGGCAGCAGCTGGACGGTGGACCAGAGCGTGCAGCTGGCGCACCTGTTCGCGAAACGCGGCGTCGACGTGCTGGACGTGTCCAGCGGCGGCAACCACGTTGCCCAAAAGGTCAATGGCGGGCCCGGCTACCAGGCGCCGTTTGCGAAGCAGATCAAAAAGTCTGTGGGCGACGCACTGCTCGTCAGCGCTGTCGGCAGCATCAAGACGGGCACGCTGGTCGAGGAGCTGATCTCGGGCGGCAAATCGGAAGACGATGTGCCCCTGGACCTGATTGCAGCGGGTCGCATGTTCCAGAAAAATCCCGGTTTGGTCTGGGCCTGGGCCGATGACCTTGGTGCACACATCCAAGTAGCGCATCAAATCGGCTGGGGCTTTGGCGGACGAGCGGCCAAGAAGAGCGACCATGCCAAGATTAGCATTCCTTGATGCCGTTCTGGTTTGAGGCACACAGGACGGACAATGCTTGTTACAGATTACTTCGTAAGTTTACAAAAGAACAGAAAACCGGAAGAAAAAAGGGAAGTAAGATATCAATGGGGACAAAGTAGAGTAGTTTTATAAACGCGTTTTATCATTGCTAGTTTGATGGTTTAATATTTCACGTATGCATCGACAAAGGCAACGAAAATAATCCTCTGAAAAACAGGAACTGGCATGAAATGTTTCAGCCTTTTACTTTGCAGATTAAATAGAAAAAAAAATAAAAAGTAAAAAACTCTGATAAAAAAATCTATACATACCACCCAATACTTTTGTTTCTTTTAACAACCGCAACGATTTCGTCTTTGAATCACCATACGAGGGTAAGCCATAGTTGATTCAATTGTCATTGACGACATCTCGAGTTGCGATGCCGCTGATTGGTGGATTGCCTTGGATGTGGCCCTTCCTATTTGGGACAAGTTCTTGTTGGCTCATGCTCCCGCACCTTCCCCGCTGCACGCAATGGAGTCGAAGGCGGAGAAGCGGAGTCGTTCGGTCTTTTCTCCCGTTTCCCCCCTTCCCCCCAGAAAAGCCCCAGTCGTGCGGTCCTGGGGGACGACGTGCAGAGGACGGCCAAAGACGATCCAAGATGGCCCAAGGATGCTCCAAAAACGCCCCAAAGTGTTCTAATGCGTACCGCCCCCTCTTTCTCACCATGATTCATGCGGGTTTTCTTCGAGCCTGGATTGCAAATCAAGCAGACGACAAACGACAAACAGGGACAGATGCAGAAAGACGACGATTGTCGTCGAGGCCTTCAGCAACCTGCTTGATCGATACGTCTTAAAGGACACGGAGACATCATCAACCATGGGCAGACAGGACCCGGCGGCGCGGCGGGTGTCGAACCTGACCGACTCGCAGGTCGAACGGAAGCGGGCCATTGACCGGGCGAACCAGCAGCACTGTCAGCGGCGCAAGAAGGCACGGATGCAGTGGCTGGAGCAGGAGGTGGTGCGGCTGTCGGCGGCGCTGGAAGCGGCCGAAGCCAAAGCGGCCGCGTGTGTCTGCGGCGGCAGCCTCACTCCCCCACGTCGACGACATCGATGTCGTCCCTGTCGTCGATGCCGACCATTGCCGTGCCCGTCGCCCACCGCAGCGGCCTGCCCGGCGTCCTCCCCGACGACGACGTCGACGCGAGCCACAGCGACTCCATCTGGACAGTCAACCTGCGCGAGATCCTGGACCCGAACCACCACGACAGCGAGCTCGGCAACATTGCCTTTGAGTTCCCGATGCCGCCCCCACACGACGACGTGACGCTGTCGCCACCGATGCTGGCAAACGTCGATGGTGCCGGCGACGGCAGCACCATGGCCTTTGCACACAGCCTGGCACCGCCCACGACCCCCGCGTGGCAGACCGTGCCGCTGCACCTGGCGCCTGCCAACGACCTGGACCGCTTCATCTTTGACACGACCAATTCGGGCCGGCGGCTGCAGCAGCAGTCGGGCGGTGCCGGCGAGCTCACACAGGCCGAGTTTCCCAGTATCTCGTCGCTGCTCAACCCCAATTTGGGCGACGACGGGTCCAAACCGCTGACATTTGCCCTGGCGACACACGTCGTGGCCAAGAGCAACGTCCGCTCGGTCACGACACGCATTGCCTTGATGTACACGCTGTCGCACTTGCTGCGGTGGCTCGTCTGCCGCAACAAGTCCAGCTACGACAAGCTGCCCGAGTTTCTGAAACCGACGCACCTGCAGCGCACCGTCCCGCACCCGCCGTGGGTCGACATCATCACGTGGCCGCAGGCGCGCGACGCCATCATTCGCAGCAAGTCGTGGCTCACAGAGGACTTTGAGTTTGACGAGTTCCGCGTCAAAACGGGCGCCGACATGTCGGTAAACTGGCCGTACACAGACTCGGGTGCCTTTTTGGACCTGGGCGACGGCCAGAACCTGGTGCTGAGCCCCATCTTTGAGAACCACATCCGTCGGGTGGAGAACTGGACCCTGGGCAAGAAAACGGCGACCGATTACCCATTTATGCGCTTCTTCTGCAAGGACCTGGTGGAGGAGGGGCTACAATGATGAGACGAGGGGGAGGAGAGACCGCAAGGTCATGGCAAACAAGGAAAGATTGGCGTTATTGTACATTTGATTGTCATTTACATTGATCCGCAGCTGTGCGCAGCCGGAAATGGTCGCTGCATACAGTGCGCATTGGCTCTGGTTTAGACTAGCATAAACATCCACTTATAGTCATGTTGTCATCATATGCTATTATCCCATAGTCTCCCATATGTCTAGACAAGTGACATGGTCTCTTCACGCCAGTGGTTGACGCGACTGCGGCTCTTCCAGTCGAGAATGACGACACCAACTCGTTCGTACACCATGGCTGCTGCTTGTCGCAGAATCAGACAGTGAATCAACTTTTCGGCCATATCCCAGTCTTCATCGCCGCTGAAATCGCCATCATCGTCAAAGTCATTGTCGAAGCCGTCGTCATCACTGCTGTCGTTACTGCCCCCATCAATTCTATCCACTTTGTTCTTCACCTGCTTTTCGTCGTCTGCTTGGCCCAGGTCGACCATCAGCAGCGTATACTCTTGCTTCTCATAGTCTTTGACATTTGGCGCCACCGTCTGCTTGTTGCTGTCTGCACCTGTCGTCGTGCCTGGCGCATAATATGTGCAAAGGAACGTGTCTTCACCGTCGGTATCCTCCTCTGTCTTTCCATCAAAGACAATGCAGCTGCCATTGGCTGTGGACAGCAAGTCGGGCCCGGCACCCACAGTCGGCTGGTCGTCAAACCATGCCGACCCCTGCTCCTCGTCCTTGTCCCACGTATAGGCCCCGATAAAGTGCGTGGCACTCCGCCGCAGCCGACACACTCGTCCCTTGACGACGATGCGGGCGCCGTCAATAGCACCAAACGCGTTGTTGGGGTCGCGTGGGCGCGCGGACCACGACAGCAGCTGGGCATTCAGTGGACTCGGCGTGCCTGTCAAGGGCGTCTGCGCGGCCAAGAAGATGATGGGTGCATCCGTCACGGCCCACGACCACGACGGCGCACGGTACAGCCCGTCCTTTTCGTTCGTTTGCAGCACGTGCGGGGCGTGCATGCCGTCGGGGCAGAACAGCAGGCCGCGCCGAAAGTCACCGGTCCATATGCCGGCCACGTACGAGTAGTCGACCGGTTTGCCCGGCCCCCGGCTCTGGCTCTGGCTGCGCTTGATGGCGCGGTCCACATTCTGAGCAAAACTGGCCACGGCCGGGAACTTGTCGGTGCCAAAGGTCAAGGTGCGCCGGGCATACGACTCGACGAAGTGGTAAAAGTCGGTCAGGATGGCTTCCGTGGTGGAGGCGGCAACGGTGGGCGCGGACGCCATCGACAGCGGTGCTGGTGTCGGTGTCGCCGTGGTATCCTCCCCAAAGTAGGCCGACGCGATGCTCGGATACTTGTTATGCGGATACAAGATGCCGTCCGGCAGCGACTCGGCCGACTTGTAGCCGCCCTCGGTGCAGAACCAGTAGATTTGGTGGGCGCCGTAAAACAAGATGCGTGCCGAAAACACAACTTCTTGCAGGGTCCAGCCACGGACACTCAGAGGCGCCGTGTCGCTGAGCTGACGCAAGTTCTCGCTGTCTTGGTAGATGGGCGATACTTGGAGGGTGGCTGTACCCGCATCCGTGTCGAAGGGCACAGTGCACGCCGGGACAATGGACCAGGGCACCTCATTGAGATGCCCTTTCCCGCTTTGGTCGGCCGCCATGGCCAGCAGCGAGAATGTCGCCCGGCTATACAGCGCGCCCATCCGCACCGACTCATACCGCCAGTCGTTGACTGAATCCTGGATGATGCAGAGAGAGTCGATCCACACGTAGGATACGCCAAGATTGCGTGTCACTGTGATGGCATCCCGGAAGTTGCGCGGCAGGTCCTGCTCAGGGATGCCAGTCGTGTATTCCTTGATCGTCGTCGATTTTAACAGAGTCTTGATGGGCGGCCGTCCCCAGCAGTGGCTGAGGGCCACGTACTCAGCACACCCATGGTCTGGCCGGCCTTTGTTAATGTCCACGGCGTGCACAATCCTGGCCGGCGAGCAGGTCACGTCAATTACGCGCGTCGGCAGCTGAGGTGGCAATTTTGTATGTGCCGTCGTTGAGCAGTGTTTGTGGTGCTGAGAGCAGTCGTCGAGCCAGCTGCGGGCTAGCTTGAAGTTTCCGGCCGAGCCCAGGTGCCTGTCTGGCGTAGAGCAGCCAATGCGGTATCCATCCACTACGGGAAGGCTGTTCTGGAGCGTTTTGTAGTCCGCAGCGGACTGTATGAAACTGGGGATGCGCAGCACCAGCAACAGGTCTGGCACCCGCAGCGGGTCGCCCAGCTCGAGCCGGTCGCCGAGTCGCACTGCCAACATATCAAACATCTGGACCAGCTGGATGGTGGCACCCGTGGCCGCGTGCCGGGCGCGGAGGGCGATGCGGACGTCAGAATGAGGGAGTTTGCGGGCGACGTCGCGCATGGTCGCGCCTGCCGCATGAGGCGCGGGTACTCCCGCCGGGGCTGCCATTCCCGGCTTGGGCGGCACGGGCCACAGCGGGTTGCTGGCGTCGTGCTGCGCACTGGCAAAACAGTCGACAATCAACAGACAGAGGTAACACCCGTTGTGGTTGGTCCCGGTGGCGCATGCCTCGAGCTCGGCAAAGGACGCATGGTGGTGGTAGTAGTCCGAACTGGGAAAGAAGCCTGATCGGAAGTCGCGCTTGGCGAGGCCCACCAGCCGCTGGAGGGACATGCCCTGACAAAGTGAGCAGAGCATTGTGGCGGCAGGTGGCGGGGCGGCTGTGTCTTAACACGGAATCAGACGAGCGTGACGTCTGCAAGGACAGAGGAGAAACGTACAACACACTTTATTTTCATCAAAGCCACGACAATCAACAGAAACCCACCCACGGCAACATTCAGCTCATGGTCCTGACGCGGGGTCAGAACAGGTTAGCGGGGCGGCCGGTGGGATGGCACGGAATTCAGCCCTGTCTTGGCACATGTGGTGGTACTGGGACGATGAGCTGTATGCAAAAGTGCCATTGAAAAGGTGCTATTTAGAAAATCAAAATGGTATTCTGACCCTGTACAAAGTAAACGCTGCAAATGAAGGTGCGCCCAACGCCAGAAATGCAGTTGTCGTGTCGAGTTTTTTCAGTCCTCGCCCCGCCCATCACGGCTACGCTTTGCCCGCGCGCAACTTGCCCAGGCCAAAGTCCCAGGCCTGCCAGAACTGCTTGCGCCAGCTGGGAATGCAGCGCACCACAGTGGGTGGCCGCGGGTTCCAATCGACGGCCATGGGCTCAATACCGTCACCCTCGGCGTCCTCTGTGGCCGTCCAGTTGGCCGTGTAGCCCATGCTGCCCTTGACATCGAGCCCTTCGTCCAAAGAGTACCCGAGACTGACGGACGGCACCACCACGATTTTGCCGTGGCCCTGGCTCCACAGGTCTTTGCACAGCAAGGTCGGCTCGCCGGCGCCGCATTCGCCGACATTGTTGTGCGCGCGGCGAAACTCGACCTTTTTGTCAAAGAACGGCCGGGCGGTGAGAGCGACGGCGCCGTTCCAGCACGAAAACACCTGGAACGGCCGGCGCTGGGCATAGCGCGCACGCGCGAGGTCGTCGTACGGAAACAGGTCGTCGGCGAAGCGCCACTGCGCGAGGCCCGGCGGGGCCATGATAAAGGCCTCGCCGTCCATGGTGCGCGAAATCCAGACGTCGTAAAAGGTCAGTTTGTAGCCGTACTGGCGGTCGAGGCGGTGGTAGTCCATGGCGCAGGCCATGTCGGCGTGCTGGCGACGCCGTTGAAGGGCCAGTTCGAGCAGGTCTTCGGTGCAGGCAGCGACGTCGTTGAGAAACAGAATGACGCTCTGGTCGGGGTGCATGTTGGCCGACTCGAGGTGCATGGGCTCGAGGGCGAGGTTGCGCAGCTTGGCGAGCTTGCCGATGCGGTCGCCAAAGAGGGGGTTGATGGTGGTGCTCTGGATGTAGACGACGGCGCCCATGGCGTTGAGGGCGTTTTGCAGGAGGAGGAGCGTCTCGTAGGTGCCGTCGTTCGAGCGGCCCTCGACGATGGAGACGACGCAGTTGGCGGGGCCGAGGAAGCGCACGGCTTCGACGATAGAGCCCAGCAGCGTGGGCAGCAGACCGACGACCTGGCGCAAGTCGAGTGCAAAAAAGTAGGTGCGGTGGGAGTTGTGCGAGCTGCCGTCCCCCTCGCTAGGCTGCGGCACCAGCTCGGCGTACCGTTCGTGGTTCAGGGCCGGGCATCCCAGGTGGTTTTGGTCGGGCGTCGCCTCGGCCTGCTCGAGGATCAGCTGGGCGTGCACGCGCGCCGTGCGCTGGTGTTTGGCCTTGCCGGGCGCGCTTGGTGGCAGTGTCCAGCGTGCGGGCGGCGCGGCTGTGACGCCCTCAACGTCTGCATAGGCCCCATTCATCCATGTGCCGCCGTAGTCGGTGCGTGTCCAGGGAACATACGGAACGGGCGAGGAGATGTCGTACCAGAGGCTGCGGTAAAGCATGAACAGACCGACCAAGCCGACAGCAACGGCAACCTTGAAGAGGCGACGCCGTGATGCAACGCGGTCGTGCCATGGCTGGCGGAACATGGTGAGGGGAGAAAGGTCCGAGAAGTGATGGACTGAGTGGAAGGAATGTCGAGAACGGTCGAGACACGATCGAAATTGTCGCACGGGCGAGGGAGCACAGCTCAAGAAGGAACTCGCAATGGTGTGGACCGCAGATGCATGCCAGCCTTAAAGTACTAAGTTGTGAGGAGGAAGAAGAGAAATCCCAAAAAAAAAAAAAAGGAGAAACAAAAGGTGAGGGACAGTGGGATTGCAATGGCCAACTGAACGTGTCAGTCTGCGACGGAAGACGCTCACACGAGCTCAATTGCAGACCACGCGATGGCTGGGGTCAACAAGTGAAAGTATCCTGCCTCGCTTGTCTCGACTACCTTGTCTCGAGTACGAAGGTACTGCTTGGTATTTGCTTCCATCTGCTGCGCCGTGGCCGATCTCAGGGAGGTTTGGCCCACTTTGTCGACCAAGTTTTTACGGAGCGGCGACTGTGTTTTTGGCTGTCATCTCGTGTTGTTCTTCGACTTTTTTTTCGACCCGTCTGCAGTTCTCCCGTCTCCCGTTTTCGTGTCTTATTGTTGCCGGAGTTTCACGCCCAAACGTTGCTCCGTCGTTGCGGCTGTTCTCGGTTTCTATCTCGCAAATTATTTGTTTCTGTTTCGCTTTCCTCGGTTTCTTTGTTCTCCCCGCCCGTCTCCGACTCATCCCAGTCAACTCCCGCCCAACAGATGCTGTGCCGCGCAAGGAGGAACAACGTGATGAGACAAAGCGCCCGTCAGTGCATGACACGTCCAAACAAGGTCCTCGGCCCAGTACAGAGCAGATGTTTGGAGTGGATGACGTCGCGCCCGACGTCAGTGGCGTTGCAGCGCAGCTTCGGGAGTTTGTTTTGGTTGCGGGTGGACACTTGGCGCGGGCCAGGGATAGGCCAAGCCTTTCAGCAATTGCCCAGTAACAAAGGGGCTTCCCTGGGAGGTGCGCTATTGGCGTCGAGGCAATGGTTGGAAACAGGGAAGCGGCACATTCAAACAACCACAACCAGGGCCAGTCCAACGTGCTCCCACAGCCTGAGTTCGTTTCGTGTTGGATTTAATTCTGCTGCCTAGCGCCAGCTAAAGCTGTCGACGGCACTCAGATGCGGCGTCCCACTCCTCTCCACAACGGTGGCTGTAGATTTGTACTTACGGTAGGTTCTCCATAGATCCCCCTCGTCCCCTTTCCTTCTTTCCATTCTCGCGTCTCCCCTGTTCTCAAAGTACCCTTTCTCTTGGCCTTTCCCATTTTGATTCCACTCCCTGTCGATCGCAACGATCGCAAGCTCGCGTGTCGTAGCCGTGTACGTACGATGCCACTCTGCCAAAATGATGGACCCGGCCAATCTCCAGAGAATGCCACTGTTTGTTTAGACCCCGGTTTTAGAGTGCCATGTTGTGCGTTTTCACCGTTTCGCACAAAATTGGCAATTCAAATGAAATGAGCCGAGAAGGCAGACGACAAAATCCTCAAAACCGTGACACAGGCGGAGAGCAGACACCGATTCGCGGTCCAGATTCAATGTGCCGCTTCCATACAGACGTGCCGCTCCAACATCCCTTTACTACTTGTTAACCCCCTGGCTCCGCGTCTTCATCTGTGTGCACGTTTCCTTCCTTAATTTATTTTTAAACACGAGTTTTGCCCGAAGGCTTGGCGACGAACCAGCACACCCCCATCACGCTCCATCACACCTCCATCTCACACTCTCACGCGTGATGGTGTTTTCAACGGCCCGTCGGCACATTCAAAATAAGCTTTTTCCTTTTTCTGCGGAGGCCTGCACCGTCCTTTAACGTCTGATGCAGAGATGCAAGATCGACAATAACAGAAACAGGCAGCAGCATTACAAACGAGCGGTCACCGAAATCTCACTCAAGCTTATTTTGGCTATTTCTATTTTTGACCCTGTGGCTCCATGTACTCCGGGCCCATCGACGCTCCTCCCCCCCCCCCCCCCCCCCGACTACACATTCCGCATCTTCTCCAGCACCGGCTTGTAGTTCCGCTCCAGCACCTCCTTGCTGACCCGCGCGCCGTCCGTGTCCGGCGCGGGGATGTTCCAGACGCCCAGCGTGCGCCGCTCGCCCACCGCCACCTGCAGACACGCGCCGCCGCCATACTCCGCCTTGGTGACCAGGTCCACCATGCCCTGCGCCACCTCCTCGGGCATCACCGCCATCGACGGCTTGTAGCCAAACTGCTTCATCTTGACCGGATCGGCCGTCCACATGGGCGTGTGCACATAGCCCGGGGCGACCAGCACAACCTTGATGTTTTGCAGCTCGTCCAGGTCGGCCACCGACCGCACAAAGCCCACGACGGCGTGCTTGGTCGCGCAGTACAGCGGCGACGCAAACGCGCCCTGGTAGCCCGCGAGCGACGCCACCACCAGGATCACGCCTGGCTTCCTGCGCCGGACCAGGCTCCGGATGGCAATGCGCGACAGCTTCATCGGGTGGTTCACGTTGACCTCGACCTGCTTGTACCCGTCGTCCTCCGTGTCGTCCCAGAAGCTCGACCAGTCCGGCTCGAACACGCCGGCGCCCGCAATGTACACGTCCGGCACGTCGCCAAAGGTCGACTGGGCCACCGCCACCGTGTTCTCGAGGTCCGCCCGCTTTGTGACGTCCGTCTTGGCAAACACCACGCTCTTCTCGTGGGCGGCCGCAAACGCCTTGGCGTCGTCTGTCAACGTCAGGTCCGCAACGACGACGCACGCGCCCTGCTCGACGGCCTGTTTCGCAAACGCCAGGTTGATGCCCGAGCCGGCGCCGGTGACGACGGCAATCTTGCCCGACAGCGGGAATGCGCCGACGACCATGTTGGTCGGGGTTGGGGCTGGCGTAAGTGGTTCGTCAGGGTTATCGTAGATGCGTAGGCGACCGTGTTAAGTCGTGACGATGTCGTCTTGTCGTACGTCTTGCTTCCCTCGTTTTGTCTCCGACTTATTCACCCCTCCCTCAGACATATATAAGCTCCCCTCCAGGGCTCTCCGCATCACGACGGTGGTGGTGGTTGTCGAGGCACATAAACGGCTATCAATAGCCATGCCAATATCCTACTAAACCGGTTTGGGATTTTGGAGCTCGCTTGGGACTGTTTTGGCGATGCTGTGGTGTTCCTGGCATTGGAAAAGAACACCCAGGGTCGCTAACAGATGCTACAACAGACGCTACGGTAAGTGCCATGGGGCGCGCAGCTGTAGTGGGGCTTCGCCCAGAGAGCCCACTGAGCCTTGTGACACGGCACTCGAGCATCCGCCTTGGGGCATCCGCTGGACTGCGCGGGAGAATGCTCCGTACTGCCTCATGATTCATCCTGCTTCAATTTCGTGCCGGCCATGTCGTCTGGCGTGCCGAGAGATAAGAAACCGAGCTCACAGGTCTGAAAGTGCTCCAGACAGAGGAGAGAACACAAAGCTGCGCCGTCAAAGAACATGTGGATGCGAACTGTGAATAGAGCCGACGTTATCAGTCAGCCATAGTTCAAATTGGGGTGGAATGGGCGTGCTACTTTTGGCTCGACACGATACTCCGAGCGTATGGACATGTAGCAATGTGCCAACGCGGGAGTAAATCATCGAATACCGTGCGTTCGCTGCGAGAGAGACGGAGGGAGTATGAGTAGGCTATACGCGCAGCAGACCATGTTTGAGTCCTCTATTGACAGTGATAGGTTCCGTTTTATTGAACGATAGAGATGAATTAGTTTCCTGGTATAGAGTTACGGCTGTTCGCTGACAAGACATGTAGCTCAAAGATAATCTAATCAATCGCATCTTGGCCGATTGCGCGAAATTTACAGGCCCGACTCCGTTCAATGTGTCCGGTACTCGCCTTTATTTTGCTGTTTATTAAAATTCAACCAAGTTCATTTATTCCCCGTAAATAAATTTTAGGTACGAAATACAAAATATGGCGTACGTTCGGCTGAGTAATCTGCGAACAAGGACTCTCAGATATTCGTACAGGCGTCTTACGGCGTCATGATGTGTGCGGTGGTGGTACGAAGTTGACGATTCTTCATGTCGACGCACGGTCCCCGAAGGCTCCTAAGGTCCAACCAATCAACGAGTAGTGCCCAATGACGCCCGCCAAAGGCAGGCGATCAGCGTGTTCCTTCACACAATACTCCACATAACGCCGCCCCTTTTATTCACAATCGTCTAAACTTCAAGTATTGACAACGAAGAATGGCAATGTTAGAACCGCACGAAGAAGAAGAGCCATACATTTCTGTTTCCTGCATATCCCATCCGAGATGTGTGGTTTGCCAGCTTTCCTTTGCCCAAGATGAGTTGATCGTTACGAGTAAGGAAAGCCCAAACGTCGCTGCCACTTCACGAATGGTATGATTCTCGTTACTCACATTGCTCACAGGCATTGACGGCATTGTCACTCCAGAGTTTCCCTACGATGAACCCACCCTGTACTACGACAACGTACGCCCGATTTGCGTTCACATGTGCGGCAGACAGGAGTGCAGCATCCGCGACGAGGAAGCCTTTGGCATGCATCCCAGCTGCTGCGCCTTTGCTGCCCATGTCAACGACAGCGTTATGCCCTTGCCATCGACTCCTGGCCGCCTGCCAAGCCACCTGTCCGTCGAAATAAGTACCGACATAACCTCCAACGGGACCGCACCTTGGTCTACAATATCTCGAATCTTCGTTGGAATCACACAATACACGTTTCCCATCTCCCACGCAGACGAGCTCCATCGGGTCGCCCGTATCCAACATTCACTGGCCCGGCGGCTGTCGGACCTGGCAGAACCACGCTCAAAGGGCTCTAATACCTGGATGCGTCCACTGCCGATGGAGCTGTGGATGATGGTGGCAAAGCACTTGACGGGCGAGTGCGCGTTTATTTCGGCCCTGGTGCTGGCCGATCGTGTGGATGATGACCCGAAACTTGATGCGCGAGAAATACCGCAGCCTCGAACATTAGGAGAAGGTCACGATAATTCACACCAGGAAGCAGTAAATAAGCCATTCGACGGAATATCAAAGGACGGGCCCGGGGAAGCACAAGTAGACACCGCTGAAGACACTGCTGAAGACACCACCGAAAACACCACCGGAAACGCAATGCGAGACACAACTGGGAGAGCACCACGAGACAGCCCGGGAACCTCACGAAATGAAGAACGGCCCGAAGTACAAACCGAAATACAAGCTGACGCACAATCTGAAGCACAACTGGATGCACAGCTAACCTTCCGGGAAGGGTTAGCTCGCATTGATCTAGACAAACCAGTGTATGCTTCTTTTATCCTCTACGAGGGGCGATACTACGTGCATAGCCTGTCGCGAGCGGATCCGCAGCTCGTGACGCCGCATGCCGCCGACAAAACCATGACGAAGCTGTGCCTTTTAGTGTTCCCCGGACGTCTGCGAACGAACGCATCCCACGTGCGTCTTTTTGTGGCCGGCGACCACCTTGGCATTCGCTGTGTCCGTTTTTTTCGCCACGAAGATGCCGACGACCAAGACAAGATCACTACTTGGTGCCGTCACCAAACACAAGTTCTAAGACATGAAGTCTCTTGGTATTGCGAGTCCTTGGACCTAAAAGCAGCAGAATCAGCGGACGGGTACCCATTAACACTGAGGATTCAAAGTGACGTAAGTTCTGCGACCGCCGTCCATATTCCCCTCCAACATATAACTGTATATATGTACTGACGGAGTACTAGGGCATTAAATTGCGATCCATCTCCAGAGCCCCTGCTGTTCTTGATACCGCTGCAGCCGTACCTATCTCAGAATCACAGTTTCTCTGGCCGGTGCCCCTTGTCTCGACGCCCCAGACAAGCTATATTATGCCGCCACGTAGACCATCTCCGAGCGAAAGAACCGCGACCGGCCCGTACCGCATGTCGTATGTTAACATCAATTACCCAGACACCGTCGGTTACTCAGTGGCGTGTAACGGTGGATCAATTTACTCCATCATTGCACATACACGGGGCGAAGACAGTGAAGCGCTTGCAAGAGCCTATGATATGGACCCTGGGCTTGCCTACTGTTCCTGGGTGTACATGCCACTTGTGCCAGGCGAGACCATTGTTGCCATCTACAGGCGTCTGGCATATTATGAAAGGCCTGGTTCTAACCCGAAGAGCAGTCTTGGACTTGTGGTGAGTGTTAACGCAGACCTGCCCGACGTTACCGTGGCTTTGCACTAATTTCTTTGTTGTTTTCTGGTGTAGTTTCAAACAAACTATGGACGAAGAAAAGAATTTGGGGCTTTCTGGGGCGACTACTTGCAACGCTCAACTGTACGGTGCCTCGCCCGCCTTCGGAACGGCAATTGCTGTCGTATGTTTTTCAACCGTCTTGACGAGCACCGCGTCCGGCTCACAGTACAGTTGACTGCGTTCGGCCTGGCGGACCTTGAGGACCCTGCACACTTGCCACAGGCCGATGCAGAACAGAAGCGACCGCCAGCTATGCTGATGGACGAGATGCTGCATCGTCAATCACCCTTGTCGATTGGTCCTTTCCGAGGACCACTGCCGGGCGGCCTGTATTCATCATGCTCATTGGAAAATATCGCATCGATCCGACTTTGCATTGAACCGATTGTACCGCACCGTCCGGTCGTTGGTATGTTGGTTTCCTACGCAGACGGCCGAGCCCCTGCATATGTTGGCAAGTGGCGCGTTGACTGGGCGGCAACGATGGCCGACGAATTGAATCCAAGCATGTTCAGGGTAGACCAATCGCGGTCTGATGGTCTGCACATTTGCCACCGACGATTTCAGGCCAGCCGGTTCCCGCATTGGTCAAAACGAACAGCAAGCCTCTACGACGGCTACTATGTTGCCGCCGTCGCATCGCGTGCACTGGAAAATGAAAGTGACAGTAACGAAATTCGGGCCGATTTCGACGACGACGATTGGTTCAAGGACAAATGGACAACAGTACCGTGGCGTGGCGTCCTTGAGTGGTGGTTCAGTCCGCGCAGGACATATTTGTATCATAATGGCATCGAGCTTCAAGGGGCATAAGAGTGGAGTAGTATTGCACTCTTTTCAATCAACAATGGCCAACCATCTCTCAGATTGAATGTGACGTGAAACGCAGAACCAACATTTTATTGGATACCGTAGGCGCTGATGGAACTCCAAGGTCTGATGCTGACCTGGCTAGTAGACAGACAATTTGGTGTGGAAGACATAGGCCGCGGAACGGGCCGGCGCTAAAAAAGCAACTGCGTATGGCGACAGATATCGCGAGGCTCTTTCTATTTTAAAACGTAGGCTCGCAAGTGGAGGCCTGGGAAAGCTGTGATTATTCAAAGAAAAGTTGCCTCCTTTGTCAGAATGTGACATGCCCGACACCATTAGCATTGCATAGCACTATATAGTTTGCACCTGCTCCCTTCTATTTCGTTCTGTCGGGGCGGTCGTTACAATCCAAGACGACAAAGACCACTTCAAAAAACACAAAACCGCCGTGTACACAAGAACTGCAACTATGACGATCGTCATTAACCCGGTGCTCGAAATGCTTTATAAAAAAGCATGTGGCGCATCCGAGTCCAAAGCTAGGGGATTTTGGAACATTGCCCTGCAGCATGCCTTTTGGGAACGAGATCTCTATATGGTGCAGCATGAGGTCAACCCCGATGACTCCCTCCGCCGTTCCGACATGGCAGTTACCCGGGTGAGCAACACGATGAACGATGAAGTTGCTCTGCTGTGGGTTGAGTGCAAGAGCGATATCGGAAACGCACGACAAGTTGAGCTTCAAGTTTATGACGTCTGCAATCTCAACGTGCCCATGGACGACGATATTGCCAATCGCGAGGTTTGGGCGATGACTACAATCGGCCTGTCCTTCCGTCTGTGGAAGTTTGACTGCGAAACCAGAAGTTTGACTCCCATACACGGCCAACCTGGAGTCACAGCAACTCGGTCCGAATACATCGATGCGAAACACCCCGATGCTGTTGTCTTTTTCCATGTCGTGCAAGAAATCAAGAACCACACTGCGTCCATATTGACGGAGACCATGTCGACATCTGCGTCTCATCCAGCTTCCCATTCCGGCGATACACCGGGCGTTTCGAGCCTTCCCAGCGCTGAGCCTCAAACTGGATACGAGGGAACGATGATGCACGACGAAGGCGATGACATGACCTGGGACCAGTTTACCGAATCCCACGCACAATTTGACCTTACCGACTATGATTTGGGGAGTGGACAGGCAATCATCGATATGGGCGAAGCGTCCGGACAAGCTGGCGAAACTCACACCGCCATTCCATCGGCTTCTACTACGATGCCACATGAGGTAGCAGCAGGAAGCAGTCATGGGCCAAGTGGTAGGGAGGATACTGATACATCCTCTGGTCGAATGCTGGTTGATTCTGTGACAGGAAACTCTGACAACATACAGGCCTATGTTGAATTTGTGACCGTTAGGAAAGTTTCCCACGTGTTGTCGCCCGACGAGTACCTCTTTCGATGTGCAAACAGAAAATCGAGGTCGACAAGACGGGCTCAATGGAAAGAAGGAGTGTTCAACGGGAAACGCGTCTGGGTGTATAACGACAAGGGTTCGTCATACATCAGTAAGGAGAAAATTAGATAAGCAAGGAGCCGAATCGTGCACTAACCCCCTCTCCTGTTATGAGTCTTCGTTTTTGGATTTCGATGCGTCTTGTTTCGTCGTCTTGTTTTGTCGTTTATTTCATATCGATGCCTTCTTTCATGTTTCGCGTTTGACCTCTGATTTTACATCGTTTCAACATCTCATTACGCTTTTCATGGTTTCAGTATCTGCTTTCGTTATCTTCTGTCCACCACTACTATCAATTAGTATAATTTTGACCTGTTTGTTGCCATGTTTTCTTAATCTAAAGTATACCGAGCTTTCTTTCTTCTTTACGAACCAGCGTAGAAGCGTGTCGTCTACAAATCGGTTTCCGTACACAGTCGAGCGCTTTAATGGGTTGCTAACATGGAACTGCGGTCTATTTTGCAATTCATAATTCACCGTGAAGTGGACATTCTATGGGGCAATGGTGAGATATGGCTCTGAAGATAGTTAGATATTGACAACAACGTGCTAGTTTTAATATCAGTATCGAAAGTATTCGGCAGGATCGCCCCCCGCTGTTCTGTAGCATCACGCCCTACTGCTATACTACCAGCTTCCCATTTGACGCCGGCAGAGGAAATCAGACACGCATCGCATCCGCCGACTTGTTTATTCCTTCGTCGTATTCTCCTTTTGCCATTTCTGCACCGGCTCGATACCGTAGGTAATCTCCATCATGAGCAGCGTAAAGTCATCCACCTGGTCCGGCGTCGACGTCCGAAACAGCTGGTTCAGCGCGAACCGGGGCATAAATCCGACTCCCTCCGGCGCGCCGACCGAGCAGTTCGCCTCCCATTCGAGCGCCGACGGCGCATCCCAGAGACCTCTGCGCGTCGTAAACATGACGCTGCCGGGACACGGGTGCCAGCCACGCTGCAGCATGCAATAAATAGCATTGAGGCCGTTGGCGATCAGCCACGCCCGTCGTATGCTCTCCGTCAAGATCCAAAGGTACCAGGGATGCTCGTGGCTGTCCATGGGCCCAAAATACAGGGCCGTCGTCATGTCCAGCACAGCCGATGTCGACGAAAATTTTTGTCGCGCGCTCTCCACGAGCTGCATTGCCCAGCGGCTCAGCAGTGGGAGTCGGCCTTCGGCAAGGTGACGCGCCCGGATGTCGCCGTCAAAGAGGCTGATCGTCTGGTACACAACGAGGGCGTGCAACCGGGCGCACTGGTCCAGGAGGCTGAGGTCGTGCGACGCGTCGCTGCCGCCGGAGAGGATGCCGTCGTCGCTGCTGTCGACCAGTTTGCTCGCCTGGTTCTCGACAATGTCGAGGACGAGCTCGGCGTTGTGCTTGGTGCGGTTGAGGTATGTCGTCAGTGTCGTGTAGGCGATCTGCAGGTTGTCCGGGAACCGCGCATCGTAGAGGCGCAGGTGAATAAACGGATTCGTCCCAGTGTCGGCCCACTGCGCCAGCCAGTCCTGCATGCGTGCCACATACATCTTGAGAAATGAGCTGCTGTATGCTGTCGACACGGACGATTCCGAGTGTTCAATCTTCCACGAGTTGGTGTTGAGAAACCAGGCCAGGCACTGGTGTGAGCTGATGGGTGGTATTGGCGTATGGCAAGCCGATGGAGTTCCAGGTGGCACAATCGCGGCTGACGCTGTTGAGGGTGAGAGAGGGGGTCGGCTCAGCACGCAGCGCGCTGACGGAATGCTTGCCTCGGGGGTGCCGTTGGTCGATGTGATAGCCAGCGACGGTGTGGGGGCCGTGTTCACCGTAGGCGGCGCATCGTCGAGGATCGCCACAAAGGTGCCTGGTCGCGACAGCGGGTAGTTACAGGCGGTACCACGGGATTGGCAGCGCAAACACGCAGGCTGCTCGCGACCGCACTTGCGCTTCGACTTGGCGCACGCCTTGCACGCCTTTGGCTCAAGGAACATCCCCATACTGGCATGCGCCTCGTGTGTGGTTGTGGAATAGTATTCCGATGAGTAGAAGCGCAGTTTGCAGTCGATTGCTGGCATCCATCGCTCCTTCTACCTCCTGTTTGTCAGCGATGGTTGTGGCGGCACGCGGACGCTAGCTTAATTAGGCTAGACCCCGCACAGCTCCGCCCGCGTCCGCCCAGCTCCCACCCTCCGTCGTCCACTTCCGTCCACTGCAAAGCCGCCCGTAAAAGCGACACCAGTTCCTCAGCCATTTGACAGCGTTGACGTGCCTGGTACGCCACTCAAATCATTACTATTGTAAGTAATACAGTTAAATGTTATCAGAAGGGTGTGCAAATTCCCCATACTACTCAACGTGACATTGCGGAAGCTCTTGATCTCGTAGTCGGTTTTGTCTTCCAACGTCTGGATCTTCTTGGACCTCACCACGAACAGCTGCCTCGTGGCGTTTTGCCTTCCTCCACGTGTACACAGGGAGGAGCATCAGGGGTACCACACGAAAACAGGTGTTATCCAATATATGTTATGCAGTTGTTAGTAAATGTGTATAGAAGACCAACGCCCGACGCCTAGCGCGCCGCCAGCGATCCGACGGAAAACAAAAACCGATCACCAAGCCCGGACGAAGGTGATGAAGTCGAAATTCAAAAACATGGCCCACTACAAGGCAGTGTCTCGGTCGCTCATGTGGCCGAAGCAGCAGCTAATCAGCGATCCCAGGATGGCGAAAAGCGGCGTGCCACAGAGCCAAGCAACTTGGCGGATGGGCTGCTTTTCGCGGCGGTTCCAGCGGGCCGCGATGACGGCAAAGCTCGGGGCGACGGCCGACTCGTGGGCACCAAGCACAAAACGTGCCACGAGGCCTATCCTCGGCCCCCGGAACTACGGCCGGGATCAGACCTTGCCGAGATGCTGTCATCACCAAGGCACAATGACTTTCACTACGACTTATCACGGAGCCATTCAAGGACATCAACTTTGACGCCGATATTGGCATGTCATTGCCGTTGGACGACAGACGTAATTACATCCGCTAACCGACCCATTCTATCCTCCTGTTTTGACTGCGACTCCTATGTAATGAAGTATGGGGCAATTGGAGAGGAGAATATGTATGACAAGATTTGCTGCCCAGGTTTCTCCGTTCGCTGCAACGCTATTGGCCAAGTATACCCAGTATTGTATTGCGGAATGGCATCGCCCACTATCAAATACCAACAAATGTCTCGGAGAGTGATGTTCAACCGACTCGCATTACATGACTTACATTATGTGCTGTGGCCTTCGGCGACTTTGTGTTGGCCATTACCACCAAGCCCTGTTCGTCAGCGCTTGATTTGGCATTGACAGCGGGTGGGCGCTAGCTTAATTAGGCTAGATCCCGCAATGTGCCGCCGGTGGTCCACTTCCGTCCGCTGTAACAAGGTTAATTGAGCCCAGTCCGCACGATACCGTCCGCATGCCACCGCAGCGTGTCCGCGTCAGGTCGGCGGATTTGGCCACTAGCGCCCGCAAATGCCCACAAGCGTCCGTAGACAGGAACATTTACGGACTTTGTCACGCAAGGCCATGACAAAAACCTACTGAGACTTTAAGCACGCCGTTGGTTGTATTTGGCGCTTTGAAATGTCGCCGGTTAAGACGTGTGGTGTAGTCGTGTGGAATATGAGGTCGTCAACTGGTATATAAGGTCACACAAAACATGATCATCGATCTTTGAATCAAGTCGTCCTCAACCCAACATCTTCACTTTCGCTCTCACATATCCACATCGACCACTTACTTTATACTTTTCCTCTCCCATCTCCCCCACCGCCCACAATGGCCGCTCATAAAGATTTCGACCTGTCCTCTCTGGCCAACATGGATACGGCCCCGGCTACCTTCACCACGGTTTCCCACAGCAGCACGTACCGAGCCATTGACCCTGCACGGCCTGAGCTGGCCCAGGCCGGCCGGACTGTGCTGATTACTGGTGGTGGCACTAACATTGGAAAGGCTATTGCAACGGCCTTCACCACGGCCCATGCCAAAACGGTCATCATTGTCAGCCGCAACAAGGCTGTTCTGGATGCGGCTGTTGAGGAGCTCAAGTCGTACGCCACCAGCATCGAGTCGCCCACAACGTTCCTTTCCCGGTCTGTGGACGTGTCCAAGGACGACGAGGTAGTTGGCCTCTGGGACTGGCTCGCGGCCGAGGCTATTTCCATCGATATCCTGGTGCTGAACGCCGCCTACCCTGCCGAGGCCAAGCTGCTGCACAACCTGGGCATCGAAACCCTGTGGCGCGAGTTTGAAGTCAACGTCAAGGGCGCGCTGCACTTTGCTGAGAAGTTCCAGAAGCAAAAGGACTTTTTCAAGAGCCCCAAGACACTCCTCCACCTAACCACCGGCGCCATCCACATGCTGAAGAATCCGATCGTGGCCGTGCGGCCCTCGTATCCGTTGACCAAGTCGACCGCCACGTTTGCTATTATGCAGATCGCTGATGCCTACAAGCCCGATCAGCTGCAGGTCCTCAATTTCCACCCGGGCATGCTGTACGGCGACGACTGGAGGAACTTTGGCATCACCGAGGACATGCTGCCCTTCGACTCCGTTGATCTGCCCGGCTCATTTGCCGTCTGGGCTGCCTCCAAGGAGGCCCACTTTCTGCATGGCCGCTACGTGGCCGCCAATTGGGACGTCGACGAGCTGCGCACCGGCGACTTCAAGAAGCATCTCGAGGAAAACCCCGATTACCTGCGTCTCGCCATTGTCGGTGTCCGTGATACAGGTCGTGCCTACTAGGTCCCCTTTGATGGACCAACTTTGTGAAATCTATAGATAGAGGAAGATAGGCAGTTGCAGGAGGAGAGTCCATAGTGAATATGTGGTTATGAATATGGGTTTATTTTGCAGTCTTTCCTTGACCCTGCTTAACCATGCATTGTTGAAATGGCGCTTGCATAGAACACGACTCATAAAACAAACGTAAACAATCGACCAGGCTTACAGCTAGGGTTGAGCTCGCCTGTCTTTCCAAAGTCCTCAATACGTTAATGGCACGTTTAGCCTACTGGCTTGGAGCATAGACAAGCACCTCGAGGCCACCTTCAAACGGCACCGTCGTGTCAATGAAACCACTGCCCGGCGCACGCACGTAGTCCAAAAACTCCTTGTAGCTGTCTTTGGCCGTGACCGTGTTGTCGGCAATAATCAGCGCGCCGTGTCGCAGCTTGGGCTGCACAATCTTGAGCGTCGGCAGCGCCATGGGTGTCCAGACTGTGTGTGTGAATAACCGGAGTCCATGCAAGAAGGCTCAGCAATCGGGGTTCTTGACCTACTGTCCAGAAGGAGAAAGTCGACCGCTTCCAAATCCGTCTTGAGCGTCTCGCGCAGATCGCCCTCGCGCAGGTCAATCGCCTTGACCACGTCGTCGCCGCACAGCTGCCAGTGCTCGCGTGCCCGTGCCGCCTTGGTCGGCTCGTGCTCCGTCGCCACGACACGCGCTGTCTTGCCCCCGCCCGCGGCCTTGGCATTCGCCAGAGCGGCCAGTGCCAAGTAGATGGTGCTCACACCAAACGACGTGCCTGCCTCCACGATCGTGGTCGCCCCTGTCGCCCGCAACAGCAGGTAGATGTAGTGCGCCTTGTCCTCGTCGAGCGCGATGAACTTGTCGCGCATCACATCGTGGATCAACGCCTTGTCGTAGTGCGCCCGCGACAGCGACGCTTCTTGGGCCTTGGACTCACCGTGGAGGCGCGTCAAGAGCGTGCGGATGTGCTCCGGCTCATCGCGGATGGCGGTATTGGGAGACATGGTGTGCTGTGGTGCGGTGTGTCATGGGTTCAGGATGACGATGTTTGTTGGCTGCGCTTTGGTGCCTGTGGACGTAGCAGATTAAAATAGTCTGCAGATTCCGTCCTCCGTTGACTCACGGTCTGTTGACTCACGAAACAGGCCTGCAGAAATCCACTGCGGGGATCGGCCGTTCTATAGCAACACTAAACCTTGGATCGGCACCTAGGTGCTAGAGGAGAAATATATTCCCCGCTGCCTCCCGTGACATCCGCTTCCGCATCACTCAAGATCACTGTTGACACCAATTCGTCTCGGCGTATGTTGTAGACGAACGTTTTCGGAGCAGTTGTGCTGCATCTGAACGGGCATAAGACGGAGATGCATCGAATTGAGACTCCTCGGAGTGACACATACCACCCCGGCATCCATTCCTTACGAGCCAGACAACTCCACGGGCGTGTCACAGGGCGCGCTGTTTTCAAATAGCGTCAAAATAATCTTAATCTCCGCGACGAAAATGTACATAGTCTAAGGAGAATTACATAGTACTTAATTGGCCTTTGTAAGTAACTGATGATTAGGACGGTCAAAATGACAGCGTACGACCTGAGGCAGACAAAAACGGATATACCTCAAAATAATGCATGATACTACGACAATACGACATTGCTCCTTTGTCGGACGTTTTCCTAATCGTGCTTTTTTTAAAAAAAAAAATCATTTTAACGCAAGAGGCTCTTCGGAAAATGGAAACTCCAAGAGCAAAGAGCGCAACAGCGGCAGGGTAGTCAAATCCCGAAAGGTACACATAGAATCAAAAACAAAATAGACGGCATCAAAGCAAAGTAAACAAATGAAATTGACAATCAAAGTAAGGCTCAACAATCTCGGGATAAGCCATCAAACGCCTCGCTGCAATAGTTGCGTTTACATGAACACAAATAAAACAAACAATGAACAAGGAAACGACGAGAAGAATGAGAACGAACGCAAAGCACACGCTCTTCTTGCTCACTCTCCTACCCTGTCTCGAAACGCAAAACAGCCCTCCACTCTCCCGTCTCCTACATCCGCATCCTGCTGCAGTGCTCAGATAAAATTCTCCGAGTCATTTGGTGAGTCTGCCCTGGCACTGGCAGCAGCCTTGGTCTCGGCAACAGTTGTGTCCGCAGACTGGGCAGCGTCCCTATCCTTGCCAGGGGAGGCCGCAGTCAACTCATCAGGGGAGGTGTGAATCACAGTCGTATCAGCCATTTCATCGTACTCGTCCTCCTCGTGTACCTCCTGTGCCTCTTGTGTTGCGTGCGTCTCTTCTGCCACGGGTGTACGAGGGACCGACGATTCTCCACCCGCAGGACCAGCCCCCTCCGTATCTGTATCGGCAGGCGTGGCTACCTGTGTGGTCGGGCCTGCCGTGCTCGTGCTGGCACTTGTCACGGCACTCTCCGATCCGGCATACAGTACCACGCTATCGTGGCTATTGGCGCGCATCATCTCAATGCCGAGCTTCGATGACGGAAGCATCGACTTGGTGCGGAAATGCTGGCGCGCAGCGCCCGTCGGTGGCTGCTGGCTTGACAACTGGGAAGGCGGTTGGGGGCCCTGACGACCACTCCCGCCGCTACTTGAACTGCCGCTGCTGGCGTTGGTTATCGTACTGGTGAGACCCAGGCCTAGCTCGTCGTCTTCGTCATCGGCCGAATCAATATTGCTGTCGAGGCGTCGCTTCTCAATGGCTTCACGCTTGGCACGCAACTTCTCGAGCGACCTCTGCGGCAGGGGCACTGGAACAGGGGAGTGCATGGCCAAACTCACGGGCACAGACACGTGGGTTTGCTCGGACGACGTGTCGGTCGACTGTGTATTTAGCGTCGCCGGCTTGGAATCGGGCCCTGCTCCGGGTTGGGAGGCAGGCGGCGCGGCCTGGACCGCTTTTGGGGCGCCAGAGCTGAGGAACTCTTCCTGGGAGATCCCCAAACCGCTGTCGTCCCAATCGCCTGTGGCTTTCCGATTGGCAATGGAGGGGATGTCGTCCGTCGTCATTGACTCTGAGTCACCAAACAGGCTCGATCCGATAGAATCACCTCGGCTAGAGCCCCGGAAGCTGCTGCCTGGTCGGTGAGGGAAAATGGACGATCCGGACGTTGGGCTGTCCTCCAGTCGTCCGTTCTCCTGACGGAGGCCGGACGGAGCAGGGTGCGATAGGGATAACGAAGGTGATGATGCTTGGTTTGGTGCTGGTGGCTTCCAGTGGCAGAGGCTGGCCAGCACTTCGGTCAACTTTGAGGAGCTAATGGGCTTCTCAATCAATGAATCAAAGTGCTGTCGCGCCTGGAGCTCCTTCAGATAAGCCGTGATTGCCACAATCGGTGTCTGTGAGTTGGTATTGGTGGTGTCTCGAATCATGCGAGCCACATCGGCACCACTGATCTGCGGTAGCTTGTATTCCATAAAGATGATGTCGAACTTGATGTCGCTCATTGCATACCGTACAGCCTCAGGACCGCTAGCCGCCGAGATGGTACGGCAGCGAAGCTTCTCCAGCAGCTTTTCCATCACCATGCGAGACACGGGATGGTCCTCGCAGATCAGCACGTCCAGAGGGCGGAACACGGGCCCGCTGTCAATGGCAATCTGAGACATGCGTCTCGAGCTCTGCCGCCGGCGTTGCACGCGAAGCAAAATCGCGTTGGCCTTATCGCCTTCGTTGTCTGACGAGGAGGGTGACATGTCAAACACCTGGCTACGGCGGTTGCGATGACTAAGAATGTCGGTGGCGACAGGACTGCCTTCTTGTGAGCCCACGGTCAAAGATCGCGAGCGGCTTGTTGGGTTGCTGGACTGGCGCGGTGTAGAGAGAGCCTTCTGCGGCGACAGAGGCAATGGCGGCGGTGCACCTCGCCCCTTGACCGGAGACGACACGCCGACCGTGGTCGCAGCCTTTTGCAAACTAGGCGGCACACGGGGGATCTCGATCAGCGGGTTGCCGGGCAGGTGCTGCATGCCGGCGGTCGTGTTGGCTGGCGGGAGCAGACTCATGCCATTGGAGACCTTGCGCCGGCCGTCGGGTGCCGCGTGGAATGAGACAAGGAGCGGTGACGAGGGCTGCGAAACGCGGCTGGGTGAAGAGTTCGCTTGGCTCAGTCCAGACGGCGACTGCGGTCGTTGGCTGCCCTTGGCATTCGACAGTGTTCGCTGGATTTGCGGGTTGGTTGCGGTTGTAGGAGTTGGCAGGACAGGGCTGCCTTCGAGCACAGGGCTTGGAGAGGCCAAAGTGCTGCTACTGCCTGCGCCACTTGAGCTCCCACCCGCTGGTGGCTGCTTGCTTTGCGCAGCAAGAGCCTCCGCCCGGAGCTTTTGGATGACATCCTTGTTGGCCTTCTCAAGCACTGGCAGGTTCTTGAACGCAAAGCTTCCAAAGTCGTCCGTCACCACCGGCTCGCTTAAACGACGGCTCTTGAGATCACGGACATGCGGCGGAATGTGTAGCGGCATTAGACCACGCTTCATCGAGTTCGCCTGCGACCGCACGCGAGACAAAGCATCGTGGGGCCGGTCGACGTAGTCGGTGCTAGGTGCGCTCGTAGATGACGACGGGTCCTCGATCTCCTCTGTAAACGATTGTAAGGTTGCTCCGCGTGCGTCGAAGTACTCGGTGTCTTCAATGTTTTCAAGTTGCGGCACGAATTGGGCTTCGTCCTGCAACAAGGTGTCCCACTTCACATCTTCGAACCAAGGGTGGCTTCGGATCTCTTCGCCGCCCGAGGCAAACTTCTCGTCGCGGTTGGCACCCAGACGGGCATGTGGGTCCATGCAGAGCAATTTGTTGATGAGGTCCTTGGCCTCCGGTGACACGTCGTCGTCCATGTCGTCTGGCCAGTGGATGCGACGCGCCAGGATGTTCTCAAATACCTGCTCTGCCTCTGCAGCATTAAACGGCGGGATACCGTAAAGGAACTCAAACATGATGCAACCGACAGACCACCAATCACTTGTCTCGTCCTGAGGCTCGCCCTTGATCGTCTCTGGCGCTAGGTAGTCGGGCGTGCCTACGAAGCGGCGGTTTGTATCTTCGGGGTCAAAGAGCGCCCAGTTCGGTGGAGGCATACTCGACTGAGGCGGGGTGCCCTTGCCCTGTTCGGGGCCACTGCTGGTTTGTGTATTGGTCGCTTGCAGGGAGGGGAGGTCGGGGGAACCGCTGCCCTCCGTGGCAGTGGCATCGTTTTGTGGGGAATGGATGGCAGGTGGTAAATTAGCGGAAGACACGTCGGTGAGCGAGAGGTTGCTGATCATGTTGGTCAGTGCATCGCTGCCACCACTGTCGCTCCGTTGGCCTGAGACCCGGCGCGCTTCGTGGGGTAGGTTGTTGCTCAGGTTGAAGTACGACGGCTGGCTAAAGCTACCAATTGAGTCGCTTGGGGTCATCTGGGGAGTACCGCCTGGTGAGTGGGCGCCCAAGTTGTGGAGGTCAAGCGACGCCGAGCGGGATGACGTAATCGAGGCCGAACGGGCAAAAGGACCTTGCTTCAGTAAGTCGGGTACTGGCTCCAATGCTGTGCTGTTCAGGGCACGCTTTTGACGCCCAATCAATCCCATGCGGGACAACCCAAAATCGGTCAACTTGAGATGGCCCTTTTGGTCGATAAGGAGGTTGTCGGGTTTCAGATCGCGATGGACAATGCCGCGGTTGTGGAGGTGCTCGACGCCAAGGACGACCTCACCCAGATATTTTTTGACCCAATCCTCGGGCAGACAACCGAGAACTTTAGTGAGGGATGCACAATCACCGCCGTTGAGGTACTCCATGACCAGGTAAAGGTAGTCCTTGCTCGAGAAGGTCCAGTAGAGCTTGGCCACGAAGTCACTCTCGCCCTGCCACATCATGATTGCACGCTCCGCCTTGACATTTGTGACCTGGTTCTTTGCTACCATGTCTGCCTTCTTCAGCACCTTGATGGCAAAGTACTCGCCAGTCGACTTCTTTTTGGACAAGTAGACGCTACCGAAAGCACCTTTGCTGATCGGCTTAATGACCTCAAAATCTTTAATCGATGGCGGGACAGCGCGGGCCATAGGAGCAGCACCGATAGCGGCACTGAGTCGCGGCGATGATGGCGCTTGTCGCACAGAGAAGTCACCAGCAGCCGACAGGGAGATAGACGACTGCCTGCGGTGGTGATGTAGCTGGTGGTGGTGTGTCTGTTGCTGGAAAGAGTGCTGGGCACTCATGTAGGGTGAACCGAATTCGCTGGTGGGCAACATAGGAGACGCCTCCGGAGAAGCCATACCGTCCGCAGGCAATGGTATGCTTCTGGGTTTTGAGATGCGCAGGGGAGAAGACGGCGCGTGGCCAGCCGCTCGAGACGGCGATTCCTGTCGGCGTGGTGATTCGGTACCTGACATGATGAGACTTCGTCGGTGATGCTGGCGCGAGCTAGCCTGGCGACGAAGGTCGCCGAATTCCGAGATGGGAGACTCGGTGCGTGGTGGTGGTCGAGACGCGAGGGACGACGACCGCAAGCTGCCATCACTGTCGCCTGCATCGTGTTCGAATAGCATCGATCCACGACGCGAGTCGCGGTGGCCAGGAATGCCAATTGCGCCTCGGTTCGATTTGGGGGTCGGGCATTCGGAAGGGCTGCCAGACTTTAGAGAGTGAGTTGCCTGGGACAGTCGGCGGTCGTCAGGGTTGTCGCTGATTTTGGCCTTTTCGAGGGCCATGGCCAAGGTAGATGGGGCATCGAAGGAGCCCGCAAAGAAGCCCTCTTCAAATGTGTGCGGCTCAGTCTCGCCATCCACAGGAGGGACTTGGTCCACGTCATCCTCTTCCTCGTCTTCGGTTGAGTCGCTAAGGCGGCCAGCAGCAATCCTGGCGGCTTTACGCATGGCACCGTCGATGCAATCTTGAACGATGACAGCAAACTCGACGCGAATACGCTCGGCATATTCGATAACACGGCGGTGGCGCAAAACGGTCTCGACTTTAGCCTTTGCGACCTTTTCCGTATCAGAACAGAGCAGTGCGAGGCCCTGTTCTTGCTCCAGTGTGTTGTTGCTTGGTGACTGCCACTGGGTCACCTGGGAGATGCGGGACTCGGACTGGGGAGACTGTGTGCGCAGTTCGCCGGGGGCTTGGGATGAGGACGACTCTTTAATCGCCGGCGTGCTGATCTCGATGGCCGTGTCGCACAGATCCAGCAACAGTTCGACGATCCGCGCCTGGGGCCGCCGAATGGCAAACGATCGACCTCGTGCGTGTCCGAAGCCAGATGAACGATCTCGGGAGCGGCCCGGGGCGGGCGAAGGGGAGGATGTCGCAGATGAGGAAGAGTTGGAGGAGAGCGGTGGGCCGATGGACAGGCCCTTGTATTCGGCCATGAGCAGTGGCGATGAGTCGCCGGTCAACGAACGGCTTTTCCGCGCCTCAAGGGCATCGAGCACCTTCACGATGGCGTGGCGGTGCTCGGTCAGGCTCTCCTGGGCCATCTGGACGTCCATTTCAGCAGTGTGCTCCTGAAGGCAGAGGTCGGTGTGCTTCTCAAACCACCATGGTGGAATCTGGCGCTCGCAGATGCGGCAGAGGACAGGTTGTGGCGGGGGGTGGTCCTTATCGTCGTCAAGGCCATGCTCGGCGAGCTGCGTGAGGTAGCTGGCGAGTATCTCGGCGCCGGAGCCCAGGGAGTTGACAATAAGTGGAGGGAGGTTGATTTTGATCTCGCGCGGCGCCATCCATGGCCTAATCATCCACATAGTGTGGCTCTCGTCACCTGAAGCAGTGTCGTACACCATAATGCCCTGGGCCTCGAGGTCGATAGTGTCGGCCGGTGAATCCGGACTGTCTGTCGCGTTGTCATCTTCGGATGGGCCGAGAGAGAGATCGGCAGGGAGGAGCTTAGAGAGGGCGCCGAGGCGCATAGTAAAGCGAACGATCTGACTGCGAGAGTCATCCTTCTTCATAAACTTGACAACATCGGCAAAGACGTCCTTGTTGTCCCCAATGACCAGGTCGGCCACGGCAGTGCCCTGCACGGCGTCGACGGGCGTGCCGAGAACGTCTACCCACGAGGGACTAACCCAGCGGATGGTGCCGTCGAGGTTGAGGTCCATGAAGACATTGAGGGTCTGCTCGGCAGCCTCACGCAGCTCGTCCCGCTCTTCGCGGATGTCCTCACTTAAGGACCGCTGCATACTGCCAGCAGCATCGCGTAGGGACGTCACCGCCGGCGGGGCGAGCATATCGGGGTCTGGTTGCTCCATGTCGGGCCCGGATTGGGGGCTGGCATCAAGGAATAACGCCTCGAGATGTCAATGCGGTGGGTGGTGACGCGTGGACGGCGGGCAGGAAAGGAGGAGGGAGACGGTCGAAAGTCGTGCACGATTATCGTCGAAAGCAATATGCAAGTCAAGGGAAATGCGCAGCGCACGCAGACGGGGCTGGCTCGGTCGATACCCTGTCGAATTACCGGGCGTCAATCTTGTCGGAGCGCTCGCGATAGACGCTGCGGTCCTGGCTATCGTCTGGCAAAGAGCCAGAGCTAGAGCACCGCCAAACTCCCAGACATGTCGAAACAGGCCGGCAGCCGGAGAGCGATATTTTATAGCGTATGGACCGTAGTTGTCGCCGTCGTCGTCGCCGTCCGTACCGTGGTCTGGTGTCCCTTTCGCGTCTTCGGAATTGGGATCCAAAGTCTCGCCTTTGCCGGAGAGATAGACGCAGACGGATTGTGGACGTGATGGGAGTGAAATGGCGGTTCTCGGGACGGTGGGAGACTGTCACGGCAGCATCCGTCGGTGGCAACAGGGAGATCAGACGATATTCGGAAACACAAGGACGTTGTCAGCGGTCGGCTGTCCTGGGCAGAGATGTGAAACTTTTGGCTTTGCCGCTGCTTCGAGGTGTGTCGAGGTGGGTGATTTCGCTGTGATGGTCTGGACGCGGCGAAGAAAGTGATGGGCCGGAAGGGGACAACACGCGGGGGGGGAGAGCCACTAAGTGGCAGGAGAGAAACGTAAGATAACGTCAAAATATCAGGAGCAAACGAGCACTGAGTACAACCCAGACGCCAATGGCAACTACGGTGTACGCAGGAAACGAAGCAAGGAAGGAGCAAACAGCAGTGGAGAATCGCATAAAACAAACTGGAAATTGGTTCAAGAAACCCTCACAAAAGGGCAGCAATAGTAGTGCTAAGAAATTAAGGTTCCTTGACCAAAAAATACATATAGTGCAAAAAGAAATGATGCTTTGCGACACACTGCCAACGGTAAACAAGGGAGGCTAACGACTGGGGCAGCCCAAGGCGATCTAGAAATACGCAACATAATCTTACGACGTTTTCCAGGTGCCGTACGAATTACTCCGTCTCGACGTGGTGGATTCTGTCACGAGGCCTGTGAATTTAGTGTGGATTTGGAAAGACCTGGCAAGAATGGCAAGCGAGCGGAGCAAGGACAGTGGACGAGGCGAGCAGAAACAACCGACGCCCAATGTCTTACTCGTACGCCGGCACACTGCACAGTGCATGTCCGCCGTAAAACGGTGACTGTGAGTGGCTTACTCCAGCCAGTCGACACCTCGTTGGATGGCGCATTACGCAGATCCAAAGAGCACACGCATTTTTAGCGCATGCCTCAAGGGACGGGGGCGGCCAGGCTAAATAGCCCACCTGATGTGCGGCCGGGCCAATCAGCGTGCAGAGAACATGGCCGGGATTAAGCGGCAGGGGAAAAGACGCACAGGAATGTCGTACGCACAATGGAAGAGCAATGGAAGGGAGAAATGTGAGCGGGTGGCCGTTGTAGGGAGCGAGGGAGGGGCCCAAAGCGTTTGAACGACAAGCGAGGCACTCCAGGAAAGGCCCCCCTGAAGACAAACCGTCTCAAAGAGCGCGAGAAGCAAACAACGCCGGCTGGCATGGACCCCTGCGGAGTGTCAAATGCGAAATGCAGTCCAACACCGTGCTTTAAGAGGTGGTACGAGCCGGGCCAAGATAATAGCTGCTGTATTATCACAACAAACAAACAGTGCGCGTGAATTTGTGCACATGCCGTGTCACGGGTGACTATCATGGCTGGATTTTCCATGAACCAAGTCGGTGTATCGTGGGATGAGGCACGCGTCAAAAGGAATAGAAATGGTAGCTGATGGCGGACTTGTAATGGTATGTCTTCCCATGCAGTCGACTCGGTATCAGACGGCACGTCTATATATCAGTGGCAGGCTGCCTTCGGCATGAACTGAATACTGGACTCTTGTACAACCATACTTGATCAAAAATGCTGATGGTTATCGTTTTGTGCTTCTGAGAAACATACACTACGTTCTTGTACAGTTTCGGCCAGTTTTCTTCTGTTGATGTTCAGAATCCCAATAACCACAGGGTGACAAATGACACAACCACCTGTCACAGTTCTCCACACGAGTGTCTAAATCGCCTCAGCCTAGCTGCCCGTAAGCCACCTGTGGCGTCCTGTCCTGCGCTGAAATGCGTGGCCTGTAGTGCGCCCGCCGCCTGGAATGGTCTGGAAGGCCAGCGTCATCACAAGGCAGGCAACAAACCCACACTTACAGGGGCATCTGGCAGCTCCCAGTTGTGCCCCACCCGACATTGATCACGTCCGTCAACCTCTCGCCTCCGACCCTGTCACGCTGATAAGTATTCACAACTCTACCATCCATACGCAAGCTCCTCCTACTGCTTCTACGTAAAATATACCTACACCAACATCTGTATCACCCTCACTGCGATCCGACTGACTCCGGCCGCCGACGTCCAACCTTCGACTTCCAGCCTCTGAGCGGCAAGTCATCCTCTTCCCCGCACTCCTCTCTGTTTCTATCACTCTTCTCCCTCCTCTGCTGTTGGCGTCGCTATGGCCCTGCGGCCACTTCGCATCCTCTGCTTCGGCGACTCACTCACAGCCGGCTATACCCAGGATGGCTTACAATACCATCCCTACCTCCACATGGTGCGCCGGAAACTGCAAGAGGCCTTTCCGGGATTGCAGGTCGACATCGAAGCGGATGGCATGGACGGCGGGCTCACACAACACTTCTCCAGTCGGCTGCGGACGGTCTACCGCGAGCGAGGCACGCCACAAGATAGCATCTTCGACTGGGTGATCGTGCTCGGCGGTACAAATGACCTAGCCATCAACAGTCGGCCAGAAACCATATTCGAACATCTCGAGCGCACGTGGTCCTTTGCGAAGATGCGAAAGACCAAGGTGTTGGCACTCACTGTTCCCGAGGTAGCCATTCTACGACGGCCAGGCGATCCGGTAAACCGCATCAACAAGCGCCGCGACGAGCTCAACTCGTTGATCCTCGGCTACACAAGCTCGAATTTGTACGTATTCCTTTGCCCTTGGCGCATAGTCGGACGACACCCGGCCCAGGTTTCAGAGAGTGGTACTAATTGATGCAGCCATGCGTTTGACTTTAAAAAGGCCTTTTCATACGAAGACATGTCCGCCGACGAGCGTAGACGCTACTGGGACGACGCCGTGCACTTCTCACCCGACGGTTACGACCGCATGGGTGAACTTGTCGCCGAGTCTCTCATTGGCATCCTTAAGGCAGAAGAAAGCGCTGCCGCCGGCCCAGAGCCAACAACACTCTCTACGGTGCGTCCCCGGAAACGCAAGATGTTCCGAGATGATGATGTGAACTTCGATGAAGAGAAGCTGGGGCCGGACGAGCTCCGCCACGGTTATGTAGTTGTACGGCGAGTGGACCTCGACTAGATGATAGAAGGGGTTAGACAGAGTTGGCACTGAGATTCTGCCTCTTGTTTTTGTTCTTTCTCGTTTGGGTACTGTTTTCTCTTCGTGTACTGACTAAAGGATACCCACAAGGCCGCATGAGATAAAACTGGAGTTCTAGTAAGCTTTTTTATGATATTTTACTACATGGGCTAGATGCAAGCGATGATAGGTCTTTCAATAAATGTAGAGATTTTTTATAAATTCTTAAGTACTCTGTAGGCAGTTCGTAAAAAGAAAGAAAAATAAAAGTTAATAAACAAATCTAAAATAAAAATAAAAGAATAAGCATAAACAAGACGAGCGGCATGCTGTCGCTTCCAGGTCCAGAACGCCGATATATGCACATATGCATGAACCACCACCTGTCATCCTACGGCCACACGGCGGTCATATCTGGCGAGAGTGCTCAAGCTGCAAGATTCTGCGCGACAAATCCCGGGTAAACCTGCTGAAGCGCGTTAGAAATGCTCTCGACCTCCTCGGCCAAGCTCTGCACGTTGGTGTCCCACTGGCGCAGCTCCTTGTCCACGGCACCCTCAGTACGCCCGCTGCCCGCTTCGCCCGACGCCTCGCCGCCCTCAAACCACACATAGCCGTCAATCTGGTCGATGCGGCCCACCAGTCGGCCTTGCTCGACCATGTGTGCTGTCGTCTCCTCGGCCTTGGCCGCGTCCAGGCCCAGCAGCCGCGCCAGGTTGGAAATCGGGATATTGCGGTACAACAGCGAAACGCCCAGCAGATTGTGCTCGACGACAGCCTTGGCCAGCACCGTCGATCCGTCGGCCGTCGTCGCCAGCTGGTGCGGCTGCAGGCTCTTGGCGAACTTGTCGACCTCGGCCGGCGTCAGAAGACGGTTCAGAAACATCTTCTCAAGAATCGAGTACTCGTCCACGAGGTGTGTCGCGCGGTCGTCCTTGTAGAGGCGACCCAGCACACGGCTGCGCGTCGGTCCGGCAGGGGCCAGAATGGCGCACTTGATGGCCATGCTCAGTGTGTGCATGCGCTCCTCCTCGGCAATGGCGGGACTGTAGCTGATGTCGTGATACGCCGTGCTGGCCGCCAGAAACTCACGCTTGGCGTCGTTGATGCGTGCCTGCGACAGCTTGAAGTGCAGGTTGAGCTCTTGGTCGTGCACGTCGAATATGACGCTCTTGAGCTTGTTGAGGTACGACTCGGCCGCCGCGCTGTCGTCCACCTCCAGGTAGTCGCGCACAATGCGCACCCACACGCGTACCTTGTCCTCTTGGCTGACCCGGCGCTGGCTGCTGTCAAGTGGGATGCAGGCCAGGCGCTTGGCCGCCGCCGCGTAGTCTTCGTCGTTTTCGTGTGCCGTGGCCACAAGATCATAGAGTTCCGCTGTTTGTTCCAGGAAGCTTGTGTGCTGTGCGGCAGCCTCGAGCTTCTGCAGCAGGTGGTCGCCCACACTAATCCACACCGTGTCGGACGAGTCTTTGTCGAAGCTGCGCAGTGTGCTGATCAGGCGATCTAGCACCTGCCGTGCTGCCACAATGCCCAATGACCGCTCAAAAACGGCGTCGCCGATAGCGACCAGGTCGTCCTGGATGGTGGCCGGACCGGAAATCGTCGAAAAATCACGGAGGATGTCGAGGAGGGCGGTGCCAGCGTCTTTGGCGTCGTCGACACCCGCAAGGCGTTCGGCCACCTTGCTCGAGATTTTGGCCATGGTGTTGTCTCAGTGCCTTATTCTGGCCCCGTCACTATTCTTGCAGTAAGGGAAGTGTCGTTTCTCGGCAATGCAGAGATGTATCGCAAGTCGGTGCTACTCAGATTGAGGAAGCATACCAAGTCTGGCTAGCAGCTCCTTCCCCACCTTTCCGTCCCTTTATCGGCGTGACGCACGATAAAGATAACAGGCTCTGCCTAAAGTCGACCAGCGCCCAATTCGCTAAGCAAAAGTCGCTAAGCAATAGCGTAAATAGCACACTTGTCGCTAAACCTGGGCAGGGTTTAAGTTGGTGTCAGCTTATGGCCAAAAGTAATTACCAGTTGCTCAATTATGTTCAAACTCATATTCACTTAATTTAAATTCCTTTCTGGTGTATCTTGTATGTTCCTTGTTTCTGAGATTTTCTGGGGTGTGTAGTTTTTTTTTTTTTTTTTTTTTTTTTTTTTTTGTAAAATTAACTGAAAATGAAATGGTTGGCTAAACTGTTAAACTAAGTATACCATTGCCATTTACCAACTTTATACCTGTAAACATAACACTATGGAAGAAAAACCACAAGGAAAGTTTATATAGCGCTGGGCACGAATAATATAAAGATTCGTTCCATTGTTGAGGGGTTCCTTATTCCCTTGGACCATTCGTCGTATCTCATCCCAAAAGATAAATCCTGCTATGTTGGCCCTGTGACGTGTCCCCTCTGCTTCTTTTTTTTTATATCTCGCGCTCAAACTCTTATTTCAACTCGGCCTGGCTCTCTGCCCACTCCAGCCTCTTTTGCTCTAACCATATGCCCTTCTCGACCCAGCGAGTTTCTAGCCACTTAGCAAGTTCGTCGTCTTTGGTGGGCAGCTCGACCAGGGGGAACCGCCGAACGTGGACGTGGAACCGGTATCCTTTGCCGTTCTTGCGGTCACTCAGACGGGCGACGCTGAGCGTCTCCCACATGGAGGGCGGAATTTGGAACTTGGAGCCTTTTTCATAGGCAATGGTGAGGTCGTAGACAGCCTTGACTTGCGGTGCCTTGCGGAGGTGCTTGACAGTAGTGACGAAGCCCTTGGTCCGTGGATAGAGCAGATGCTGCGGCTGCGGCCGGTTGTGCTCGGTGCACCAGGCCATGGAGTCCTGGTATTTGGCAGGTGTGTAGCGCGTTGCCTCAGAAAAACTGACAAGCCACGTCGGCCACCGGCGCTCAACAATACCCGCGAATACTCGGTCCAGTTCTTTCTGATCCCGGTCCCAGCGGCGACTGATCAGGGGCATCCCGAGTGCCCACAAGCCCCAGCCCAGGAACGGTACCCATTTGAGTTGTGTTTTGGCGAAGTAGCGGCAGCGGCCAAGCATACCCACGCGCATAGCCAGGGCTTGGATCATGTAAAAATCGGACCAGCCCACATGGTTGGCTACGACAATGGCCGACTCGCCGCGCGGGAGAGCATCGCCAGAGTCAGTGATGACGGCCCCGTTGGCATTTGTGAAGATAAGTTGGATCCAGGCCCAGCCGGACTCGGCGAGTGCAGATGAGATGTTGTAACAAACGTCGGGAACGAATGGGAGGAAAGGTAGGAGAGCCGAAAGGAGAACATCCACGATGAAGACCCAGGCGAGCCAAGGAAAGACTATGATTACACCCCGAACGTGATCAACTGGGGAGGCCATGGTAGGGCGATGAATCCGTGAAGATATGGGCGGTGGGTGGAATGACGGCAGAGTACAGAGTCTGGCTGCCGCGAGAACAGGGCAGGATCGAGAGGAAAGGACCGAGGTCGTTGGATCAAGGACAGACTTCAGAGACGGCAACTGAAGCTTCTGCAGGTGACGATCTACGGGAGTGTCGTGTCGCCGCGGTGGCTTTGCGTTCAGGCCGCTTACGTGCGCCTTGACTGTTTCACGTCTTATGCATCCAGCGATAGCCCGCGTGACCGGGGTAGTGAGAGTCGAAAGCCCGTTACTTCGTTACGACTCAGGCAGGCGAAGCTGGCCAAAACGGGTTTGTGGAAGAAGCCGTTCTTCGTGCTACGTCAGCTCAATCATTTTATCTTTTTTTACTAAGGCGAAAGTGCGTTTTGGGGAGTTCATTATTCGAAAGGACAGCACATGGAGCGCAGGGACAAGGAGGTTAGAAGACCGCTGCCCATGGTCTCAGGCAGGAAAGTGCACTTTCAAGCGGCCATATGCGCAGACAGCGCATCGCATCATATGGCCAGTTGCCCACCACGACACGTTGGAATTGGATGCGGTGCCACTCTCAAGATTTAAACTGAAAGTGCCGTTGTTGCAAACTTGCAGTAAGCCCTAGATCGCCTTGCCCCACAGTGCGTCAGTGAGCAGACCCCATATCCTCCGGAGGGGAGTGCCAGAGTATCAGTATCACAGGTTGGTTGAGAGTAAGAAAATCGGGTGTAATACTTGTTTCGCCGACACCGCCGTCCGTCTCACAGGCAGTGTCCGTGAAAGATGTCCCCAAAGAGACAGTGTTAGAGGCACAGAGCAGTGGGTGGAAATACTCGCAAAGGACACTGCCAGTACCGATCTGGCCCGGAACTCCACGAGGGCCAGCTCCGAACGGCATACTAGCTATCATGCAAAAAGGGACAAGGGCAAGGGTGGAGAGCAAAGGCAAAAGGCCGGATGCGAAAACGAACGGAGCACTCCGTAATTCCTTCGTATGAGAGACGACGAGAACAAGCGCAGTCTAATCATGCTTTCCCTTTTTGTCGTCGCATTCCTTCAACCAGGCACGATTGGCAAGCGTGCTAAGCGCTAGTGCGAATGCTGCAGTTTGGTACACCGAGGAGGCGGAAGGCAACGAAAGGAGGGAAAGAACCCACCCAAACCTGCTGTACATGTACATCGTACAGGCGCAGCAGAGCGTTCCAAGTCTAGAATATGGACAACATGCCACTAAAGTTCTCGAGCCCGCCGCCGAGACCGACTTTCAGTTGAACGTCTTTTTGCGTCCTTCACATTGCACCGGGTCGAAAGTGGTGGAGTCGCTATACGCGGTCTGCTGACATAGATGCATGTACATTCCGACGTGTCCTGGTTAGGGAGGAGCTGCTCGTCAAAACGTGCTGCACAATTAAGAAGAGGGGCGAAATGGTTAAGATAAAAACGGGAAAGCTATGCAGACGAAAGAGGATGGACCTCAAAGGAATCGCCGTACGACTTTTGTTCAAAGTGACATTCGCTCGTTGTGGTCAGGGATTCCACGGCAGGGCGAGGAAAAGCGGACCATCTTTCAATCTTGGCACGACGAATAATGTGCCCTGGAAGCGGAAATACCCAGTACAGAACATTAGAAGTGGGACCGACGTTTTTTATGCCCCTCATGTCAGCGGCTTGTGGTGCTCAGCCCCCTAGGGCAAAGGATACAAAGAGAAATTCGTCGTACGTGACAATACGTACAAGGACAATGTAAGATACTTTGTACCCGTACCAGTAAAGCAAATTCCAAGAGAAGCTAGAAGGAAGCGAGAATACGTAATGGCTTCGGCATGGACTGATGAAGGAAGTTGTGTTGACGTGCGCCGGGTGCAAGAGGACCGAGAATGGATGACAGTAAAAAGAGATCAAAGGCAATTTACAAGACGACAGAAGAAACGAGGTATGGAGAAGGGCAAGGGAACCCACAACGAAACGTTGTAAGAGTAGCAGGGAGGAAGGACACCAGCGACGCCACTTTCTACTCTAAATTGGGGCGTTGCAACCGTCTTCCGGCCGTTCGTCGCTCTTGCGGTTCACGGCTTTCGCTCCAAGGCGTCGGGGTTCTGCACCATTTCCTTGCCCGTCTCGCCTTTCAACCTTGGCCGTTTCTGCTGCCGTCGTGACTCGACGGCTCTTTCTTTAATATCTGGTCTCCCCATGACTTCCTCTGATATTCCTCCCTGTTGAAAACTTCGTCCATTCCCCTGGAGCCCATTGCACATCATCTCGTTGCCTCGCATCTTGATAAAACGGCCAGGCCCCCATCTCACATCTCACAAAACGCGACATCACCACGCAAGAGAAGACTGCGTCAATTCAATTCATTCGACTATTTAAATCGCAGCGCACGTTCTGCTCACAGGGCAGGCCTCACAGGACACACTTCACGACGGCCAATATCCAAAGCAACGAGCATTCAACCACAACAACATTGTCTTCCCTCTAGACACCATTCGGTCAGTGTTACTTGGAACGACATCGCTGCCTCCCGTCTTGGCCACTCACGCCCTCCTCCTGTTCAATCCCATCAAACACACTCTCAACCGTACTGTTGGATCCTCTCGCTTGTTCTCCTTTTGTCTTCCCATCCCCATCCCACCCCCATCTCACTCCCCTCTAAACAGGTCTCAGCATAATTTCGTCGTCAGCACGGCATGGTCGATTGAAGTCTCCGCCAACGCTCCCGCCAAACCACAAAAGGCTCTCCTTCCTCTTATCTGTCGTGCCTTCTACGAGCTAAAGTGGAAGCTTTTTACACCAACTAGAGGCTGCAGAGGCACCTGCAAGCTGCCAGTGTTCTTCCAAGCGAAATCGCCACCGTAGCCTGCCACAGCGCACTAAGCCCTTCCCCTCCTTTCCGCCTGCCAACCGCCCACGTTCGACAGAGGCCCCCTTTTGTGGTTGCGCATCATTACCTGCTGTGGCTGGTTGGACCACTCCCGTCGACCCCTTCCCGGCAAAGTTGGATGTAACGCTCTTCTGAGGCTTCCAAGAGTTTCATCGTCCACCCGTCGGATTCCCCTCGCCTTTTGCATCTGCATCGAAAGAGCATTACCGCCTCTATCGACGCTGGCGCTGCCTCGTTCTCTCCACAACCAATCCGTGATCGACTGAATTCTTTTGTTGGCACCCGGCCACCTTGCCAACCTGCGCAGGACGTTCCACGGACGCCTTTCAATCCTATTTATCGTCCCTGTGCCCGCTTGCGCTCCGCTGGTGTTCATTCTCCATCTCGTCCCGCCACGATAATGACGTCGACAATGGCATCGCTCCAGGACGACGGCCTCGCGTCAACCAACACGGGCCTCAGCTTTCTGAAAAATATCTCCGAGAAGCGCGTAACAAGGGGTAAGTGTTTTTCTGTCGATGCGCAGTCAGTGGCGCTCCTTGATAGATCCCAGAGATTCCTCGATTGCTAACCATACTCTCCAGATGGTAACCCGCCAAAACGTCGCGGACCCAAGCCAGACAGTCGGCCAGCTCTGACGCGCCGCCAGGAACTCAACCGCCAGGCCCAGAGAACACATCGCGAGCGCAAAGAGCTGTACATCAAGGCACTCGAGGATGAGGTTTTGAGACTAAAAGAAATCTATAGCAACATTGCCCAGGACAAAGACCGCCTGGCCGATGAGAACCGCCAGCTCAGACAAATCCTCAGCAACAGCGGTGCTGCTCTCCCAGCGGGCCTTGGAAGCAGTCTGCTTGACGACACTGCAAGCAACCCGAGTGTCGGCTATTCCGCGAGCGCATCAGGGAGCTACGGCGCAGCTCCCAGCTCACACACGAGTGCCTTTACCCCGCCGCCAGTCGGTTCCGCCAACAGCCAGCACGGATTGACCTCTCCGCATGGCACTGGTCAGTCGCCCCACGGCCTCGCGACAGGAAACATGAGCGATCCTCGAAAGAATGCCGGTATTGACTACGAGCAAGCCGGCATTGATTTCGTCTTAACGTAGGAATTCTGCCCCCCTCTCTGTCGGTGGCTGCGGCTGCTCTACCACTGTCTCCTCCTTCCTGGCTGGCTATGGCTCATCTGGAGCCTTGCGCCGTGTTATCCTCGTCTCTACCCGCCATATTGCCCACCGTTTCTGCCTCTTCCCATGCTGGCCCGTTGTCAGACTAGCAACCGCCCTAGCAAGCAACAACTTGTTTTTGTACACGTGCGCCTCTAATTGGCATTGTCGGAACATTTCTCAGCCTCAGCATCAAGAAAAGGAGGCCGGCTATGTGCACAAGGATATCAAAGACGCTTGATGGCGTTTCCCTGCGGCGGGTGGTGACGTTGGCGGTATATTGGCATAGGCTTTTGAGCGGTCCGTGTGCCATGTGCTTCTACCCCGGGGTTCATCCATTGCTATGCCCTCCCCTTTACCCCAATGCCTACACGATCTCCTGGAGGGTAAGGACATGGCGGTAAAGCAGACGATGTGCCACCGAGAAACACAAGAATACACCGAAGGGACGGACTCGGCGACAGTATGGCTAACGTTGGATTTTATTTTTTGCAATTGGTCAAAAACAGGCTCGAAAAGCCGTGCATGGACCACCTGCCATGGTTGCTTGAACGCGGAGTCGAAGCCGGCGGAGAGCCATGCGGCCATGCGCTGATGGCAACGTGCCCGCCCGAGCCGTTCCCGGAACTGACGTCCGAAATCCCTTTTGGGTACAGCAATGTCAAGGGTGCAGACATCGGATCCGGCCAGCGGACGTGGGAGCTCTCCAAGGCAGACCTGAACACTCTGCTGGCCCTCAGCGCCAAGCTCAACCTCGACGGTGAAATCACACCCGTGATGGCATGGGGCATGGTGCTGGCACACCCGCGCCTGGCCGAACTCACAGAAAAGGACTTTCAACGCTTGACTGAGGAGCTGAGCAGCAAGGTCCGCTGCTACGGGTACGCATTCAATCCCATGCTTGTACAACACACACACACACGCACGCCTGTTCGGTTTGTTCCCTTGCTTACACATTCAGTTTCGGTGCCGTAATGGAAGAGTTCGAGGTCCGTGATGCGATGGAGAATGTCATGCCTACGAAGCCTGACGCTTATGTGTCAGATAAGTATAGCTATGCCGTGGCCTTCTAACAATGCCTCGTTTCTGTTTTATGCGACATGCGTTTTTTTGTTCTAGCTGCAAGTTTTCTTGGACGTCTTGATGTTTTCTTTTTGTGTCTTGTATACCATGGTGGCAATATGGGGTTTTGTGGTCCACATGGGCAAGGTCGGATGGTGAATTGGTTGACTTATCTTTTGGGAAGACTTACGTTTTAATGGCGGTCCCGGCTGCGCCAAGACACCGCGATGTGCTTTCTTCTTTTATACAAATATGTTTATCAGCCTCGACGCTGCGTCAGTATCGTGGTTGCCTGTCCTAGATGACTGCATGCCTTCTTTGCTGAGACCGTTCGTAACACACCGTCATGCCCAGACTATAAACGAGGTATTTGAAGTCCTGAAAGATCTGGATGGGACCGTGTGACCATCCGCCATCGTACAGTCCTGGCAATGGCTCTCCTATGGTCCCGACGCTGCTCCTTGGAACTATATTTTCACCCGTCGGCCAGGTGTCTAGGAGCCTCAATTTGGATCTTGCTCGCTCGTCCCTCTGGCCAGGGAATCGAGGAAACGATGTTGTATCAGGCGCGGGCCAATTCGGCCGTTAAATGCAATGCCATGTTTTGATTTGCTCATATTAAGGCGGATACGGCATTCCAAGTGATACTCGACGACAGTCCGGGGCAAAGGCTAGTCAGCCTGGGAAGTGTAGAGTGCGGAGGGCGGCGTTAACGTAGAAAGTGGTGATCTGCTCTCACTGTGACGAGAGCCGAGACTAACGGGGAACAACCTTTAAAGTAGGAGGTTTAACTGTATCTTGGAGTCATGTATTTGGCAACAACTGTATGTTGTATTTGGTGCGGTTAACATACTGGTACCCAAGGTCTACAATGCGGCGCTGAGATGAGTCTGAAGCTGGTGACGAAAGGCGTTCCTTTAGGGCGCCGACAAGCCGTGTGTTCACTGCTGGCTTTCTCATGAAAGAGCAATATAATGCCAAATAACGACAGATAGTACTGCTTGTTGGGAATTGTGTGAGGTCGACCTTGTCCGGCTGATGTCGAAGAGTACCTTTATGCTGGTCGTATTTGTTGAGCGGCAAAATGCCTTCACCGTTGACCTGCGCCGCAAGGAAAGACATTGCCAGCTCATATGGTGCGAAGTGTCACTTTCCGTGGTCGCCCTCACACGATGCATTTACAATCAGTGTTGTCGACGTGCATTATTCCATAAATTTGCCAGTTAATTTGCGCACAGTCGACTGTTGGACCCTAGAAAGTCTCGGTGCTGAGCTTGAAGTGGGTGTCACTGAAAAGTAACCCCTGTCTCAGCCTCTCGTGTCGGCAAATTGACTGGCAGGACAGAGGAAAATCCGAAAGCGGCCGTGAGCGGACACGGGAAGAGCCAGCACCTGACATTCAAGTAGGGGGCTTGGATGGCCTTGGCGAGATGAGACCTGCTGTCACCTTTGTCTTTGGTTTGCTCCTTGCTCACTGGTCTCTCATATGGCTGGTAAGATACAAATTTGCTCGCTCAAGTTTGCTGCGCCGTCGCAGTGCTGCCCCTTTTGGTTACGGTCGTCTGTATTTTGCTTCAGGAGACAAAAGCGGGCCCCAAGATGCCGCCGCGCCGAAAACAGCCTGATGGGAATGGGGAATGAGGAATGAGGAGGATGGAATGTCACATTGGCACTAGGTGCTACAAATGCAGCGCGCACCGAATCCTTAAGATCAAAATACGACACTGCAGCGAGGGCAATCGCCTGGGCCAAGCTGCTCTTCGCTCAATACGGCGCCGCCAGACCTGTCTGCGGTTAGAGTGCTCCTTTGGCGATGTCGTTTGCATCGGGTCTGTCATCCGTAATTCTGTGCCTCTCGTATTTGGATCGTTCCCATATCACTTTCGCCATTCTCCTTTTATTATTTTAAAGCAGAACTCCGAACAGTAAACGCGAGGCCCGTGCTGAACCGCTCAGAGCCCTGGAGTTGTTGGGCTCTGTCAACGGTCTTGGACCAGGCCGTCCTGCCGTATTAGTGGAGGGGCGTGATGCAGATGGTCCCTGTCGGTCCCTGCTGAACGTGGCTATTTTAAAATTAAACCACGACACGAGAAGGAACAGGCGCGTCGCCAAGACAAACTCGGGCGAACTAGCGCAGGGAAATAAGCATAACCGTATTTTCTTGTTCTTTTGTTGACAGTGGACAAACGTACGGCGTGCGGAAGCATTACTGAGTACGAATGTACCACGACATATGTAATGTCGGCGCCCCCAGTAAAACGTGCGGCATCTTAGCTGGCCCTCCGTCGCCTCTTGTTCTTTTCCTTCTTTACCACAGTGCTTTGCCTGCTTTGTTTGCCTTGTTCTGGTTGGCGTTTTCTGTAGGTGGTCTGTTTACGCAGCCTCTCTGGCAAGCTCGACCCCTGACTTCGGTTTTCTTGTTTCTCGACGCATCACTAACACGACCAGGCCTGATTTGCGCATTTTCGGAGCGGTTCGTCCCTCCAGTCACTCGTTTACCCTTTGCACAAATTTGGGCAGGCCTACGACGCACACATGAACTCGTACGCCATGCACGAGGGCCTTCGGCCCAGCGAGTTTGGCAGCACCGACCAGCTCAGCACGCCATACGGCGGCAGCACCGACAAGCTGCATAGCGTCCTCCATGGGTCGGCGGGCGGCGCAGCACTGAGCGAGAAGGTGCCACGAAAGAGCAGGAAGCCCATGTGGCTCCTCATCGGCGGAATCGCGACCACTCTCGCCATAGGCGGCATCGTTGTTGGTGTCCTGGTGGCCAAGAACATCATCCACACGAGCAACCACAACAAGGCGACCGTCAACGACACGCCTGCCGCGGCCTCGGCGTCTGCATCTAGCAGCAGCGTGGCCGCCGGTGTCGACCCGACACACACAGCAACGAGCGCGACTGCAAAAGCGACGTCCAAACCCACTAGCACAAAGACGTCAACCAAAGCAACCGCCTCCCCGACGGCCGGCGCCTGCTCGACCAAGAAGGATATCCCCGCTTCAGTGCAGGGGACTTACAACGACCCGACGACGTGGCTCGACATGACCGACTTCAACTGCACCTACACCTCCGAGACCATAGGCAACCTGTCTATTGTCGGCCTCAACTCCACCTGGGACGACTCGAAGCAAGCCAACCCCAATGTGCCGGCCCTCAACAAGCCGTGGGGCTCTTACTCCGATAACCCCATCCGTGCCGTGAACCTGGGCGGTTGGTTCTCTCTCGAGCCCTTCATCACGCCTTCGCTCTTCAACTATCCGGCCGGCGCCGGTGTCTCGGACGAGTACACGCTCTGTGCTCATCTCGGCCCCGAGCAGGCCGCTGCGACGCTCGAGAAGCACTATGCCACGTTCATAACCGAGCAGGATTTTGCCGACATTGCTTCCGCCGGTCTCTCCCATGTCCGCATCCCCTACTCGTACTGGGCCGTCACCACGTACCCGGGCGACCCGTACGTGCTCGGCATCTCTTGGCGGTACCTGCTGCGTGCCATTGAGTGGGCGCGGAAGCACGGTCTGCGTGTAAACCTCGACCTGCACGCCGTGCCCGGCAGCCAGAACGGCTGGAACCACAGCGGCCGCTCCGGCAACATCAACTGGATCATAGGCACCGACGGCAACACCAACGCGCAGCGCTCGCTCGACATCCACGACCAGCTATCCAAGTTTTTCGCCCAGGACCGCTACAAGAACGTCATTGCCTTTTACGGCCTCGTCAACGAGCCCGGCATCACCATTCCCCAGAGCAAGCTCTCCGACTGGACCGCATCGGCCGTCAAGATTGTGTCCGACAACGGTGTGGCCGCTACCCAGGTCTTCAGCGAGGCTCTGCGCGGCCTGCCAGCTTGGCAGGGCAATCTGCAGGGCCATGGCAACGGCCTCGTGGTCGATGTGCACGAGTACACCATCTTCGACACCAACTTGATTGTTTTCGCCCACGCCAAGAAGGTCGACTTTGTCTGCTCGACCTTTGTGGGCCAGCTTTCCGACAGCATCAACACGGACACCGGCTTCGGCCCCACGATGGTTGGCGAGTGGTCCCAGGCCGACACCGACTGCGCCCAGTGGGTAAACGGCGTCGGCAACGGTGCCCGGTGGACTGGCAACTTCTCCGGCAAGGCCACGCCTGCCTGCCCGACCAAAAACAGTCAGTGCAGCTGCACCATGGCCAACCAGCCGGTGTCCAGCTACTCGGACGACTACAAGACGTTCCTTTTGACCTTTGCCCAGGCCCAGATGTCTGCCTATGAGACCGCCTGGGGCTGGTTTTACTGGACCTGGAAGACGGAGAACGCACCGCTCTGGAGCTACCAGGCCGGCCTGCAGGGTGGTTTCATGCCCCAGGTCGCATACAAGCGCTCCTTTAACTGTGGCGGCTCCGCGCCGAGCTTTGGCAGTTTACCAGAGTATTACTGAGGCCTTCGGGGTAAGGTTGTTGAGAGTAATGGCATTGTACGGCGTTTTTTTTTCTTTTTGTGGCGTGCACATGTTTACATGGTTCCCTCAGGGTTGCTTCTCCCCCTCCAAGAAGATTTTCATACTGTTCCTATTCCCGTATTGGAGTACTATTAGCGTCTATTTTTTTTGTCAAATTTTAATATTCAATCTCGTGCAGCATAATCGACTAGAAGTATTTCACTTTAACAATTCAATGCTGTATAGCAAGCGTAGTCAAGCCGTGGGTAAATGGGTCAAATAGCATATGCTTGTTTGGAGAAAACCAAAAAAAAGGGGTTTCAGCCAGGTAAAATATGTAGAGGCACAATGAAATTTGTAACAAAACGACTCAAATGATGAAACGCAGAGTAACGGATTTGTTGTTGTTATTATTCGCCTTTTCTGAACCAGTCCAGGTTATTGGCGTCTCAGAGCCCTCCGGGGAATAAACTGTAACAGAACTAACTGTGTGTGTGTGTGCGAAATTTTAAGAGTAGTAGATTTCCTAGAGGTGTATATTGTGTATGACGCCACCGGGAACAAGTAAAACGAAATTATTTGTTTGTCTTGCCCTCGGTCTCAGTAGCATACACCATGGTAAACCCGTCCGGAAGAAAGACTACACTGCAGAACACTTACACTTTTGCCAACGGCGCTGAAAGACTATCGTATCATTGTTGTCGTCTCCCGGCGAGAGGCGACTATGATCCTACTGGCAGATTGTTCCGTCAATTTGGGGTCACTTGGCAGGCTCTGGTGCCAATAGTTGACACCCAATGGACGTACAATGAGGTTCTCAGAATTTAATGTCTGGCTGTAAATTATAATTTCAGTGTCTCCTATGTCACAAATTTGTCCGGCCAGTATACTTTAGATAAAATGTACCTGCTGATTTAATAATCTTCCAAAACACACCCGCTTGCCAGCTTCACTGCCGGTGAATATCCCCCAAACTGACAATGTGTCGTCCGCGCTCGAACAAAGCCGCAGCCAGGATAACCTTATTGTCTTCGAAGCGCTTCCCAATAACTTGCATTCCCACCGGCAATAGGGCATCTGGTCGCTCAGGAGACGGCAAGAAGCCACAGGGCACGTTAATAGCCGGATGGCCGGTGGCATTAAAGGGCGCTGTATTGTTGGTTGTGCCAATTGCATATGCGAGCTTGTCAGCCACAGATGCCGAAGCGGAGGGCAGTGGACGGGCAACACTGGGTGCACAGGGCGTGATGAGAACATCGACCTCATCCAGCGCGGCATCATACTCAGCACGAAGACCCAATACTCGCCGGTGCGCCTTTGCTTCGAGGCCGGGTGTCAGAAGCGAGTTGGTCACTTGCTGGCTAAGGAGAATATTGACCGCAGCAGGGGTGTGCTCGTTCAGAACCGATGCTGTTTGCAGCCCAGCTTCTCCTTCAGGCAACGGTAGCTGACCAGTCACAGGCTGAATGTGCTGTGGCACATACGTAAGGTGGCCCGATCCGCGGCCTTGTAGTAACCACGTAGCCATTGACGGCCGTGTTGAAGCATTCCACAGAACGGCACCGTTGGCATGGGCAGGGACAGAGACGTGAATAACCTGTGCCCCCGCAGCCTCAAAATACTTTTGAGCGGCGGTTATCACCGTATCACGAACGGCGTCTGCCACTCCCGTCATTTCGAAGCCTTCACGGAGCAGTCCGATCTTCCAAGTGCCCAGCTCGGCCACATTTCTGCTGCGGAAGTCTGCCAAGATGGCCGCGTACGGCATCACGTTGACCCGCAGCGGTGACTCGGGAGACATGCGAGGGTCCAGACCGTCGTACCCTGCAATAGTCTCTAGCGCCGCAGCGACGTCCTCGAGAGATGCTGCCATGGGGCCGAGGTGGTCTATCATGGGCGACATGGCAGCAGCTCCTGTGTACGGCACAAGGCCAAATGTCGGCTTGAAACCATATATGCCACAGTAGCTGGAAGGAATACGCACCGACCCGGCCTGGTCGCTTCCGAGGGCAATTTCAGCCGTGAGGACAGCTCCCGTTGGCTCTCGCAGAGCCGTATCGACGGGAAATATCCTTTTCATATGATGGGCGGCAACCAATGCGGCCGACCCGCTGCTGCTACCTCCCGAAGTGTGTCCGTGGAGCCACGGGTTGTGGACGTGACCAGAAAAGGATGTATGCGATAACGGGGATGCACACCAGCCCTCGCACGTGGACGTTCCTCGAATCACAGCTCCGGCGGCCAGGATGCGCGACACTACGGTGGCATTGATATCGGCGGGCTGGTACTGTCCACCTGCAAAGAGCTGTGGCGATAGGCCGATGGTCGTTGGCAAGCCCGCAACCGAGATAATGTCCTTAACTGCGAAGACACGGCCCTGTAGCAGGCCAGACGTCGAAGAAGATGGAGATGTATCGGTGAGTGGCGTATTAAATACATGACTCCACGCATTCATTGGGTTCTCGGCAAGAGTCGGCCTTCGGAAGCTGTGGTCTGCCGATGACGGCTCCGGCACCAATGCCGGTGGGGTGTAGTCCGGTTCTGCACCGACTTTGTTCATCACTGCCATGAACGATTGCAGAACGGGCTTGTACGCCGCTTTGTCTGTAGGCGAGACATTGCGGACATTCAGAGCAGCCAGGAGGCCGTCCAGGTCGCTGTCTGATAGCTCGGGCCTAATACATGTGAGCTGGTGAGATTACAAAACGGTTGTTTTATGGGCAGATAAAAACAACATACAGGGGGGCGCCGGGAATGACGACAATGGACATTATTGTGTGATTCGAGGTGGTTGGAGATGCTGTCTACGGTATTGCCAAGTATGAGCTACAAGCCAGGGTTTAAAAATATCGAAATATATGTCGTTATCGGTCCATCCCCTCCCCCCACCTCCGATCTCGCCCACGACAATCTTACTGCTGTCTATTGGCTAGCAAATACGACCGCCATCAATACACAAATTGATTCCCGTCAATGTCGTCACCGCCGCGCTTTGCAGGCACCTTGTCAAAAAGGTTGCTGAACATATTGTCGTCTGCGCCAAAAGGATTCATTTTGCTCCGGACGACTGGAATATTAGTGAATGTCGTTTCGGCATCCGAGACGACCGACGTGCCAAATTTTACACCCGGGATTGATACTGTTGACATGGACGGAAAGGCGTGAAAGCTTGACCGCCAGAAGCCGTGCTAACTGGTCCGTGGCAACTTTGCTGGCTGCGTAGCTCGTCAGATCGACATTGTGCATGCTGGCGCACGAGCTTGTGATGATGGTGTTGCCTCGACCAGTGCGGCGGCCTTGACCCTGAAATATCTGGCTTGCTGTGGCAAAAGTTCCACTGACAGAAAATAATGCGCAGTTGTGTTCACAACGAATGACGATGCCCAGTCCGAGTGATGCGTCGACTACATGCTGGCTTGGAGCTCGACCAACGGCGGTGTCGGTACGTCGCATTTAATCGGCGGACCACGTCGTATGCCATCATTGGAGACCAAGAGGTCGACTCGGTCCTCGCGTCCGGCTATATACGCAGCCAGCTCGGCGACTGCTTCCTGCTTGATACATCACATGCATACTTTGTCGCCGATCCGGCGTCGCTCGTGTCCGTTCATTTCGGCTACACAGCCATCGATAAGGTCGGTTGATAACGCCACTACATAGACCTTTGCACCATTTTTCACGAGACCCTGATTTTCGTGAAACATCAGTCAGTAATCCAACAACCAGCAGAACAAAACGGTACAAGAAACACAGTCAAAAAGAACCTTGCAAATCATAAACCTCAATCCACCGCCGCCAGCCGCGACGACGGCCACGTAGCCTCTGACACCAAAAAGATTATGAGCAGCGAGGGACGCCTTGGCGTCGGTGCGTTGGCATTGCGATTGGGAGTTTGGGTGCCGGCAATGGGCAGCATGTCCATTTGCCATGTTGTTTGCATCGCGCTGTCTGCTCATCCGGAGTACCGACAACCAAATGCAGATTTGGAAATTACATCGTTCTTAACAAAACCCGGTGTGACAGGTCCTGGAAAGTATAAGCCAGAATAGAACGGAATGTGAAGAACGACAATTGGCAGGCAGAGCTAAAGAAAATTCTATTGCATGATGAAGATGGAAGAAAAGCGGTAGCAAGACATTGGTGTCAATACCGACCAAAAAAATCGAGACAAAAAAGTCTAATGAGTGCAAGAACAAAAGAGGGTTGAAAAAGTCAAAATGAAAGAAATATGTACAGTGCAGTGCAAACAGATTCCGGCATCCAACTACCGCTTTAAGCACGACGTCACCAGGTCGCTGTCGGTCCAAGTCAAGCCCGTCCGAGTGGGCACGACGCTCAATTCGTACGTAGACGGGTCAAACGAGCCTGCTGCCCATGCCACGGTGCCTAAAAAGACATCGCTATTTGTGTTCAGGAACTTCATCAGCTCGCACACGTATTGAACGCAGGATGGGGTGTTGCCGCCACCAGTCTCAGTGGTAAATGCTTGACGGCCATTTGCCCGCAGCCACGTGGCCAGTGGTTGGAACGAAGAGATGGCATTTGTGACGCAGGTGGTGTGTGTTCCAGAGTAGTCGTAGTCCAGGTACTGGTGCACGTCAAAAACGAGGCCACTGGTTGAGTTGTCGGGGTTCTTCACGTCAAGAAGAAGCGGGCCAGCAACACCAGCCATGGCGCCAGCACTTGTGAAACTGCATTTGCTGTTAGTGGACTTTGCATGTATACACTATGCGCGGTAGACAATAGTAGAACGTACTTGCTGCCCGGCAAAAGAATAGTCTGTTTCGGGGCCACCTTGCGGATGGCGGTGACGACGGTCTGGACAGTGTCGACCCAGGCGGAAACATCCAGATCGTGCGGCTCGTTCATGATGCCAAACAGGACACGGCTGTTGTTGGCATATTTCGTCGCAAGTTGAGACCACAAGCTGGCAAATTGTTCGTTGGACGGGCCACCCTGGCCAATGATTTGGCCTTCCCAGCGTGCGTAGTTGTGCACGTCGACGATGCAGTGGGCCGTGGTGTTGAGGCACGACTGCACGAGGGTGTTGTACTCGGCAAAATTAGCCGCATCGAGCTCGCCACCAGGAGTGCTGTTAACGAGGTACTGCCAACCGACCGGTAGGCGGAAGATGTTGAAGCCGTCGTTCCGGACAAAGTGGTGCATCTGACCGGCACCGTCGATGCCAGAGACGTTGAGAAGAGGAGGTTGTATGGAGGAAAGAGTCTGGACGCCCTGCATCGTGATGCCGAAATCAAATCCGGCAATGTTGGCGCCAATATAGCGGACGCCCGTGCGATTGGCACTGGGCAGGGCCGCGACCTGCACGGCCAGAGAGGCCACGAAAAGAGAGAGCGTTGAGAACATTGTCGAAACCTCCGTGGGAACGTTCGTGAATAGTCTATGCTGTATGAGGGAACAGAGACAGAAAAACGACTCTACAAAGGAAAGAAAGAAGAATGCTTGGACCAGCCAGAGGGCATTCAAACACGGTGGTGACAGACTCTGCACGGCGAAAAGAACGACAAACGGGGATGAAGACAAAAGGGCTTTGTGCTTGCTCGCACGAGAAGCAGCGAGGACGCTGGTTTTATCCTTCTCTCGTATCCCGTGTGGAGCGAGCAGACAGAATCGAAAAAAAAAAACGAAATAGAACAATAAGTAGAAAGAAAGTACAAAATAAGGCAACATCCCTGGCCATACTCCCTGTAACTACTCGAATTCCACGCTGTGGCTGTTTGCCACGGTAAAAGTTTAAAGCGCAGACGACCATCCTCGTGCGTTCGTGGGGGTTGTTTGCCGTTTCCCTGTGAAAGGGATGAGGGCCGGCCAGTCGGAGGCTGTCTAGCCAAGGAAGGAGGACCAAAAAGGGCCGCCGTCAGGGATACAATACGCCGGTGTTCGTTGGTAGCAGCGCGTTGAGGAGCGCTAAACATTTTCCCCTGCATTCGTCAGTGGAGACGGAAGGGGAAAAAAGGGACAAGCAGAGAAGAAGGCACTGGCGGCGGCAGCTACACAGTCCATTTACGCCTTACGTATTCTGGTAACTTGCTGGCAATTGGCTAACTAGGCGGCGCGTTTTGCTGTAAGACGCTGGCTTTGTTTCATGTTTCAATGCTTCAGCTGCAGGGGCTGGTGGCAACGGGACAATAAGCGGAGACCACAGCCTAATCGTATGTTGAAGCGATCGGCCACAAACCAGATCCATATAAGATCGCGCACTGCCAATGTTCTTGGCACAACGGTGGGAAAAAGAACACCGGCGTGTCGCGGACTAACATGCTAGTCGGGTTTATTGTCGTGTCTTTCTCGCAGCTCCCAAGGCATGTGAATTTTGTCTCAGCCACATCCCGGCGTCCATAGCCACATTCACGACCGTCATCCCTCGGTTCTGTGCCAGTGCCACGACGTGGTCCGCAACATCTCCACTATCACGAACCGCTTTAGCTCCGTCTTCTCGAGCATGTTTGCCTTTGTTCACTGGCTAGATGCATAAATACCCAGTTGCGTTATCTTGATCTGCGGAAAAGTCTGGTATTTACATGATACAAAATAAACACCAAAAGAGTGCGAGGGGACAAAAAGCAGAATTAAAAGAAGGGGAGTTAATAAAACGGAGATGGAGAGAGAGAGAAAGAGATGAAACCTCCCACAAATATAAAAAAAACACCCCGCCCCCACTCCAGACAAGAGAATTGTCGTTAACTGAACCCCCGCCCTCTATCCTTCCTCCTTGCCTCACATGCCATTTAGTAGAGACCCCACTCAATGTCCTGCGAGTTGATGTTACCCTTGCAGTCCATGTAGCCCTTTGCACCGACCTGACCGCTGCCGCCAAACTGCTTGATCGACTCCTGGATGATGTCGACAATATCTGAGGCGGCCACCTTGAAGTTGACGTTGCCGTGCGTGTTTGTGGCCTGCACGCCGAACGCACAGCCGCCGTACTTCACCAGAGCGCGTTGACGCTTGCCGACCACCTGCGTGGTCCACTCGCCGTCGGTGTTTATAATGTTGTTGACGATCTGCATGCAGTCGCTAACGCTGGGCGATGCGCCGCTGGTCTGGTCGATGAAGCTGGACGCCTGGCAATCGTCTTTTGGCGGCGGCACGTAGCAGGGCCACGATTCCAGCGTGCGGTCGCTGTACTCCTCCCAGTTCCAGTACGCCGTGTCGCCGCTGCACACGGGCAGGCGGACGTAACCTGCGGTGGTGATGTCCTGGTCGTAGAGGTTGTTTAACGTGGTGTCATCGCCCGGGTTGGCGGTCTTGCCGCCGTTCTTGTTGCCGTTAGCCTTAAACGTGTTAACGGAGCCCTGGATGAGGTCGGTGACAGTGACGCCGCCCCACTTAGTGCCGTCCATCTGGTCGACGCCGTCGGGCAACGAGAAGGAATTGTCGAGACACGAGCCGTCGGCAGGGCACGTAGTACTACTAGGGCCGTCTGGGTACACGAGGAAGTACAAGTGGTTATCGATACAGCCCATGGCCTGCTTTTGGATACTGTCGTCGACGTACTGGGACACGACGTTGAGGTTGCTGCAGTCGGCGCCCGTATCGAGCACGAACACTCCCGCACCGGACGCGGACCACACGGCCGGGATGGCATAGCCGTAGAAGCCGTACGCGATACTGGACCGGATCTCTCCCGTGGTCTCGTCGGACGCGCCTACGTCCGGCATAGAGCCGTCCCGGGTACCGGAGCCGTTGTCACCCTCAATCATCTGGCCCTTGGCAATCAAACTCGTCAAGATAGGGAGCGTGTCTGTAGAGCCGCTGTAAAGGGCCGCGACCTGGTTTTCGGTCGAGTTGACCCAAATACTGACCACTTGGCCGAGGTAGGCGCTGAAGGAGGTCTGCGACCCGGCCGTCCAGCTGCCTTCGTTGCCCGTGACATAGTCGCCCGTGATGCCGACGGCGAAGCTAACGAGGGCCTTGGCCGAATCCTTGTAGTTGTCGTACTGTATGCCGTTGGCCTTGAAGAAGGGAAGGCCCTTAAGGATGGAGTTAAAGTAACCCGCAACGGCAATTGTGCCCACCAGGTTGGCAACATCCAGTAGAATGCTGATCCACAGTTCATCAGACGGCTTCACCGGCGCAAAGGTGTTCTCAAACTCCCCATAGGACGGGTCGAACGTCAGTGCCGCCGCAGCCACGAGCGCGTCGTAGAAGGTGCCGTAGATCTCGTGCAAATACGCCATCGAGTTCCACAGCTCGTAGGCAACAGGGCCCGAGCCAGTCGTGGGGTAGATGTCTTTGCACACTAAGATTTGCTCGCAGTTGGCGGTCCGACCGATCACGCCGCAGTTGCTCAACTCGGGACCATTGATGGACGTGCTGATGGACCGGCTCAGGTAGAGTTCACCTCCTACCGCCTTGTCGACCTTGTTCCAATGGTCGATTACGTCGGCCCACGCGTCGGGTCCGTCCAGCTCGTTCCACCGCTCTTCTGACGTCATGTTCTCCGTGCTGACCACAGCAATGTTGGAGCAGTCCAGCTTTGTCCAGTTGCCCGTGAGGCTGCCGGGATCAATCGCTAGCGACAGCGGATTGACGCCGGCCTTGACGTTCAGGAGGAACTCGTCCCACGTCGGCATGTCGCCGGGCACCTCGTTGTACGTCTCCAGATCGGTGGCCCAGTTGGTCGTGCCGCCAAGGCCCAGCCCAGAGTAGAGTGTTTGGCGCGAGGCCAGAATGTCCGGCGTCATATACGCCACCCACTGGTTGCCGTCGTACACGGTGATCTGGCTGTCGCTGTCCTTGTCGTAGAAATTTTGGTTGATGCGGCTGGAGGCGGCGCGCTTGCCGCTGTTCGAGTCCGTGCCGGAGACAATGTCGCTGATCTCCGCGTCGGCGATGTAGCCCGCCGTGTTCGTACAAGGGCCAGGGGTCGCCGTGGATTCCAGCGCGGTGCCGCCAAAGGTGCACTCGGGCCCGTAACAGCTGCCGTCGTTCATACCGAAAGAGCGGCCGTAGCTGGTGACGCCGACGACCACCTTAGCGGATGGGACACCGGCCTTGGTGATCATAGCCAGCGAGGTCATGGTCTCCGTCAGGTTAACGTGGCTACGCAAGCAGTTGCCGGTCGAGCAGCCCTCTTGCGAGTAGGCATTGTTGGTGTCCCACTGGCCGTGTAGATCGTACGTCATGAACACAATGTAGTCGACGATCTTGGAGATTTCGGCGATAGGAAAGCCTTTGAGGTACCAGTAGGATGCGGGTGCTGCGATACTGACTGTCTTGCCGGGTAACAGGTTCTTAAGCACCGCGAGGAAGGCTAGGTAATTCTCGCCGTCGTCGAGGCTGGCGGGCGGGATGCCCGGGATGTCGGGTGCGCCCGGGTACTCCCAGTCAATATCGACACCGTCGAGGTTATACTGTTTGACGTAGTTTGCCATAGACGTAGCCATAGCCACGCGGTTGGCTGCCGTCACACCGTTACGGAAGATAAGATATGTGCTCGGGTCGGTCGAAAAGGCCCAGCCACCGAACGTTAACACACGGTGGAAACTTGAGCCGAGCCTCACGAAGTTGTTAAATTCAAAGGTGCTAGACGTAGAACCGGTCGACACGGCGTACGTGTTTGGATCCAACGTCGCAAACGCGAAGTGCACATGTGTGTAGTCGGTACTAAGTTGCGAAATGTCCTGGTATAAACAAGCGCGGTCCATACCGTAGCCCTCGTAATAAGCAATCTTGATCGGATTCGCTGGCCCGGGGCCCTTCACCACGTCTGTGCCGCAGTTAGAGATACAGCCGTAGGTACCGTTCTTGGCCGTTCCCGGGGGCCCTAGGCTGGTATCCGTGCAGAACTCCGCCGTGATACCACACTCGCCCCAGATGTCGCAGCAGGCGTTGAGCGGGCAGGGGTTGAGACCCGACAGGTTAAAGGTGCCACCGGGGCCCGGCACAGTGCCGGGCACCTGAGGGCCGCAGACAGCAGTGGACAAGGACGACGGGAACGGGGGAGAACCCGTGCTTAAACAGATGACGGCGCCTAGGAGCACGTTGCCGCAGCCCTGCCAGCCCCACGTGTCGTTGTTAAAGCCTTCGATCTGGTCGTTGGTGAGGTCAAACGATGCGCCGATGGTGGCACAGTTGTCGTTGGCCTGGACGGTGTAGGCATAGCACGAGCCATCCGCGTTAGGCTTGGGTGAAAAGTCGGGCAGCGTGCCCGCCGAGCAGCACACGTGCTGGCCGGGCTTGAGGTCCGAGCAGAACGTCGCGCCGGGGTTGTACTTAGTGAAGTCCGCGCCAGAGATGCCGCACTTGGTGGCCAGCGTGCCGCAGCCGTCGCCGTAGACGACCTGTACGGTCGTACAATCGGCACGTGGGGACAGGAGCGGGCTGGAGCGAGCCGCAATGTGGGCGCGGGCGTGGGCGTGGGAGCGGGCGCCTAGACCCAGGCCGCTCTTGGCCGCGGAGAGAGTGCTGTTCAGCGAGCCCGTGCTGGCCGGCGGCGTCAGGGGTGTCGTGTAACCAACGGGGCTGACGAACGTCTGCGTCGAGTTGAAGTCAATGCACGTGGCCTTGGACCACGACTGCATCACATTCTGCACTGCCTCAAACGACGAGTTGCTCGTCGCCACGAAGCCGATCAAGTGGTCGGCATCGTACTCGGCGCCACACAGCTCGAGCGCCACGGTGCCGTGTGTCTCGTTTGAGGCTGTCATGGTCTTCTCCAGTGTCGACAGGGCTTGCACCACGGACGCCATATTCTGCACGTCCTTGCCGACGTACAGACCCATGGTGCTGCCGCGGGTCTGAGCAAACAGCACCTGCGTTTGCGGCTGGGCGGTGTGGCTGCCGTTGTTGGCAGCCTGGTAGCCAGCACTCAGGAAGCGGCGCACCTGCGCAGACATGGTGCGCAGGTCGACGTTGGTAGGCGAGTTGTCGTCCCAGTGGCCGACGGTGAAGGTGGCGTTGGTGGCCACCTGGGTGACGATCTTGTTGGAGTGGGCCGGCGAGGCCGGTTTGTGGGAGCCGAACGACGAACACGCAAAGATGCGATGGTGTGAGTCGTCCTTGTCGACGTTATCGTAGAGCGAAATGTGGTAGAAGATGGTCTCCGAGCAGCGGCTCAGCTGTTCTACGCTGCGGTACACCGGCCAGTTGGCCGGGTCGGGCCCGGCCTTGATACAGGATATGGGGCAGTCACCGTCACGGCTCTTGTAGTGGGGAGCCGCAGGCTGACGCAGCTTGAAGCGGGCATCAACACCGCTGATCAGCCCTGAGGACAGCAGCAGCAGGCCGGCGGCCGCCGACGACGACAACCACGAGGGAAGCATTGTGGCTGGTATATGAAAAGTGTATAATATAGAGAGAAGGGACGGAGTCCAAAGAACTCAATAAAAGAATGGATAGAACCAAAAACTGCCCAAGGTGAAAATTTGGACAGAATCGACAAGTGGTTCAAGATATCAAAAAAGACAGGACAGAAAACTGCCTCGTCCACAGAAAGTTACTGTGGAGTGTGAGAGCAGAGCTCCTTGGACAGAAGGTGAGGAATATGCTTGATGGCGGCTGAGAGCCAAGTTCCTTTTGCTTGAGAAGGGGAGTAGAAGAAGCCATTTCCTGTCGAGGCCGTCGCCAGAGGATGGCCGTGCCTTTTTGTTTCGCTTGCCCCGGTCGAGGAACGTGTCTCAAGAACCGCATCGGTGTCCCGATGCCGCGGATCCCGAGTAATGGAGGCGCATACCATTTTCAGCACGCTGTGCATTGCCCCTTGTCGCCCCATTGCTTTTTCTCCGTCTCTATTTTGACATTGGTGCTTTCTTTCTTTTTTTTTCTCTTTTTTTTCTGTCCTAGTTTCTTATTTGTGTTATCCATCTCACGCTTCTCCTGCATACTCGCATTTGCCGTGGTCGTTTGCATGTATGCTGTCCCCTGGACGGTTTCCCATTTCCCAAAAAGTCGTGATGGGGACACATCCTTGCAGGTCCATTTTTGCAGTTACCCTTTGCGGTCCTTTGCAGTTTTTTGTGCGTCGCTGTGCCCATTCCGATCCGGACACCGACACAAGTGCGCACGGTTGAAGGATCGGCAGCTCTCGATCGACGGGGACCCACTTCGTCCCATGGTTCCAGTAGGAGTCATCTTAAAATGCCCCAAAATGACACCTGCGAGTGACGCGAGAAATCCGAGCAGAAACGACAACGACAAGACGGCACACGTGTGCGCGGGGGGGCGGTTTCTTTGTTGACAGCCTTCTGTAGAAGCACTCTTTTTACTTTTTTCTATCTTCTTTTTTCCTCGTTTTGTCCCTGGTCCGTACCGCGTATTTTCCGTATGCCGTATTCCATAATACCTCTATCATACCCGTGTCTTTAGATAGCCGCCCTCCTTTGTGGACTCTTGCAGGAACGTGCACAATGCATGTACGGAGTATGTCGTAGGGGGGTGCGGAGAAAAGAAGCTTAGTAAAGCAAATGCGAAGACTGCGTAGGCTTTTAACGCACAGACAGGGACTACCGCCGCACAACTCTTACGAGAGCCCCCGAGAATCTGTTTGCTGCCAGTCGTAGTATTCCGTTCTGGGCGTACGCAAAGGAGAAAGTCGATCGCTGGATGCCACGGAACGAGTTTGGCCGCCGGCGTACCCGACATAGCCACTCTCGACAGGGTCCAAGTGGGAAGCAGGATAGAATAGAGAACACGGGGGTGGGGGTGACTGGCTGGGCGCCAAAGCTTGTCTCGGCGCACGCACTTTGCCAAGAACGCGGCTAATCATCTATTTTTCTGGTTCTGGTTCCTGGTACCTGGCTCTGATTCTGGTCTGTCTCGGAGCTGGATCCTGGCTGTGATTCCTTGTCTTGTCTGGTGCGAGTCCTGCTTCTGGTTTCTACAACGTGCGAAGTACTTTGTACTCAAATTGTCGAACTTGTTTGTTTTTGTCAAGAGTATATAAACAATGCTATTATTACAAATTGGATATAAGGGGAACTTTGGTATTTCCGTTCCTGCAGGGGGGTCCTTCTTGGACACCGTAGTGTGTCGCATCCTGCAGGTTCCAAGCCACCCCCAAAGTGAAATAAAAATAATGTGATTGGGTCTGTACTTCTGTAAAAGCGGATATTCGCCTCCGGTCAACTGACAACAACTTGCACTGGCCCGCTACAGGAGAATCATCGCGGCCAGAGCAGCGACTGCCCATGTACTGGCAGCGTAGACAGAAAGGGCCGCGCCCGAATTCTTGCTGGGACAGCTGATCGCAGGGCTCACGGCCGCGCACACGTGAGACGTCGCGGCCGCCGAGATGCTCGCCGCCACAGCCGCGTCGGCCGTGGCCGCACACGGGTTGCCAACGGGTAACGGTGTCGTGTCCGAGAACACGGCGCACGTGTCGTGGCCGTCGTTCTTGCTCACGTCGGCCACGGGCAGAATGTCGGTCAGGTTGAAGGCCATGTTGGTCAGGCGCGAGCATTCACTAACTTCGCCTCCGGCAATATCGGGCGCGGCGCCGCCGCTCTGCGCAATCGAGAACACGACGTTCTTGCTGCGGAAGCCGCCGCCTAGTGTAACGGGCCCGCCTTCCTCCTGCGCCGAGCAGTTACCGGCGCCAAACGCCCAGACCAGGTTGTACCGCGTCACCGGGTCGGCGCCATTACTAGTTGTGTTAAGGTTGACGGCGTACGTGTAGACGAAGAGCGGCTCGCTGGTGCCGTTGGCGGCTGTGGTGCTGGTGAAGTTGACGGCCGTCAAGTCAATCATATTCAGATAGATTGTGGAGTTGTGCTCGACGTTCACCCAGAGGTTGAGGCTGAAGTCCGGGTCCAGCGCCGGGGCCAGGGCCGGGTTCTGGAAGGCAAAGACGACGGGGAAGATCGGGGACGGCGCGTAGGTCTCGTTGCGCGGGAAAACGAGGTCGACCTCAACCGTCTGTGGGAACGTGATGGCGTCGACCGTGACGACGGCCGGCAAAGCCCAGGCCGCGGCGAGCAAGAGGGCTGCGCGGCGGAAGGACATTGCGGGCGTGCGTTGCGGGGGGGGGTTAGGCGCTAATTTTGCTGGCGACACAGGGCGAAAACACGAGCGGCAGGAAGCAAAGAGAGCAGACGAAATCAAAAAGGGGGGAGGGGAGGGTGAAAGAGAGACAGAAAGGGGAGCGAAAACGAAAAGCCGAGAAACGAAACGAGCCGTATGGTTGAGTGACCGAAAGACGGAAAGTCAGGTACCTCATACAAGAATAGAATCACAGAAAGAAGCACACGATGCACATGTATGGAGTGGTTCACCCCCCGGCCAGCCGCCAACCGCTTGTCAACCGAAAAGGGGCAGGTTTGCACACAAACAAAAAAAAAAAAGCTAAATTAAGCATACTTACGGAGTACTCCCATCTTTCGAAGTAGTTCTGCAACCACAGGAACACTTCAGTAGCCCAGGCTCCACTTCTTGTGCAGGTACCAGCTAGCGCGGGGAAACAGTATCATACATGATGCAAGTTCGCTGCAACAGCATTCGGGCCATTTGACGGTGCCGAAGCTCCGTCCTCCGTGCGACATACGACGTTGTACGATTTCAGCGACACATAGGCTTCTAGCTTGCCGGCCGCGCCACAACCGCCCCTCCGCCTATTGCAGGCGCCCTCCGACGCCACGTGCACTCGTTGCGCATCTGTGGTGGTTGGCAGCTGCTGACAGTGGCGGTCGAATCTCACGGAGCATTTTTGGTTTCGGACCCACAAAGCTGTCCCACTCGTGTGCCGTCGATTCCGCAACTGCCTTTTTGTTAAACAATCCTTGCCGCAACGGCCCGCAAGCACTGGGCGTTCAGGATTCGGCAACAAGCAGCGCGCTAAGCATGCAAGTCAGACTATCGATAGAAAACGCTAGAAAAAGGGGCCCGCCGCCAGGGACCATCGCCAGGATGTCGGTCTCTGTCGCCCACACCGACGCCGGGGTCTGCATCCTTACGATTTATCTCAGTGACCCCGTATCGTATGCCCCCGCTGAGGACCCGAAAGGAGACTCGCTGCACATCTCTTGGACTTCCGCTGGTACAAAAGCATCGATGTTCTCGCCGATCGCTCATCAACATCGTACCCCGTACAAAAAAAAAAAGACTGAGCAGCGGACATGCTCAACCCCCACTGCCAATTTCATTTTTCTCGGGACACTCATTTCACGCGCATGTACGATCCAACCTTAATTCTCACGACACGGGATCGTCGGTGACTCTCGATGGAAACAAGAAAAGTCGTGCGAAGCTGACGACGAAAAAAAAAGAAACTCAAATAAAACAGACGAAAGAAAGACACAGACCCAGGAACGTGTCTCGTATAAGCCTGCCACGACCGAGGAAGCGCCTGTCTTCGGCACGTTTTCTGCTGAGCGAACATCAGAGGCTTGTCTTTTATCTCGTTACCTTTCCTGTGAAGGTTTGATGTTTTCGAGGTGATGTTTTACACATAGGCTTTCTTCCATCTCCTACGTACCTAGTACTCCGTAATACCCATTCCTTCGCTTCCTAGTCGGGAATCGGTCGGATATTGGGCGAAGACCGCAAGAGCCGCACATATTTTGTGCCGGCCGTAGGATTCTGACTCCCTGGTCTGACCGGCTATCTCTCCACTTTGACTTACACGACCAAATGTTGCGCTCATAACGTGTATAAACCACCGGACCGTCGTCTTTTGGAGGAGAAGATCGTCTCCCCAGGATAGTAACGGGTTATCATCTTGAGGAATTCTCGAAATTCTCTGTACCTCTGGTCCATCGCCAGCATCCCTCCTCCCTTCCCCGTCTCCCAGTCTTTCGTTTATCAGTCTCTCGTTTTCTTCCCAACTGCTTTGGCTAGTCGTCATTGAGTCGTCTGTCATACGCACCAGTCTCTCGTTTTCACAATCCCATTCCGTTTAATAACACTGCTTTTTCTTACAACCAAAACATAAATCATAAACAGAATGGGCCGTTTCATGACCCTTGCCCTCGGGCTCCTGGCCGCCTCTCCCGTACTCGTCGCAGCGGTCGCCGTCCCCGTCCCGACGCCGGCCCCTGTTGCCCCCGCTGCTGCCTGGGCACCCATTGCGGCCCGCGGCGTCGACTGTTACTTTCAGGCCGGCGCCGACGACAACACCACATGCTCGCAGTTCGCCGGTGAGTGGGCCTTGACTGTCGCCGAGTTTCAGGCCCTGAACCCGGGCGTCGTTTGCCCGAACCTCAACAGCGATACGCTGTATTGCGTGAGCGGCACCGTCACTGGCAGCAGCAGCTCAGGCGCCGTCGGGCCCCACCGCAGCAAGACCTCGGTCAGCTTCGAACTGCCGTCGGGGTCCGGCGGGCCCTCTAGCTTCTGGACGTCCTTCTCGCGCATCCCGTCCGCCACGTCCACCACCTCGTCCACCACCAGCTCCTCGTCTTCGATTTCGTCTTCGTCATCGAAAGCGGCAGGCCCACCGGGGCCGACCCAGAGCGGCGAGGCGGCAGACTGCACTAACTACTACAAAGTCGTCAAGGGTGACACGTGCCCTAAGATTGAGGCCGCATACGGCATCAGCGCCGACCAGTTCGCGTCGTGGAACCCGTCGGTCGGCGCCGACTGCCGGGGCCTGCTCGTCGGACGCGCCGTGTGTGTCGGCGTTCCGGGGGCGACATCCTCGATCGTGAGCGTTGCGCCCAGCTCGACGTCCAAGTCCGCGAGTGCTTCTCCCTCGTCGAGTGTTCCGTCGGGCGTTCCCTCGCCACTGCAGCCTGGTACTTTTTCGAACTGCACGTCTTACCACAAGATTGTATCCGGTGACACCTGCTCTGCCATCGAGGCGGCCGCCGATATCACCGCTGCGCAGTTCGCGTTCTGGAACAGCGGTGTTGATAGCAGCTGCTCCAACATCGATGTTGGCTACTACCTCTGTATTGCCGGTGGTGGTGACACTGGCCCGTCCTCGGGCGCTCCATCCCCACTCCAGCCTGGTACTCTCGACAACTGTACGTCCTACCACAAGGTCGTCTCCGGCGATACGTGTGGTGCGATCGAGACTGCCGCAGGCATCACAGCTGCGCAGTTCGCCGCGTGGAACTCGGGTGTTGACAGCACGTGCTCCAACATCGATGTCGGTTACTACCTTTGTATTGCAGGTGGCGGTGACACTGGCCCGTCCTCGGGTGCTCCGTCCCCGCTACAGCCCGGCACCCTGGCCAATTGCACGTCTTACCACAAGGTCGTCTCGGGCGATACATGCAGCGCCATTGAGACTGCCGCAGGCATCACGGCTGCGCAGTTTGCCGCGTGGAACTCGGGTGTCGATTCCACCTGCTCTAACATTGATGTTGGCTACTACCTTTGTATTGCCGGTGGCGGCGGTACGGGCTCCACAACCGGTGCTCCGTCCCCGCTCCAGCCCGGCACCCTATCGACATGCAAGACCTACCACAAAGTCGTCTCCGGTGACACTTGCGGCGCCATTGAGAAGTCGGCGGGCATTTCGGCCGCAGAGTTTGCCGCCTGGAACAGCGGTGTTGACAGCACGTGCTCCAACATCGACATCGGTTATTACTTGTGTATCGGTGGTGGCCCTGCCGTGTCGACGCCAACCACGCCCTCGCCGCTGCAACCCGGCACCATCTCCACGTGCAAGACGTTCCACAAGGTCGTCTCTGGTGATACTTGCGTCGCCATTGAGAAGTCGGCCGGCATCACGGCAGCACAATTTGCCAAGTGGAATACGGGTGTGAATGCTGAGTGCACCAACATTGATGTAGGCTACTATGTTTGTATTGGTGCTTAAAGATAGAGGACTAGCCCGAAGCGAGATGTGAAGGAGGAAGTAAAGTAGTAACTGCTGTTTTCACCCTGTTTTAGTATCAAGTTTAATAACACAGATGCCGTATTTGGCTCCTTCACCTGGCAAGACGATCTCTGCCGCTATGCACCGCACAATCGCAAGTCAGACTTACTTTCTAGATATTTCCGTTAACGCGCATGTTGCCGACCATCCTGGAATCCGACGTAACTCCAGTGGCTTATCTCCTGCAGGACAAGGTAAAATGCGCCGTTCGTTATTTGAGAGTCGAGTTAAGGGAAATGGCATAATTTACGACAAGTCCAGCATATGGGGGTATGGAGATAGCCAAAACAACGCCGGGTGGATTGGTGCCGTCGTGATGGCAAATAGGACAGGAACCTCCGAACACAAAAGGGCAAGTCGGGAAATGAAGGCTGGCAGCACCCAGTATCCCTGGGTAGGCTTGTATATCCCATAATTCATACTGAGCCCAGCGACATCTGTTTCCTGATGTGCCTCCCGTTTTGTGCGGAGACGAGCCACGCTGCGACCGTGTTGCTTTCTTTGGTTGGACCTTTCCTCTGTCACGAAGCTCGCCACCCCGGACCTAATTTTTAATAATGGAGAGAAAATTTTGTATATGACTGGACGATAAGTGAAAAGGAGAGGGGTGAATATGGAGAGCGGAGAAGTGAAGAGGAGTAGGCTATTTATATTTTTGGGAACATCTATGTGGAAGTCTATGGAAGGCAGGTAAAGCCAGAAAAAGAAGGAGTTACCCATGACAAGGCGGTGGCAGACAACAACCAGGGCTGGAGAAAAATGTCAGACCACCATGAAGGCGAAGCCAGTAGGGGTGGCAGCCAACATAGAAGGGAGCATAATCAGAGTGGTTGGGAGATGAAAATAATTGGAAAATACCGCATCAAAAATTGCGCGAACCAAAGTGTACACAATTGCCAGTCAATGAACTCCAGATGACGTTGAAAATTGTGCGACAGTTCGTGGAATGCCCGTGTGGTGTAGGCCTTCTGGAGAGGATTAGCCCGAATGGCACGAGCGTTCAGTACGACAACAACCACCGGGCTATTTACTTGTGTGAATCGCTGCTGACAATGAACACCTCCGAACCGCCTTGTCATACTCTCATTGGAACTTACAAAAGATTTTGCAGAGGACTGAGAAGCGGTTGTCCGATAAGTCACAGAGAATTTTCAAACATAACACTTTTCCCGTATGAGCGGGAAAGGATCAGGCTGACAATAGAATGACCGTAATAGATTTTACAAAAGAACCGCAAAGTAGGTGGATTTGTGTGATGTACCTCAAATAGCTGTATTTCATTTGTTCTTGCTCTTGTCACGTTCTATTTATTGCCGTTTGATGACTTGACGTCCCTAAGGTAGGGTCGTGGTTGGTGACGAGTCGGTGAGGTTTACCGGGTTGTATAACTGTGTATATAACACTCAACGCAAGGCCCAGACTAGAAAGACCGACAGCAAACCAAAGAGCACCACGGTAGCCGTGGAGTTTGTCATTATCTGTAAGACCACCATTGTTGATGTTCGATTCGATAGTACCGGCAAATCCAAGACAGAGCGAAATACTGTAGTTGATAACGGTGACAATAATGCTCGCACCCATACCTTGGTACTCTCGTGGAACTGTATCAGAAAAGATGACCGTGGCCGAAGGAAACGATGTATCGAGGCCGATGGTCATGGCAAAAACCGAGAAGAAAAAGTAGGTCCAGTAGATGGAGTGCGGTGGGCGGGCGGCGCCTAAGGCAGTTCCAATTACGTAGACAGTCTGGCCCACGAGCATAATGTTTGACGCGTGCACGCGGCCGAGCAGCTTTCCTACGGCGAGAGCCGAAGCGAGACCTACGGGTATGATTGGAATAATCCACGCGGCGATCTGCAGTGGCGTGGTGCCCCCGATATTGATGGCGACCTGGATGACATAAAACAGCTGCTAGGTTAGTATGTATGTGCGTGTGCGATGTGGAGAGAGAACGGCAGGAGAGTACACACCCAAACACCAAAAGACCCCCAACCGGTTGCGGTGCACGCAAACACAAAGGCAATATCTGTGTTGAAAGCCGAAAGGGGCAAGATAGGCGCAGAGTTCCAGGAGGACAGTTCAATATAAAAGAATGCGGCACCGGACAGGAAGCCGAGAATAAGACAGATATATACGTATGTCTGCTGCCAGCCAACGACGACGGCCTGGTTCCAGGCAAAGTTGACGAGTACGAGAGCCGCAACGCCAGTGACCATGCCAGGAACGTCAAAAGTAGCCACCAATTTGCGTACTGTCCACGGCTGCCTTTCCTGCCGGGCCTCGTCCAGTGAAACGTGTGGGATGGCCCATGCAGCGAAACCAGCCACGCCGACGAGGGCAATACTTTGGCTCCAGTATGTCCATGGCCACCAAGACACGGAAGCAAAAAGACCGCCAAACACGAACCCGGCAACGGCACCAAAGGGGGCGGACGCCCCGAACCATGCAAATGCCATGTTCTTGTGTGGGCCGGGCGAGTAGGAGCGGCCCAGAATGGCCAGACCATTGGGCAGCGTCAACGCAGGACCCATGCCTTGGAAGACACGGGAACAGACAAAAAGAACGTACCCAGCGTCATTTGCTGCATAAACGGAAAGGCCAGCCACCAGACTCCACAGCGCGTACCAAAACATGCCGGCGACAAACAGTCGCTTGTGGCCAATCTCATCGCCGAGGCGACCTCCGACGAGAATAAAGGTGCCGATTGTCAGACTGTAGCCGGCCACAAGCCACGACAGATGTCCTGAATCTTTGGAGGAAATACCAAAGGTCTCGCCTATGACGCTGACAATTGCTATCGTGTTTCCCATTCCGCATTGATTGGTGAACATGGCCGTGCATATGGTTCCGACAAAAAGGATCTGGCGCGGCACTGAAAAGGCATCTGCTGGATATTTTGCCGAGTCGTTTGAAGGCATGGTAGCTGTCGCTTCCACGTCTAAAATAGTTTGGTTAGAAGTGGTATTTCAGCATCAATTAATAGCACATATTCGTAGATAACGGACCGTTTACTTGTCTCTGCAATTCGGCATCTCGGGACAAAGCATTGGAGTACGGAGGAGATACTGTGGAAGCGGTCTTCTTGTCTCCTGCGGGCAAAGTCGAGAAATCTGTCTTCACATCCTCTGAGGCGGAGTTGAGGAATCGTTTTCCATGTTCATCGTACTAATTTAAACATTGGTGATTGAAACGCGTAAATGATTAAAAGAATGAAATCCATGAAAAAGTGAAAGAAAACATAGTGAAGCAAGTCGGCCCGGGCTTGCCTCTAATGTACAGTGGCCGTCTACGGACCGTGCATCGAATTGTTAATCTTGTCATGCCGGAGGAAAAATATCCGTGGTTAACCACCTTGGACGCGTCGCGTATATTTGTCTTTTGGTTTCTACGGAGTATTTTGGTGGTGTTTTATCTCCGGAGTGACAACAAAGACGCTTGAGGCCGGAGGAGGACTATGGACCGAAGTCAAAATAAGTGGGGTGCTTGGAAGCTGGTGACAAATCTACGAACCCGGACCTTTCACAAGGTCCGGGGACTAAATGATCCGGACGACTCGTAAAAGCCCGCGTCACTTCCCGGAGTTGCGAGCATCGCTTGTTCCATGACCAACGAAAGGTATCCTACATTCGATGCGCGGTTCGAAAAGCAATCGCGTCAGTAGAGGAGAGTTAATTCGGAAAATCAACCCAGACTTGCATTGATCAGCACACTTTTCAATCAAGATAACCCCTTACCGCACGCTGCAGGTCGCATACCAACGCAGCGCACTGGATAGTTAGTTAGGGTTAGTTAGTTAGTTAGTTAGTTAGTTAGTTAGTTAGTTAGTTAGTTAGTTAGGGTTAGTTAGGGTTAGTTAGGGTTAGGGTTAGGGTTAGTTAGGGTTAGTTAGTTAGGGTTAGTTAGGGTTAGTTAGGGTTAGTTAGGGTTAGTTAGGGTTAGTTAGGGTTAGTTAGGGTTAGTTA